AGACAATGGCCCGATCCGCCCAATGGCACACGTCGAGCGGCCATCACGTGAACAAAATCTCATGCATGCAACTCGGGAAGGCCGCAGCTCTCCCGACGGAAGCCCCAGTTTTTGGCTGCCAATTCGCACCAGGCGGCTTGACTGTCCAAGGCCGAATCGGAGGGGAGACGTCTCAAACAGCTCCGGGAGCGCACGCCTCAGACACGACACGTTTTGTGCTGTTTGTCTTGACAGCAATGTCTCACCAGGTACCAGGGACATGCAAGTATATGGTTGTGTCACCCTCTGGACGTCTTATCGCATCTACCTAGCTGGGGGGCTGCAGACAGACGTTGGCCACCCTTTGACCAATCCCCTGACGGGCTCTGGGCACATTGTGATGAAGAAAAGGAGGGAGAAGGGGGAGAGGAGCGAAGAGCGAATACACCGCGAGGAAATAAAAAGGGATGGCAGGCGGAAGCGGTGCTGGGTGCCAAATGCCGTCATTGTCTCTGGGAACCACGCAGCTACGGTGCTAGTCAAGGGACGAAGCTGTGCCACGTCGCAATTTCATCCGCTGCTCGCCGCGCCTTCTTGGGGGGCTGGCTGCATATCGGGTTGTGCTGGAGACGGCTAGCAACAAGCAGGCCGTCGTGTGACTTGGCGGCACAGTGCGAGCATCATCTGCGTCTTTGGCTGCCCCTCCAACGCTTCTCACTCCTTGTCCCGTCAAAATGGTGGCACAGATACCTGGATAGCTGCTAGTACTGTAGCCTGGCTTCACCCCTCCCCCCTGGCAAGCCCTAGACAGCTCTGTGGGAAAAGACCACACAGATGGAGCCGCACATCATTTCAAAGCATGAGAGCGGGCGCAGCGCGCACAAGGGGAGGATTTTCCAATGCCGATGGACAGCTCGATTCTTGCAGCGGTCCAGGGGGAGGGCAGGGGGAGAAGGAAAGAATCCATTCCATGCTAGTGAACCCCAGCCGTTTGCCCAATACTGGATCCTTCAGCATGGGAGCCGTACCGCGTTTCTGGTTCTGCAGCATTGAATCGGAACACCCGTACGGGTACTTGTCCGAAATGTGGTAATTTGTACAAACTCCCAGATGCTGATGCTCCCAACGTGCTAATGTTGTTGTAGGTACCCATCATGTTCATGTCAAGTACATCGGCGAGGCACCCTCACAACGTCTTGCGGCAGTGTTTCATTTTCCGTCGCAAGTTTTTCCAATCAGAGAACTCGGCGTCGTGTCTGCAAGTGTTCGGGGTAGCCGCTGTCTTGCTATGGAGTACTTGTACATGCATGCGCCGCCTGCTCAACGCGAGCGGACAATTCGTCAGCGCCCCAACAGCTGCTGAGAGACCTGTCATTTGGGATAGATGGCAGCACTGGATAGGCATAGGTGCCCATCTTCCTGCACGTTGGCTGTAGGGAAGGCACAAGATATGACAGCTCCTCCCTGTCTTGGATTCCTGTGCAGCAGTAGCCACGCAAGAAAAGGGCCATCCTGGTGTATGTGCTTGGACAGCAAGACCGCCATGCTGCCACGCCACGGGACCTCGACTGCATGCACGTCCAGCCTTTGGCTCCACGAGGTCGCACATGACCGCTGCGGATACCGTTTATCGACGGCGAGACAGCAGACATCTACAAGTACGAGTACCTATACCGCAGATTGTCATATACCGTCATGGCACTGTACCACAGATCCACGCACAGTACTGGCAGCAAGAGGTGGATGGCAATGTTGTTCGCAGCTGGGCCCATGTCCTCTTTCTTCACCTCTGCTTTGCCTCCCTGCTCAGATTATCCCGCCTGCGGGCACTTGCGGTTGCCGGCGTGCCACCTCCCACCAACGCAAGCTGTGAGTGGAGAAGAGCCGTTCACTTGCTGTCACTTTTTTTTTCTCTCATGGCCCGGTCCCACAGTCTGCCGCCAACCCTGTTCGCGCCTGTTGCGGTTTGTTTTGCGCCACTCCGTGCCATCCAGCGAATCAGGGGCCGTCTGCACTCAGGTGCATAAACGAGGGACCTGGCAAGTCTCAGTCTTGTGGAACGTGAGCGGCACGGCGATAGCATTTGGCGCCCCTGGTCGCGCTACCGGCGTCAGAATGGGGAGACGCTGCACGGAGCGCATGGAGGCTTGTGGAGATGAAGCATCCGATAGTGACGGGGGACGGAGTACTCCGGATGCACAAGAGCGAGCTCACTACGCGAGACCTAAAATCCTTTCTCCACAGCATCCCGACTGCAGAGAACAGCGGTGAACAGATGATCGAACGATCTATTCTTGGAAAGCACAGACGGCGATGCGGCAATAGGCTGCCAGGGGGGAGGGGAGGGGGAACTCGTGTGTACAAATACATTCATCCTGAGGCTCAATGGCAAAGTACAAGTATACACAAAAGCACAGGGCGGCAGAGGGCAGAGAGGAGAAGAAGGGAAAGAAATTTACAATCTGCATATGCGAGCTCTCTGTGGGTTGGGCAAGGGACCACTGCCATTGTGCCTCATCAGCCTCTCATTCCCTGATTTTAGGCACTAGCTCGATCATCTACCCAAGTACGCTTGCCAGGTGGCTGGAGCTGCTGGTAGGTTTGATTCCCTGCCACCAGGACACAAGGAAAAGGCCAACAGCTCGCCTTCCCCCTGCAGTTGGCTCCTCTTATTCCGTTCCAGTCGGTACAGTAGCAGTAACGTCTCTTTCTGCTCGTACTTGGTACGGTATACGTGTATACCCAGCCCGTTATCGAGCGTCCGGAAAGCAAGGTCTCCTTCCTTGGCGCGCCCTACTGGCTTTCCTCTGCTACAGTACTGTACTGTACATGTTGCGATTGGCGTCAGAGCCAGTGGATGGGACAAGGCTCATGATGCGACGAGATGGCTATGCTTTTCAAAATAGGTTCAGGGCGGATTGAAGGATCGAACCAATGGTCCTCCCCAAGCAAGCCCGCGGCACTCGAGCTTTTCCAACTAGAACCCACCTATCGGCTTGTGTCGCCACTAAAGCCATCAGAAAACTGTCGCCCACGGAACGGTGCGCTCTTGCAGGTGCATGGTCGCCCGTGATCCGCTGACACCTCGGGGGGTCCCTGGACTAGGCCGCGGCGTATGGCTTGAGAGTTAGCAGTGGATTTCTAAACAAAGCGGGCGATGCTCCATACCTGCCTACCAACCACGTATCCGTGACAGACTCGACATGCGTATAGAACTTGGCCACGTCTCTCCACAGACGCCAGAGACTTGTGCAGAGTTACTGCGCCTCAATAGTAGCAGCATAGCTGTTGCCCAGCCGGGACCAAGAGGGGGAGAGGAGAAGAAATGCGTCATGCTACTTACTGTAAGGCAGAGGGGGGAGTTTAGTAAGTCGGGCGAGATGTGCAAGTAGGAATACCTATTTGCCAATGCCACCTTTATCTCCGACAGGAGAGTGGGATAGGTAGGGCTGTACTGATATGCCAATAGAAGCCATTGCGAACGGGCTGATTCGTTCTTGTCCTGGAAAATAGGTACTACTTGTGCCACCTGTTTATATCCAGGGTCTAGGTATCTGGATTCAAAGGTGGGAGTCATCGTGCCTACTTGTAGGATAAAGTTGTCACCACACCCTCTTCAAGCTTTGTTGCCAGTTAACCGCTGGTGTGTTAGCTACCGAGGACAAGGAGTTACGCACATCTGTAGATGCCACTACCAACCGCAGCCCGTCGAATCCATAAGCTTTCCCCAAGGATCTAGAGGGCGGCAAACGAGGCCATTCGCTACCATCGGTGCCAAAGCAAGTGGGTAAACGCAGCTAGTACTCTGCTAGTAAGAGATGTGAGCCAGTGACGGGCGGCAAACGGGATCAAGTATTTGCCTCACCGCCACGACATCTGACCCAGCGACAGTTGACCCAAACTATCAAGGCACGGAGTACCTACTTTCGCACATGGTACCTTTCTTTTCAGGTGAAATATGACGGTAGAGACTCTGCTGAACCCGCCACCGGCGCGGTTCCACCCGTGCTACGGTATCTGGGCAATTGGGTTGCATCATCTTTGGGGACCGCTGGGTGGGCTACGGTGGAGGACACTGAACCCCAGCCTCTCGGATCTGCGGGCTTATGACCCGGCCCGCCTAGCCGGAACCATTGGGCGGAAGACCGATGGGAATGGCCGGCAAATGCGGAGCGCCGTAGGTAGAGTCTGCTCCGTCTTTGTTCTTTTTTTCTTTGGGGAGGCCAAGTTAAGGCCGATCCCCGGAAATGGCGTGAGGTTGGCTGGAGAGCGACTAGGGACGTCTGGCTAGGCTGTGTCGAAGCGAGCTGAAAATCGTCGAGGGTCAGCTTGTGTTGCCTGTGAAGCAAGGGGGCCACTGACTCGAGCAAAAGATGCAAGGGAGCCTGAGAGAAGAAAGATGACGCAAATACGTGGCCATGGCCCCCTTCCCCTTTTCCTGACCAAATCCTGCTGGTTATGCTGTTGGTAGTATTGGAGAAGAGAGACTGTCGAGCCGTGTAAACCCAACAGCTCAGATGATGCATCTTTTTACAAGTTTGTTTAGGAAAGGAGATGTCAGATTAACGGGCCTTGCTGAATGGGCCAAGCATCATGATGTGTTGGCTTCTTGATAGAGTAAGCATAGCTTGATCGGAAACTTGCTAATGTACGTGAAGCCATAGCGCTTTGCTTTCGCTCCTTTTCGAAAATGACTTGTATCTCAGGTTAGGATTGAGTTGTAAAATGTCGATTCCTCTTTGTTCCAGCTGTCGGGGATGCATTTAATACTCTCTGCTAATTCTTCTTTTCTAAATTCAAAATACAACACGAGGACAATAAGGGGGCTTTGGATGAGTAAAATGCTGCGCGAGATGGAGACTTTTGCAAGAGATGGAGACTTTTGCAAGAGATGGAGACTTTTGCAAGAGATGACTGGATTGGGCCAAGAAGAATGTGAGAGAGCATGGAATATGAAACCGCGACATTACGACTTGAGTAGGATTCAACGTTGCGGGTTTGGACAAGAGACAAAAGATCAGGATCAGGCGAAGAATGGTGTAGCTAGGTATATGCAAGTGTGCTCTACATACCCTCCTCTTTTTTTTTTCTTTGGAAAATGTCTTTTGCCAAGGGCCAAAGATACATGCTATGCGTAGGTCACAAACAATTCTATACATCCCAAAAAGCCTCTAATTTCGGAGTAATTCCTCTCAATGTAACCGTGGAAAGATACGTCGCTGAAGCTTCAAGCCTGGGCCTCCTTTTCCAGGATGTCGACAACAAAGGCTCCGCCAAGGAGAATGGCAGGCTCGTCAATGTTGTGATGCTCATAACTGGAATCCATAATCAGCATTTCTCCAGGGGCTTGCATACACCTATACAGCTTCTTTCTCACCTCAGAGTGCCCACTCCGCCAGCTTCGAGTAAGAATGCCGGTCCATCCTGTAGGGTCTTGCCAGCCCAGCGCATCGAAAAGGCTCGTAAAATGTGTCCGTGTGCAACGATGAGCACGTCGCCGGATTTCTTATGTGGGAGTTTGCCATCGGACGAGTTGAGTGCGGGCTCATGATATTTTTTACGAATGTCGGCGATGAGACGGTCTAGACGATCAGTGACATCTTGGGGGCTCCTATGACATGTCAGATATGAGACTGAGATTAGGGATACTTGTAGAGATTTCCAAAGAGGCGTGTGCCGTGGGTAGGATGTGCTCGGTAATCTGGTCAGATTTGGGTCGTCAGGGCGTGACATACTCTCCTCCCGGACAGCCATCTCTCCAAATGTCCCAAGTTCCTTCAATGCCTTGCTCAGCTCTCATTCTGCGAATCTCGGGGCTTGTGATGCCTTCGTAGTCGCCGTAGTCCCACTCCCGAATGTCGTCGGTAATTTCGACTGTGGCGCCACATTGAAGGCCACCGCCAGCAGAGCCGCCGTGTGGTTGCCAGGGTAATGGCCCAGATACGCCAATGTTGAGCAACTCGAATGTTCGTTGGGCTCGTTTCCGGGGAGAGACGTAACTGACTCGGGGTAATTGCCCAAAATATTAGCTCTTGTTTTCACCATGTATACCTTGAACCTGTTTGCCTGAATTCGAGTCGCAAACGGAGCGGGTGTCCATCGTGTGTGATGTACATGAGAATCGAAACAAACAGTAGAATGAAAATGTGCTGTTACACTCTCTGAGTTGATGATACGAGATGAAACTCGCGATGTAGAGGGTTATATGTGAATAGTGGGGGGAGTACGCGAAGAAAACTATACCACACCAGTTGTGCTTTTCGACTAGACGGGTGTGCGGGATACAGACGAGACAAGACCTCATGTGCCTTGCCGAAAGGAAAACCAAAAGAAGTAAAGGAAAAGAGAGGTTGGTGTAGCCAGTAGAGAAGAACAACTAGACGGTTCACTGATCGACAGAGAAGCTCTCCAGACTCGTACAGATGCGCGTATATGTAGCAAACAATCTGAAAATGAGAACTGAGGTATTACGAGTTTCAAATATCATGCATGGCTCGCTGAAATAGGCAAGGGCAGTTGGGAGGGTTGAAGTTATTTGCTGCTCCTCTTAACCCCGTTCACGAGGAGAAGCGAAACAGGGCAGCAACTCAAGGTAGCACGAGGTTGTGACGGAATGGGTGTAGAGAGTCGAGAGAGCTCAAAATCAAACGCTTCAAGTGCGTGGCTTTTGGCAAATGAGGCGAGGCAATAGGAGATGCGCAATGTAGTTTCGAGACTGTAAGACAAAGCTGGAAGGTCTGTGTGAAGCAAAGGAAAACATGCGGGACTTACATATGCGACAGCTGCCGAGGGACAATCAAACGGTCATCGCCCACAAGAGCCCTGCCCGTGGCAATGATTCGCTTCTCTCCATTGGCCGTCAGGGGAATGTCGCTGCTGCCTGTATGCCGGCCGTTGAGTGACCATTCAGTCTCTCCATGGCGGACGATGAAGACGCGGGGAGCAGCCATATTGGCAAGTATAGAGAGTGTTTTGTACCGATGGCGGAGTGCGGGGAAGAGACGAGGATATAGGTGTCAACTGAGAGAAGGAGAAGAAGGAGACTTGAAAGGTTGGTGAACAAGTCAAAATTGTAAAATATGAGAGTGTCCAGTTGAATCGAATATCATTGTCTGTTGCTCAGCAAATGAGCGTCAATATAAGTAGCTCTCGCCTGCGATTTGGTAATTAGCGCTGCCGGAGGGGTCGGTATAGCGGGTATTTTGGTGGTGATGTCACCTACCTAGCAACTGTCTGGTTTTTTTGGTATAGAAGCTGGGCGGGCGACTTGCTGTATCCGGTTACTCGCCCATGAATCGCAAAGCTGGGCTTTTTTTTCCGCATGGCTGCGTGATTGGATTGGGAGAGCAACACAAGTTGACATGGTATGTAAGAGTGAAGGAGAATATTAGGAGTAGATTCTACAATTCGAGCGGCCAAAGCAAGACCATGGCAGAATTATTTACGGAAGGAGCGTGGACGAAAAGAAGGCCTGAGCCTCGTGTGGCTGGTTTGTCGCAGCGCCTCCTTGGAAAGCTACTGATTTATTTTTTTACACAAAAAGCGTCTTTCATTCTTGACTCCCTTTTCCTTTGGACGAGCCTCTCTTTCAAGCTGAACTCATCAATCAAACACGCCTCAGTTCAGCAAACCCTACAACATCTTCGTTTTGCTCTCTCGGCCCCAATTGAGCCTCCATCGTGATGACCTCCATCGCATCATGGGCCAACGCGCAGCCTCGTCATCCTCGGCCTTGCCCCGCTTCTTACTAAGTCTTTCAGCCTCCTCCACTTCATCGCAGCAGCAGCTTCACGGCCCGCCATCGCCCAATTCTGCCTGTCCAAGCACCAGCCAGGACAGCATCGAGTTGGTGGCCATTCGTCAGCATTCGTGGAGCAACAGCAATAATCTGTTGACTGCTGCTGCTGCTCTTGCTGCGCCTCGTGTCGTCAGGCATAAACGAGCCTCTTTGTCTCTGCCAGTTGTAGCAGCGCCACCATCATCATCGACCTCTGGCCCAGAGGAGGAGAAAATTGCGTCTTTGGAAAAGAACAAGCATCCGGGACCGGGGAGGAGAATCCGTAGCAGCACGACTAGTTTGGCGTGCTCGACAGTTTCGACGACCGATTCCCTGGGCAAGGGAATGACCCCGGCTGAGCGCCAGAACAAGGCCGACCAAGTCTGGAGAGGCTACTGGTGACAAACGAAGAACGAGTTCAAGATGGCATCCAGAATCCCCTTGACCAAGCAGCAAAAATGGAGGGGCGGCGTCTGGGCCGTGGCCTTTGCCGCCGTCATCATGGTCGGAACCCTGACCGGTGCCCAGCTCAAATCAGACAAGCAGAAGGAGGAAGTCAGTTGAATCATTCCTTCTCTCATCACTCGGGATATACAATTCTTTTGATGCGAAAATGAAGATGAAAAACGTCTGCTGACTTGATCCTTTCTCTTTCTCAGGCTATCCGGGAGTTTCGCCAGATTACTCCCTCTGAGCAAATCGCCATGCTCGAGAGGCAGCGATCTACGCTTGTAGAGCAGCAAACTGCTATGCAAAGGAAGCTGGACGTGTTCAAGGAGCGCGCCCAGGAGAGACGGCAGGAGAAAGAGAATGCCAAGAAGGTCTAGCATTGCTGCTTGATTGCTCTTGCTCTTTCTCGAGACGAGAGAAGGAGAAGAAAAGACGAGTTAAAACAGCCCTTGATGATGGGGCTGTACAGTTCAACTCCAGGATAACTGTAACATTATTTTATTTTTGTATCTTGGGATCAAAGTCACTGGCTTTCTTCCCATTTATATCATGCTACGCGGCCCTGTATATTCAATCATTGGCGCAGCTCTGGTTGATGGAAAACATTTGGAGAGAGGGCTGGTTTTGGTAACATGACGATACCCATATAGACAGACTCGCGCAAGACAACTTTTGTTTTTTTCGTACAAAATGTGTATCATTTGGTCTGCTTGACCATATTCATGTTTCGTTCTATTCGTCATGGCATGTGTCTAAAGGACAGATGGTCCAACAATCTAGGCAAAGTCCATCTTTTCGCCATCTTTGCCTAACAACTAGTAGCTAGTAACTAGTAATCCAAACGCCCAGCTTCCATATTATTCCAGTTTCCCGTTTTTAATTGTGCAATAACTCAGGTCTAATCCTGCTTTACTCTTCAACGCCCTCGGAGCTAGGCAGGGGAATTGCCTTGTAAAGCAAAATCAGGGCCGAGTGAGACTCGCCACCGCCAGCCAAGGCCTCGACCTTGTCGACGGTTACCTCAGTCACCTTGTCGTCGTTGAACCACCACCAGTTTCCGTCCTCCTTCTCCTTCTTGCCCGTTTTGGGGTCCACAGTCCCAGTCTTCTTGACATACGCCGTGTAGTGGCCACTATCCGCGCTGGCACCCTGGTGGGTAACAACACCGCGCAGCTCGTATAGACCCGACTGGTTGGCACCGTCGTCGTCACGAAGAGAAGGGTTGATCAGAGAGTTGAGCTCCTTCTTGGCAGCCAAGAGCGCAGCCTCGCTCTCCGCCTCGACCTGGGCATCGGTCTTGTATGTCTCGCCCATGACGGTATCGCCGTCGTCCGCCTGTTGCGGCTTGCTCTCATCATCCTTCTTCTTCGTCTTCTGCTGTGCTAGCTCTCTCTCCGAAGGCAGGCCCGAGCCACCGGCAACGTCGCTCATATCCTTGTCATGCGTCTTCTTACGACGCTTACGGGCGCGGTCGATATCCTCCTCATCCTTGCGAACCTCACGAACCTTGTCTCGGACAGGAATCAGGGCTGACTTGAGGTCATCAGAGCAGAACTCGACAATGTCCAGCTCTTGGGGAAAGGTGACCTTGCGCATAATCTTGGCCTTCTTCTTGGTTTCCTTCTTCCAGAAAAAGCGCACAAAGTGGACGGTGAGGTACTTGGGGGCTCGGGATATCTTGGATTTTTTGGTGTAAGTTGCATCGCGGCCAAGCACCTCGGATTTCTTTTCCAGCTGCTCGCTCAGCGCAGCCAGGATTCCGTCTCGCAGGTGGTTTGTCTGGGAATCAATGTGGCAGTCCAGCTTGTAAAAGGCATCGCTGGATGTAATGGCCGTTTCACCTCCGTTTCGGGCCTCCTCCTCGTCGCACTCGAGGACTGAAGTGAAGCGTCCTGCCATGTACTTTTCGACAAAGGAGACTCCAGAGCTGTCACCAGAGCCTTTAATTGTCAACTTTTGGTTCAGCTGCTGGACAATCTGGGACCAGGCCTCTTCAGCATCCTGCTGAGCATATCCGGGGCCACTTCTCGACTTTTCGGCAAACTGAGGAAAGACAATTCTCAGAGCCGACAAGAAGTCCATGGGCGGCATAGAATCAAGCGTGGCTCCCATCTTCTTATAGAGATTAGAGAGCTGGAAAGCCAGATCTTGTCGGCTTGTGCCGGGCATGGCGTTGTAAGTAGTTAGAGCCGTCTGGAGCTCGGGAATCGAACGCAGCGTCTGCAGAGTCGAGTTTAGGTAACATGTGTTGCCGAGATTGACGAGACCTGCAGGAGTGGCTCCCACTTGCTGAGCTTGCTCGGCCTCGGTCATGTCCTCGACAAACTTGATGGCCTCGGACGGACGAACAATGTCTGCGCCACCATCTCCCGGTGTGCCCAGCATCATAATGTTCTGGCCGGCCTTGAGGCCCACTTTGCTCATGTCTGCGTCATCTTTGAGCTGGCCACCCTTGATGAGGATCTTTTGTCGTTCGGGCTCGACGTTGGTAAGGCTGAAGAGCTGGAGCTTGAAATCCAGTCCACTAGACTCGGGGTCGACGTCTACGTTGTACTTTTTGCCCTGATGCTTGACAGCAACTGAAAACAGTTAGTTTCGATTCCAATGCGGCGTGGTATAATCATTCTCATGCATGAGGAACAACGGAAATTGAGCAGCGTTGGAGGCTGTTCAAGGCAGAACAAACAAACAGACAGAGATGGCTGATATGGTGGGGTATCACGAACCAGTTATTATGGAAGCCATGGTTGCAGAGCGACGGGCCAACTCAGCAGCAGCTGGACGGTGGAATCTGTATCTGTAGCTGTAGATACAGAAGACGATGGCGGAAGAGAATTTGGATTTCGATAATATTGGCCCGGCAGGGAAGATGGGCAAAGTGAAGCTGCCAGGAGAGACACAGACAGAAGCCGAGAGAAGAGCTGCGGAGCCGTTGCTGCGTCACGGTAGCAACCTGGCGAGGAGATGTGGCGCTACCAGAGCTTGAATGAGTTGCACGTGATGTGGCTGTGGCTGGTTGTGGCTAGGCAGATACCGGTGACACTCTTTCAACGAAGTAAAACTGGCCGCAATTTACTTCACCCTGTTTTTGTCTTTCTTTTAATCCTTTCAAATGACATTCAATAAATTTCGTGGTTAATATATTTACCCCAATTCTTCACTAACTGAAAATTGATAGTAGTTCGTGTAAACATATTGGTGGCTTCTGAGCATGTATCCCTGGTAACCTGTGCTATATATACTAGTACTTGCCAACTTTGGTCTCAATCCCATATATTCATCTGCATCAAACGAAAAAAAAAAAGCGCGTGCCCGTCTCAGAAATGTGGTTACGAAGTCAGAGTACATAAAATGCCTCCCTATTAATAGATAATAGTTGCAGCTTCGAATAGCGTAAACAAAAAAAAGTTACGCCCCATATCCACACGTGAAAAGTATAACCCAGCCAAGAAATGCCCGTTGGCAAATAGAAGAAGAAGAAAATAGCAAGATACCCATAAGATTTGGGATAAATCCGTCTGATGGTGCAGCAAACAAATGGGCTTATTTAGTTTCGAGTAAAAGCTCGGTTGAGAATGCGCTCAATGGCCGCGAATTCCAGCTTGGCCGCTTCGGCCAAGGTCAAGTCGTCAAACTGGGGTCCCATGACATATCCGACCTCTGACCAAAAGTATCCCCAGTACATGTCTGTCTGTTCGGCCTGATGTTGGAGCTCCGCGCGCTCTCTAAGGGGGAGTGACAGAATATCCCGGCTGGACTGTTCGCGAATGACGGCCACGTACCACTGTGAATGAGAAAAGGCACAAAACATCATTAGCCCATATGAACAGCAAAGACGGGGGGGAAGAAGAAAGTTGCTCCAGGTTTTAGTGACCATCACTTACCTCGACAAGATCAAGGGGGAAGCCAGGCTTCGGGCCAACGGCATACTGATGGCGCCAACTGTTGGAGAAGCGAGGGAGCTGGTAATACTCCATATCCAGCGCCTGCATATTGGTCATCCAGGCGATGCCATCCTTCATACACGGTGTAAAGGCAGGACAGAACATGGCCGCCGAAACAAGGCGGCGGAGTAGGAGAGGTGTCAAGTGGTTAGTGTCCTCTTGGAAAAGAAGGCTTCGAGTAAGCTGGCGAATAAGCGAAAGCGTGGCCTGATAGATGGCCTCTCTTTCTCTGATGGTGATGCAATCCGTGCGGAACCAGGGGAACTTCTTGATGGTGCTGATCAAGCACTCGTAGGGGCGCTGCGGGCAGTCTCGAGAGAAGGGCGACTATAAGGACCCATGCATGTTAGTATCCAAGCGAATAAGAAAGCCAGAAGAAATAGACGTGATGTGAAAAGATTGGAGAAAAGGGGAACAAGGCAGAGTTGCGGTTACGTACTCGATGAGGTACCTCGACGTGTTTGACAAGCATGACCATCTCTTCCTCCGAGATGAAGCCTTTAAAATTGTTCCACGGCTGGTTATAATCGTAGGGCAAGATCTCAGGGACCACCCCATACCAAAAGACACCACGTGCAATGGGGAAGAGATCCTTCATGAGGTGGCCCTGAGAAGTCACCTCCACCTCGATGGTGCGTTCGCCCAGACGGGCATATCGGCCAGCGGCGACATTGAGGCGGTGTCGCTCCACAGCTCTCATGGCGTCTTCAAGCGAGACAAACTCGACGTAGGCGTCCATGGTCTTGCTGGTCACCTTGTCCATAATGATATGCACGCCTTCGTCAGAGTCATTCAAAATTTTAGAGTTGCGACCAAGAAAGGCAATAACCTCGGCGCGAGTCGTGGCGAAAGGAATCTAGGTAGCAACATTAGCAAAGAAGCCACGCTTTATGTCGCCAAAAGGAAAGGAGAGGGGGGGCGGGGGCGGAGGGAGAGGGGATAGTAGAGTGTGAAAATGGGAGTAAAAGACAAATCACAACGCACATTCTTGAGCTTGATGATTCCCCAGTTCATGGGCTTTGCCATCCTAGCCGACTCAACAAAGGGAAAGTTGGCCGGGTCCATGGCCTCAGCCAGAGAGGGCAGTCCAGAACGAGTGTCAGTCAACAGTACAAGCTTATTCGATTCCTGTACCTCTCTCAGCGGTGCAGTGTTGATACGATCAAGCGGAATCTCAGAAAGCCCAGTCGCATCGTTAAGACGCACGCCAAATGGACGCACAATCTGCCGCACAAGCTGGGCCTCCATGTTCCGATGCTCATTGCTAATAGGGGGTGCAGCCGCCGCTCCTAGATCAAACCTAGGGGGAGGCTGCATCATGATAGGGCTAACGCCAGCACGGCCTGCAGTTCGAGGTGCATAGTTGCGCGGCTCGCTGGCCGTGACGCCTGGGCTAAAGTAACCGCGTCCAAATGCGCCATGGCGACGAGTCGGGGTCGAATCCGTAGCTTCATCGCTCCCCTCACTAGATCGAAGTGAATTGAGAGAGTGACTGAGCGGGATCAACTGCGGCCGGCGGTATCCGAGGACGGAATGAGACGACTCGGGACTAAACCCGTAGGGTGAACCGGCCTGGCTCTCAGCAGTATCGAGAGAGAGAGACTCGCCGGTCGATGGCTGAGCGGTTGAACTACCAAGTTCCTCATTTCCTTCGCTGGATCGAAGAGAGCTAAGGGAATGGCTGTGTGTAACCTGGGGCGAGATCTGGGGTAGAACCTGCTGTGGGGGATGAGAAAAGCCATAAGGGGTATAAACCGGCGAAGGTCCAAACTTGAAAGTGGCTTGAGCCTGCCTCTCAACAGCAGCGATAGACTCGTCGGCAAGCACTTCGGCTGATCGAGGTGGTGGACGAGTGAACCCATAAGACGTGTAAGATGGCGAGGGTCCAAACTCAAAAGTCTCACTAGCCTGTCTCTCAACAGAAGCGATAGAGTGTTGAGCCAAATCACCGGGCAGAGCTTGCGAGCGGAGGAATGGAGGATAACGGAGATCAGAAGGGTTCTCTCCCGCTGCAAGCTCCGACCCGTCGTGCGAATAATGCACTGACTCTTGAGATTCGTCGAGGCTTCCACTGTCTGACTTGCCTTCCTAAGGCTCGTCCGCAGTGGTTCTCCCGTCGCGGCTGGGAGTATGAGCCAGGGCAAATGAAACAAGGTCAATGCCCGCTTGGCTTTGCTCTTGGGGGGGCATTTGAGGATTATATCTCAGTGGATATGCAGGAGGCATAGGATACTGAAATAAAGGAAGAGGAAGAGGTGCGTCGGGGTCAAACCGAAAAGGTACAGCGTTTCCACCCACGCCCGGAATGAAGTTACCGCCCACGTTTGACGAAGGAATTCCGACGGCAGTTGCAGGAGGGTTCTCAGCTACAAAGCTAGCATGATTCCCAACATCAGCAGTGGGAGTATTTCCGGTCATCGGGTGAGAATGACTCTCGGTCGCACGGGAAGAGCCATCGTGAAAGCCAGGCCACTATTGAGCTGATAAGTATCATTCATGACAAGACCCAAATAACTGGCAGGGTTTGCAAAAAGTTGTTGGATCGAGACAGAGAATACTCACCCTAGCGGGCATGGGGGGGGCCCAAGCATTAGCAGACGGGTTAAAGGAACTATGCTGGACCAGTTTTGCACGATCCAAGTCTGTGCCAGCGCTGCTGTCTGTATACAGGGAGGAATCAAAATCGCTTCCGCTCTGAGCAATGTCAGACTGGTTGCCGCTGCGTGAACTCTCAGGGATGGTGGAGAGGCGACCGGCAGAGTGACTGGAAGTAAGCTGGGCGCGCTGTCTACCTGTGAGAGGTGACGACTGAGTTGCTGCCGACGTGGGATCGACAGAGGGTGCTTCGCCGAAGTTGAGGTCGCGAGCTTTCTCTCGACGTGAAGCCATGTTGGCGCGTTGGACTAGTGAAGATTAGCAAGAGTCTCGTACAGCAGAAGAAGAAAAGGCTGAAATGGATTATTTCGAGGAGATGAGATGAGACGGCAGAGGGATGGGAGTGGTGATATGAGATGGAGCGAAGAAATGTGCTTGTTGGAACATCTGCACATCAGGCGAAGATGACGGGAATCAAACTTGAAGAATAGTAGCCGCGCTACTCATGAAAAAGAGAGATTTGAGGAAGAGTATCAGACCGAATTACCTATTAAAAGCAAACTTGTTGCCTTTGGGGTGTTTGGACTTAAGAGTTGGGTGTGCTTGATGGTGATATTGTGCAGCCAAAGGTGGCGGCGGAGAGGCGTGAGGAGGATAGCAACTTGGAGAGGGGAGAAGAGAAGATGCAGACGAAGAAAAGAGAAGAGAAGAGATTAGGAGGGGCGGTGTTGAGAATTTTCTCGCGTCTTGCTTGCACGAGGCCACGCGGAAGTCATGTACGCAGAAGAGCGTAACGGCCAGCTAGCTTCGGTTTGTTGCCAGTTGCTAGGGCTGCCAGCTGCAAAAGATGAGGCTGATGCCGACATCGGCGACAATCAAGATTGCCAAGCTGTGAAGGTGTTTGCCAGCCATCTCAAGCAGCTCAATGACCGGGTCCCGCCATATAACAGCTGTCGAGGCTGCAGGGAGAGAGGCAAGGTGCAAAGCCGAGTGGGAGACTTGTTTAGACAAGTGAGGAGAATATATTGAATTCAACAATGTTGAGGAACGAGCGTTGAGGAATGAAGTTGGTCCTTGCTCTCTTGACTGCCTTTGCTTGTAACAGCTACTGTATGTCAAATATCCAGCTGTCGTCGTCCGTGCTCATCGAACGAATGTAGCTGTTCCGCGGCTCAACTCGCAAAGAGGGCTCTCAGTGACAGCCAGCAGCACCATGTTAGCTTTGACACGCCTGAAGCTCCAGCTAATAGTACTCCTCGCCGGAGAGTCCGGAGGAAACTAGCTATTAGCAAATAGACGGGTGTTTGGATGCCTTGATCCCCCGATTCTTCCATTACAACATGCAGAAACACAATAGAATCCCACTTTGGGCGTAAGCTGGTGACAAGCAAATTTAGACAATGATGATGATATTTTGTTGATTAGCTCTCAATTGTTTATACCTATATTCAGCGCCCCTGGATCCCCATCTCGCGGATACATGTTCATCGCAATTTAATCAAACTACAAGGCGTTGGTTAGGTACAACCTGCTGCACGAAAAGGGAGAGAGAAGAAGGGAGCAAGGGGGGGAGTACTCACCGGTGTCAGGAAAGACTCGGCAACAAATCGTGCTCGGGCGTTGAGCTGCAAAGATGGGAAATTATATGTTAGTCCACACTCAATATCCAATGTACAGCAGGACAAGACAGTAAATATAACGTACGAAGAGCTTCATCTCGGAAATCTCCTTGTCAACCTCCTCTTGGAACTCAATGATGAAGTCGACAAGCTTGTGCTTCAACATCTCTTCGGTGTGGAAGTTTGTTATCAGGAAGGAAATGTCGTAGCCCTGAGTGGGATCGCAAATTAGCACGCATTTTCTTGACTGCCGAGTCCACAACTATCCAGCCACTACTCACAGGAATAGGTTTTCTCCGCAGGATAAAGAAAGACTCGGCTCCTATAATAAAATCCAGCTGTCAGATGATTTGTATCCCCATGTTGGCGGAACGCGGCGGGCACCGACTCATTTCCAAGAATCTAGTAAACTTGTGGACGAGCAGGTTCTCAATCTCGTCGGCCTGCTTGATCTTGATGCTGATGCGGACAGAGTTGATGCTCGGCTCGATCAAGACTCGCTCGTTCTCGTTGCGGGCAATGGTCAGGGGCGTGAGCAGCACCTCGGGGGAGGTCTGGGCTTCGATCTCGGGGACATTGTGACGCTCAGTGGTCTGGGAGGCGAAGTTGGAGAGAGTCAGGGCGGCAATCAGGCTGCTTCGTACGCATTGGAGGTACGGTCGCAGTGATTGAGACTATCGTCAAGCTCGGTCAGTTGGTTCAGTTCAAGCCCAGCGGTCAGCTTCGTTTTTGGGGGGGCAGCCGTTGCTTCTCTAGGGGGTACAGTTTGGCAGATGGAGGGCGAGAAGAACAGGAAGAAGATTATGCGAGGCAGAGGGCTGTGCCGGATCCAAACGTACCATGACTGCTGCTCAAGCTGCTGCTGCTGCTGCTGCTGCTGCTTCGGTGCTTTGTCGAGATGGTGGTTGGAGCCTCGATTCGGTACCTCGTTACGTGGACGGGATACGCGGGGCTCGATGTCACAGCTCCGAGCCTCCTTTGGGGAGCGAGGTGGGGCAGCGGCTTGAGGTACGTACCTCGATATGGCAGCGCTGGTGACGTTGATTGCAGTCGGTCAGTCACGTGATTAGTATAGGATAACAGCTGTTTTAGGCAGTATTGAATCCAATGTAGATGCAAATTAATATAGTCTTTTTAGTTGATCCGTGACGCCAAGAGTATAGCAATACCATTTGCATATTCGTTTGCGAACAAAGAGACTCCTCTGTTCAAGTGCTATTGGCCGTGGCTATTTGCTACAGAGCTTTGGCGCTAGTGACAAGGTTTTCGGAAGCTGTGGTTTATCCGCTCGCCAAGTCTCTTAGCATGGAATTTAATCAGATTGTGATAACAAAGCTTCAACCAACCGCATGTGAGCTCCAGCTGGGTCCCCAAGCCATGGGTCTTGTGCGAGCGTTGAGTTTAGGCACCTGTAGTCCTGAAATAACTCAAAAGCCCTGACTTCGTATACAAATAAAGTTTCCAAGGACGGAGCAGGGACCTATCGGCTACTGCTAGGCTTCTGGGGTCAGTGCCGGGTAGCGAGTCTGGCAACATTGACGGCCTATTGTCGTACGATGTAACTGTACCTGGCCATGGTCCCTCGTGCTATGCCTCTAGTACATGCAAGGCACGGCAGTGTGCTTCGGTCTCTGTCTGTAGTGGCCGGAATTAGTCATTAATTGCTCATGTCGGAGATCGAGCTCTGCAGTCGAGGAGCTTCAACAGGCTCGGTGTTTGCGAAAGCCCTTGTGCCAACTATTTCAGGAACGAGACCAACGCCATCGAAAAGCGTTTCTTTTCCCCCTCTTTTATTCGTAAAATCTAGAATAGGTACCTGTTCTGCTAGGTACGGTTTCACATCAATCCACCTCTCACACATCATTCGTGCTCATCACCTCACCTCTCGGGATTGCAACCCTGGCGGGCTTACCTACATAATTCCTACTGCAACCAGCCTGCAGCAGCTGCAGTTAGGCTCCCGCCTGCTACTACGCAATTGCCGGAGCGTTCCCCTTGTCTTGTCCAACTTGTCTCCTTCATCTTCTCTCTCCTTCATCGCCTCCATTGCCAATCTGTTGTATTCACACTTGCTTCTAGCCCAGCCAAATCCACGCTGATCAACCAAGCCGCCCATCATGTCCGCCCCCGAGCAGAACGAGGCTGAAACACCCCTCGCCCAATTCACGGCCCGCCTGGCCGACATCAAAAAGTCATCAGGCCATACCGAGATGTGGGGGGTCGAGCTCTCGGACGACGCCTCCCACGCCCCGACTCAGGTCATCCTCCAGAAGTTCCTGCGAGCCAACAATGGCGACCTGGCGGGCGCCGAGAAGCAGCTGACCGACGCCCTCACCTGGAGAAAAGAGGTGAACCCGGCGTCTCTGGTGACCCAGACTTTCGACAAGAACAAGTTCCACAACCTCGGATTCGTGTCCAACTTTACGGATGACACTGGCAAAAAGGTCATCATTACCTGGCACGTCTACGGCGCCATCAAGGACAACAACTCTACCTTTGGCGACGTCGATGAGTGAGTATCCACTGTATAAAAAATAACATGGCAAGTCTTTCTGTTTCTCTAACCAGCTGTGCGCTCTATAGGTTCATCAGATGGCGTGCAGCCCTCATGGAGTTGGGCGTGCAGCAGCTCAACCTCAACGATATCAAGGAGCCCCTCCCAGAGGATGGCACCGACCCGTATCAGTTGATCCAGGTGCACGACTACAAGTCAGTCAGCTTCTTCCGCATGGACCCCGTCGTCAAGGCTGCCACCCAAAAGACCATTGCCGTCTTTGCCACGGGCTACCCAGAGCTGCTCTACCACAAGTACTTTGTCAACGTTCCCGCCATCATGGGCTGGATGTTTGCCGCCATGAAGTTTGTCCTTTCGGCTGCCACTTTGAAGAAGATGCACCCCATGGCCTCTGGCACTTCACTGGTCAATGAGCTCCCAGCCCTCGCCACTTCTCTGGCTCCAGAGTACGGAGGCAGCGGCCGTCCTGTGCAGGAATCATTGACACTGACGACGGCTGATGTGCCCGAGGAGGCCAAGGAGGGAGATGCTCCTGCTGAGGCGGAGAGCAAGCCCGAGGAAGACAAGCAGGAGGCTTAGGCGAAAGAGGCTGAGACTTGGGCTGGGGCCTCGCACCAGGATGTAGGGGCCAACAGAGATTGCCTAATATTGCTTTAGGAAAGCAGTCCAGGGCTTTCCCCTTGGCTGAATCGCCACTCATATCCGCGCTGCATCTTGTCAAGAGGAGGGTTGTTTTGTTTGTTTTGTTTGTTTTGTTTGTTCTGTTCTGTTTGGATGCTGTTTGGATCTCTCTGAGCGCGGGCTTTGAATCTGCTAGCCAGCCATGCCCCCGTTTATGCTCGCAATACCCCGATATCATGCCATGCACTAAAGTCCTGTGCAATAGATTCCCATTTTTTGATAGCTGGCTATGAAGAGGTGCGACGTCTGCCATGTACGTGTTTTGAACTATGAGTATGATATTATGTCTTATTTGGCTTCGATTCTCTTGATGGGCATTCTCTTGAGATACTTGAGCTTCGTAGTGTTTGCTGCATTGTTTCTATTGCATGTACTACGTCTGATTTTTGGCATTTCAGGCCAAATTGACCGTCATGTTCCAAGTGATGGTGGCCATAGATGTAATTACCCATTTCCCTGCCGGGCCACACTCTCTGAGAGGCAATTGATCCTCTTGCATCGACAGATGTAGCACCTTGTGAGTTTGCGAGATCAATTCTGCATCATTCTCCCGCCCTGGCAATTATTTTCACGTCCTTGACGCGCCATTACTGAGCAGTTCGCCCCAATGCTTCTGGCCGCGCCATCAATTTGCCACACGTACCAGCGGATGCTGCCCTGGGACTCGCAGTAGCATAAAAAAAATGGTAATGAGATGGTCACACAGCCAAGTTATCAGCCCTGGTAATTTTTGTCTAGTGCCAAAGATCCCAGCAGGTGGGTGATTATCTTGTTAATGATGGTGCTGTGGCGTTGGCTTTTCCGCAACACATCGACTCGCCTACACAAGAGTGCGACCATTACAAAGGCAAAATATTTTGCTGCTACCGTGATATATTGATCATGTTTCTTTGAAACACATGTTCCTATCTTGTAGCATTTTAGTGGTTGGTTGGGTTGAGCTTTGCAAGTGCGCCAGACTCCATCGCATCGTAATGGTGGTATCGTCAAATGAGAAATGGAGCTGGGCTGATGAGAACAGAGACATTTGTCTCAGGCCGAGGCCGGAAACCCTGCAGTCGGTGAGCGCTATGCGAATAGGCCTACGGATTAGATGATACTATCGTTGTCATTCTGTCGCCGTCTTGTTCCATCATAGCAGTCGTTGTTGTGAGGTTAGTGAAGGGTTTGAGCGAGTGTTTTATTGTATGAGAAGGCGGTACATTTTTAGAAATAAATGAGAGCATGAAACATTCAGCACCAGCTGAAAAGTTCAATCATAAATTATCGCCAGATGTTTGATCGGCGATGGGAGTCGAGGCTGGAACATTCGGTTTAATAGGAGGTGCAAATCACACCCTGCCACAGGCACAGTCGCCTCAGATGTTGGGGGCACATCACACATGATCCAATTCCGTTGCTAGCCTTGCCTTCATTTTATTACATCACGTCTTCAAATTTCTTTTTTAAGCTGATTGTCCTTGATTCACTGGCTCCTATATGATACACCCATCGTTGCATCGGCCGGCACGAGGCTATTTCCCCCAACGCAGGGAGACAGAGAAGCGTTATTAGAGGCTCGTCAACCGATGCGGAGTAAGAAACAAGGCAAGGTCATGCCCAAGCGAGGCGAGGTCGGGTGTCTATCCAGCGACTCAAGGGAGGAATCTGGGAGATGAGTCTGTTGCTTTTTTTTCGGGTAGTTTTCTGCTGGGATGCAATATTGGCCGAAACCAGGTTTAGTATTTAGCCCAAACGCCTCTCACACTCATTTTTTTCAGCCGCTTGCCAACTTTCTGTTTTCCCTCCTCATTTCTCTCTCGGTGTGTGCTCAGCTGGCTGTCGCGTTTAATTTTCCCTTTTTTGTCTACATTGCTGAGTCCCGGGCGAGAGGTTCCAAACACTCCTCTGCCAATCTTGGACACAGTCTGAACAGCGGATCTGATATATATATATATCAACAAGTATCGTTCGATTGCATCAAAGAATAGGCTCGCTGTGGTCTGGAAGAGAAGAGAGCTGGTTTTTTCAGAAATCTGTTAAGAGAGACTGCCAACACATTGTGCGTAAGTGGCAGACGAAGAGACACACATCACACGCCACAAGAAACCCAAGCAAGCAATACAACAACTAGGACTAAGAGGCTAGAGACTCAAGAGGATAAATATTGGTATGCTTACCTACGCAAGATGGTCTCATTCTCCTCATTTTCTCCAATCCTCGACTTCTTCACAACATTCACATCCACGCAAGTGACTGACGCTCTCATCCTCCAGTGCCAGAGGTTTCACTGCCTCTGTTTCTGCCGAGTACCCCTCGCCGGCTCCCAGCACTTTCAGCTTCGGATCAGTTTGTCTCATTGCTTTTTGGCCACCGTTTGTGGCTCCCTCCACTGGTCCCAACCACCCCTGGAACCCGGCAAAAAGGCCTTGGCTATTTTCGTTGATAAAAAAAAAAAAAAGTGGCTGCTCGCCTCTCACCTTTACATTCCGGATTCCCGCCGGTTCAGTATTTCTGGTCTGAAAAGTGGCATTTATCAACTTGTGCGGGCACACAAAGGCACACACTCTCGAGGTTGAAGGGAAGCAAGACCATTCGGTTCTCGAAATAGCTCCTGACGGTGCCTCGCAATCTCACTCACGCTTATTCCACGCGGGCACATCTATCCACGCGCAATATAAGCGCGCACGTTGACACACACATCTCCAGACATCCACAATTATCTCCATCCTTTCAAGCATCCTCCTCCGCCTCTGATACAGATACTTATACAACACGCACGGGTGGTTGCAGAGAAGAGACAATCCATTTGGCAATTGTCATCTTTTTTGAGTAAAAGAAAAAAGAGACCAAAAGAAGCAAAGAGCCGTGGTTACTGCTGCTGCTGGTACTAGCTCACTGCTCTTGTTGCTGCCTCGGGGCTGTTTATATACCGTGGCCTGCCCTTCTTTCCTTAACCGCCTATCCGCCTTGCTTATCTGTTAGTTTACGCGCGCACCCGCGTTTTTTTGTCAACTTTGCCGACTAACATCAACGTTGGACCTTTTTCCCCTTCTTCATTCTTACGCTGCCTCTCCGCCAGCTAGCCAAGCTTAGCTGTTCCATCTACGCCACCTTTACTGTTGTTGTTCTCTCTTTATTCTTTTGGTCTTGTCCTTTGCCCCTTTTCTCCTCTTCTGGTTGGCTCCCCAGCATCTATCTGTTCCGCATTTCTTCATTCCTTACGCATCCAACCGCATCGCATATCCCCTCTTGTTCAACTCCTTTTCCACTCCCTCCTCTTCTTACTGCAAGTTTTGCTTGCGAGACCTGCGTGCTTGCTTGCTTCCCCGCCGCGCCCTCTCACCATTCCATCGACAATCGGTGTGCGTATGCGGGTGCACATGTCGCTCTAAACCGCGAGAGAACCGAAAACAATCGCACGTCCCCCAGCCATGGCCTCGTTGGCGCTGTTTGTCGAAAGCAGCAGCAGCAGCTTGGCTTGTTCGGCCGACGAATCGTCCAACCTCGCGTCGTCCAGCTCGACTCCGCCCACGACCGTCACCGACAGCGACTCCCTGCACTCGGACGCCTCCAAAGATGTCATCGCCGTGATTGACGACTCGACCGTTGTCGCCGTCGCTCCGCCGCCGCTGCCTGTGGCCGACGTGCCTTCGCCGCGACGCCCGCAGAGGGCACGTGCCAGCCTGCCCGTCTACAACCTCGCCAAGCTCAGCGGCACGGCTGCGCATGGCAAGAGGCGAAGCAAAGGCGACGTCGTGGCCGATCGCCGCAGACGTCGCACCATTGCGAATGCGGGCGACGCCGACGTCGGGGCCGCGCTGGGCTCGAGCATCGACGCGTTGAGCCTCGCCGTGGCCGCCGCCTCCAGGAAGACGCCGCGCGCACAGCGCCTGGCGCGCCCCTCGCCGCGCTCGCTGCGATCCGTGGCGCGTCTGGGCACTCCCGCCGCTGGCGATGCTGGCGACTCGCCCGTGTCGTCTTCTGCCGCCAAGCTCGCCGCCATTGTCACCCGGCGAGGGCGCAAGCCCGTCGGCAAGACCGGCGTCAAGATGTCCCGCGAGCTGCGCCGCCTGCAGGACACCAAGGAGTTCAGCCACATCGACGACCGGCCTGTCGTGCACAGCGTCTGGGCCAATGGCAAGTACATCGATCCCAGCCAGCCTGTCGAGCGCCGGCGGCCGCGCAAGAATGCGAAAGTCGACCACTCCGAGATCGAGGTCAAGCAGGAGGAGCCCGAAGAGCCTGTGCCTCAGTTCAAGAAGCCTCGGGTCAAAAAGTACATGGACCACGGTCTCTATTCCGGCCAAGACATGCCCAAGGACATGGTCCGGGGACTGACGGCCGCCGAGAAGAAGCAGCTGGCGCAACTGCCTGAGCTGATGCCCTGCAAGGAGAACAAGGTCATGCCTGCGCCCATCTTTGGCGGCTTCCGTACGCTGCTGGCTGGCCGCGACTTCAAGCTGCCATTCCAGGTGTGCAACCCGCTACCACCAGGCCAGCCCAAGCCCGACGAGTGGAAGAAGATGACCAAGAGTAAGTTTTTTTTTCCCTCTAGTTCTCTTTATTGCTTGCGTGTATGCGCCATCCCTTGTTCTAATCTCGCTTACTGACCAATTGTGCCTTGTAGACCGATTCATTGGCGAATCCAAGGAAGTCTGGAAGAAGATGCCACACATTCTCGATTATCAGTCCAAGTGCGTGTGCAACCCAGAAGACGGATGCAGCGAGAGCTGCCAGAACCGAATCATGCTTTACGAATGCGACGAAACAAACTGCAACATCGGCAAGGCCTTTTGCACGAACCGAGCCTTTGCCAACCTCACGGCCCGGCGAGCCAGAGGCGGCAAGTACCGCGTTGGAGTCGAGGTGATCAAGACGTCAGACCGAGGCTACGGCGTCCGCAGCAATCGCTGCTTCAGGCCGCACCAAATCATCATGGAGTATGCGGGCGAGATTATCACTGAAGAGGAATGCGAACGACGAATGAATGAAGTTTACAAGGATAATGAGGTATGTTCTTCCAACTCCCCTAGCTGTATTCTTGCCTCTGCCTTTGTTTGATTGGCTAACACGTCTCTCTTTTCCTTCTTTGCCTTGCCTTTAGTGCTATTATTTAATGAGCTTTGACCAAAACATGATAATTGATGCCACGACGGGCAGTATTGCTCGATTTGTAAACCATAGCTGCAACCCCAACTGCCGTATGATCAAATGGATCGTCTCAGGGCAGCCTAGGATGGCTCTTTTCGCTGGCGATAAGCCCATCATGACCGGCGACGAGCTCACGTATGACTACAACTTTGATCCCTTTTCAGCAAAGAACGTGCAAAAGTGCCTCTGTGGACAGCCCAATTGTCGAGGAGTGCTGGGGCCCAAGCCCAAGGGGGTCAAGCCTCCGCCCAAGGAGATTGTCGCAAAGGGAAAAGGCAAAGGTAAAGGCCGAGGAGGGAAGCGGAAGCTCAAGGACCTGTCAGGCAACGAGGAGAACCAGGACCCCAACAACAAGGCCAAGAAGCGCAAGACTCTGGACAAGCCAAAGCCCATCAGGACCCTCAAGGCTGTCAAGGCATTGAAGCCCGTCAAGGGACCAAGGGTCAAGAAGGCGTTGAAGCCAGCCAAGGCAGCCAAGCCCGGCAAGACTCTAAAATCCATCAAGGTGGTAAAAGTTGCCAAGGCTACAAAGGCTACCAAGGCTACCAAGGTTGCCAAGGTTGCCAAGGCTGCAAAACCCAAAAAGACCCTTCAGCCTACAACTGCAAAGACGACCAAGAGGCCATACAAAAAGGTCAGCATCAAGCTGGTCAAGAACACGGCAACGGCCAAAGGCCAACGAAAGCAGCGAGAAAGCACCACCATCACCGTCAGCGGGGCAGCCTCGGGGATTTCCGTCTCAGTATAAGAGCCGAATGAGGAGATGATGATTTCTATAGGGAGTGCATTATTTCTCATGTCCTTTGGGCAACGAGAAGGTGTGATTCAACATGGCTCCCTAGCCTTGCCGAGTGTATGACGATGTTATAGACACTCACTTGCGGGCTTTGAATGCTTTTTCTGGTTCATCACGGATTTCATGTCATGTTTGCTGGGACGTCCTCATATCAAATTTCTAGGGGGGCGATTGGCTTCTAGGAGGCGCTGGGCTAACATTATTGCTCTTTCCTTTTCTCCCCCTTAACTTTATGTGTGTTTTTATCTTAACCTTTATGTTTTTGGAGGATCAGGCCATGTTAAGATAGATTTTTTTTTTTTTTCACTCTTCCTTTTAAGCTTTCTTGTATTTTTTTATATTTTTTTTTTTTCCTTTAATGAAGGGGAGGGGGGCAATTCCTTAATGTTTCCTTTTCTTCCTGTTCTTTTTTGATGGCGAAGGGGTGAAGGAGTGAGTTGCAAAAAAGGGTTTGCTTTTTTTCCTTTTTTTCGCGTCTTTGGAAGTTTTTGCTTTTGCTTGGCTAAAGTGTGTGTGTTCTTGCATTTGCTTTTGTATTACAGTTTTGGAGTTGGAGATGATTTTTACATATACGCGGTAATGAGAGCTGATGATTTTGGTGTTACGTTTATGGCCTGAGAATTTGAGTGAATGGTGACCATTTTCCTTTCCAAGTCTGTCTTTCTGTACAGACTTGAAAGAATGCTAGGTATTGCTAGTATACGGCAAGTGTAGAGTTTCATTTCTTGTATTTGATGTCATGGTGTACTACATTGAGGGTTTTGAGAGACAAAGGCCTTTAAAGAGCATATATATATTGGGAAACCCGCGGGCCTGAGGATTTGCTTCTTTAAGGTTTGATTAGAAGAAGGAACATTTTGCTTCAAACGACACAATATCCAAGAAACGACAGCATGGCCGAGATGGAGCTTCGCATTCCAGAGCTTTACAAGGCCAAGACAGATCATCACAAGAACAGCTGAAGAGTGCATACTACGCCAAATATAATATATTTATAACAGAATGTGTTGGAATTCTGATAAATACAAGGTGGATTCGAAGTGACTATCTACTCGACCTGTATCCCCGGCTATCACATACTGAACTTCAATTCTCCACCACTAAGCCTGGTCGCTGTTGACACAAGCATCTCATGAATACATGACCTATCCCTGGATACCAACGGCAGTCTGGCAGAGAAGATCTTGGCCAGCCTAGAGGCGATGTGATAATTAGCAACAAGACAGGGATAAAATCTGAAAGCTGGGTGATTGCTTACAACGGGAACAACACAGCAAACAGCCTGGTCGCCAGTCTTGGCGCAGATGTTTTTAAAGTCGACGCCGTCACGGGGCGTTTGGGTGGCTGTAGGACGCCAATTAGAATGTATTTGACCAAGGGGCCGTTGTATAAGCTTTTCCTAAACTTACGAACTTCGCAACCGAGGCCAACTATGCCGAGGACTAGGGTGTCACAGCACTGGGGGTTGCTGTAGAGTCCATTAGGACAGAGGGGGGCGGTTCCAGTGCGAACCTCGACGGGGCCGGCAATGGCAGCAGTGGCAAAGAGAGCGGTGGCAACGAAGAACTTCATCTTGAATGGATTTTTGGTGGGATAACTCTGAGATGAGAGTGAGTTGAGTTTGTGAGAGGTGCTGAAGTAGAGGAGACTGGAGAGTGGCTCAGGCGAAGGCTGTTGATGAGGATGGAGAAGAAGAGAGTAACTTTATGAGAGCAGGAGACGGCATATTTATATTTCATGGACACGAAAGCAATCTCTCACAACACCCTCGAGGGACGGCATCATCTCCCCCCTGTTCAAGCCAGCCTCACTCAACACGGCAACACAGACGCAGGAGCCGCAGGTATCCCTGCCTAAGACTATCTTCCTTGGCACGGCCTCCCAACAAAGGTCTAGCGAGAGCTCTCAGCTGCCCAACTTCATCATACTATTATCTTGTTCATTGCGACTGTATCGCCGATGCACGCCTTCTGCGGCCAGGTGGATAGCTCATATCCAGTCGTGCAACGAGACCGGGAAAGGGGGCGGAGGGCGTGCCTGGCTTTCTCCTTCTTTCGGGTAGTAGTAATAACACAACGCAGGATGGAATACTGGAAGAAAAACTGGGTTAGTCCAGCCCAAGCTCATATTGAAGCAAGATTTTCATCAAGTTGTTGTGTATCCCATCCCAAGGCCAGGGGGGAGAGGACTGTATTGTAAACTCATTACACGATACGAGGAGATACAACATTTGTAGAGAATCACTACTTGGGAATCTGTGTCATTACTGGAAATCGCGTCCATGATTGAGTATCACGTTTATGAACAGAATATGAAGAGACTATTGTCCAAATCTCTCAACCAGTAGCCGCCGTATAAGCAGATCCTGAGCCCGAATGATTCATCTACGCAAACTCGGACTCGGATAGTTTCCGCCCGTCCACTCCAGATGCATGCCTTGGGGGCCAAACGCACGTCTTGACTCATTGATTAAATGTCTGTGTTTCCGTCTGACCGATCCAATCAGCCACAATGATCATCTGTGCCTGCTCCAATCAATATGGGTGGGAAGTAATTCTATACACTACATGTCACCTTCGGAATGTATAGCAGTCTTGCTGCCAGTCAGTATCCTAAAAACATTAAGAGAAAAAGATGTAACACTCTCTAAACTATTTGTTGACTATCGCTGTCATTAGAAAAGTAATGTACACTATTTCTTACAAGTTTGACCTTGGAGGTCAGCTTTATCCACACCCGGCATATCGCACCATCCAAGGCTTCCCTCGAGACTCATATCCGATTCGGACCATCGCAGCCCCAGGCATCAATTTTGGCTAGTATTAACAAATCTCGAGGATCATATACTCCATCTAGATTGGCACTTCCGAGCCAACCAGATCCTATTGCCAGGATTTACTCTCTACGGACCGTCGGGCCATCAGCCCGGCCCCCACTCGGTGAGGAGGGATCGGGTTAATAACCACGCAAATCAACGCGGGTCGAAAGCCTGAGACGGCGTTCCTGGCTTGATTTTGCAAGGCCTGATTTTGACGTTGGCTAGGCAGCACATTCTGAGTTGTGAGCACCTGCAAGTATCATGTGGTGCAACCAAGACCGGGGATCCATGTCCCGTGCCTGCGAGCTGAACTGGACAGTCCAGAAACGGCTTCCATGGCTGGCTGAATTTCAGCTTTCCTCGGCTCTCTGCCGTCATAGCGTCATAGATATTATATACTTACATATAATACTGGTAATTGCCTGTAAGGAAAAAGACCGCTTTCCCAAGTTGATACAAGCAGCAAGGGAGGGAAAGTGGGAAGCACAAGCTCAAGCCAAGCCACTCAATCTATTACTCTATCGTACTTAAAGTTAGTCTCAGTTGTTTACCTGCAGTCTCCCTTCCAATTACTGCACATCACTTCACCCCTGGCAATGACACGGACTTTGGGCTTTCAGTCCAACGAATCTGACACCCAATGCCACACGCGTGCATGGCTTTGTCTGTGCGTCAGAGAACAACTGCTACATCTACAAGCACTTCCAAGTCCTACCTAGTAGTATTCATTATTCATACATACATACATACATACATACATACATACGTGTGCCATCTAATATACGTCAGAGCCGTCGCGTATATACATCCAAGTACGGGGCGCTTATCTTGCTATTAATAGCAGTGGTTACAATCCGTTGGCCCGTCGGTAATGTGCCGATCTAGGTGATCATCGGTCAGACTTCCAAAATGATAATGATGCTTGTGCTCTCTGGGGCCCTGTCAAATCTATCTGCCAGTGACAATCTCTTGGCTCCGAGCAAGCAGAGGATATGTGTTCCTCCTATCATTCTGGTGCTACACGACGTCGTGTTTTTTTAGTGAGCTTATCATACTTGAGTGGCACCTACTTGGCCCGTTAAGATGATCCGGTTTGTCGCCGCCTCTTACATGGATCGGAACAAGAAACAGGGAAACGTCCCGCGTAGGTGACATTGCAGCAGCCACTTTGTCCCTATTTGTCGCCATGCATCAAATTGTGGCTGTCTTCCCGTGCCATCAAGCAAGTAGTATCGCGGGCCGTGTTGTCCGTATACAAGTCAAGCTGACATCACATACGCTAAGCCACCCCAAGCATGAGAGCCGGGGAAGAGGGCATCAGGCTATTGATAGAAGCTTTCCTTGGCATGGGGTATTGGCAAGCGTGTCCTAGGTAATAGTGATGGTAGTAGTAACAGTATAGTAGAAGCAGCAGCGGTGATGGTATTTTCAGCTACGAAGATCCAAGTACCATCGTGTGAAACCGCAGCTCTGCACGTACGAGTAAGTGAGGCACCTAAAAAGCAATCCCATTGGCGAGAAAAGAGCATGGATGTTCACGGGCTGCCGCGCCACGTCCAGGGAGGTCGTCCACTCATATGCCTGCCAAGCCGTGCGGCTGTGGATGCCAATCTCGCCCTCGAAAAGCCACATATTTTCTCAATTGTCTGCATCCAACATGCTTGGTTTTGCCCTCTGAAGTGAGACACTCAAATCTACCAGCTACAAGGAACAAAGAGAGTTGATTTTCGCAGATGGGAAGTCTCAGGTGGCACGTCCATGGGCTACTTATCGCAACAGCAGTAGTAGAATTGGCGTTCAAGTTACGCAGTGCACATTTGACATGGCACATATGGTGATACATGTCTATGTAAGGAGACCTTTGCCGTTACATCAGCTAGGTGCGAAAATGATAATACTAGTAGTAATACTTGTCCGGGGAATTACTACCAGATGGAGGAAGCCGAAGGCCGATATTCGCACCTACCCTATAATTTCAAGAGATGGTCTTGGGAATGGGGCAGAAGATGTCAGAATTTAGCGAAACGCGATGAAAAGGAGAGCAATATTCTTTACAAGGTGGTTTTCAATGGGGTTTCTCGTCGCTAAGGCGCGACATGGTAATGTGAGTGCTCTCTTTTCTGCTTCGAAGCTCACTCTATCGCTTACCTGGCTTTGTCGATCGGGCGCCATTGTAACATAAACAAGCAACCTTGGTCAGTGCCAAAATCCGGTCTGGCGTAAATAATGCACATTCTGTGTAGACAAATGAAAACTTTTGCCTGTATTCAGCATCAATGTTTCTTGGCGGCTTCAGTTCTAGGGGGATTGAAATTGCCATTGACTCGCCATTTCAGGATCCGCAATCTTAATTCAACGATACATGTATGTAGCGCGGGAACCTCTTCCACTGGCGACTAGTGAAATCCTACGCGTTTCTCAAAATCGCCCAGAGAATGAAGCACACGCTCTATTGTGTCATAGGACATTGTAGGCTGCGAACATCCCCATTTTGAGCGTCGCAATGCAAACTGCTTGATGCCCTTACATCTCAGTGGCAATCAAAACTCCTTATAAGTTGCAATTCGGTTGGGGATAGTATCTAAAGGTGCTAGCTATTATGGTCCAACGGTTAAGACATCAGTTTGTGGTATCACTGCAAACCACTGAAGACCGAGGTTCGACTCCTCGTAATGGCACATTTTTTGCCCCTCGCTAACATTTTTGTGAGCCTGAATCTGCAGTGTTTTTTATTTTTGGTAACCACATCTGGTCCATTTCTTTTCAGATAAATACTCATTTAGCTAGTTGGCAAGAGCATGTTGTTACAACCAAGATGTATGATTTTGAGTCGGCAATTTGCCTCAACGAAGCTCAATCGCCAAGAGCTAAGCTGACCCTGCGGGAATCTCGCAGCAAAATGGACATTTCATTTTGAGACTCATTGGATCGCAGTATGCCCATAATGCTAAGTCCTGATGGAAGGAAGATCCGCCCTGTATCTGATTTATTTTCAGTGAAATAACATGGCGTTCTTGACAAAGACCTGCAATCGATCTCGTGCTTGATTGAATGGTGAAAACTACGAACCACGCCCAAAATCGGGCGAATAATGGCACACACTAAAAGGCAGTGCAGCATCATGTGAAATAACAAGGCGCCAATGATTTAAGCCTAGATATTCGGATGAACTAATGATGAAAAAGAAAGAGAAAAAGGAGCGTCGTGACTTCACAGCCACGCCTCACACCCACCAACTTTTGTCCGCCTTAAACAAGTGGCAGCCTCGGCGTCAGCGTCAGCGCCAGCATTTTAGCATCTTTTTTTCTTTCAACCCTGCGATCAAAATTGTAAAAAGGCCCTTTATAGAATATTTGCCGCGCCAGTTTAGTACGTTTGGGCAATATCTCATATCTCACCGCTACTGCAGGTGGGCAAAATGAGATGAGGCTCAGCCACCTGCAGGTACAATCAAGAGCCTCATCATGTGGATTCGACCATCTGTTCTCGCCGAATCGCAGCGAGCTATATCTGGGAAGATTTGAAAGTGATTAGTGATGGCTTTTTTGTCCACTGGTGGTGAAAATCCTCTGGAGACGGAGCATACTGAGCAGTTTTATGGGAAGAGCCTTCATTCGTACCGACAATCATGATGCAGCACATACGTTTTCATCGAAGTGTCCAGACTGAAGAGTGTTAAGAAGAGGGTATATTAAAATGAATGGCCCATTAAAACGAATGATACTCCTCTAACCGCAATATAAAACAAATCTATCTGCCCTGATACCAAAAATAAAAAAAATAAAAAAAAACGAGTGAACCCCACAAGGGGTCGTCAACTGCCACATCCCCAGCTCGGCAAGATGAGCCTCATTAGGCGCCTCGCGTTGTCCCCATTTGATTCATATCCCAGCCCAATTTGAGATTTGCCGCTTCGTTGCAGTATGACAAGTAAAAAGTTGATTCCCGATGATATCCTCCTTTTCCCACCGCTGTCAAGTGTATATATATGTAAAAGCATATAAAAGGTGTGTATAGAGAATGACGAGAGGTAGGAAATATGCTGTGAAGCCAAATCTAATAAATAGTCGTCGTAGTTGACAAAGATCTTGATAACATGACTGTCCAATATGGTTCATCGAAGAGCTTGGCGAGTTCGACAGTGACTGGGACAAGTGTATGCTGGCATTCGTGTCCAAGTTCTAACGAGATTTTGCAGGTCCCACCGAGTCAACGAAATATGTGCAGTTTGCACAACGTTTATGTTGGCAGCTTGCCTCAAGGCACTGCACCGTCGTTTGGTACACCATTCCACCCATGCCGCACCGGCAACAGGTCCAGGTATCGACTGTCGCACCCATTGTTTCGAAAAGAGATTGAAGTTGTTGTGAGAAAGGTGGCTGAGGTTTTGGATTGTGGTTTTGTAGAATCGATGCTATGTTCCGACTCTGAAGTTGTGATACTACTCTTCGATATTGGGAATTTGATGAAAGACACTTCCCTTTATATGTTCATATTGGTCGTAACTATTCCACAAATCTTTTGCCATTCCCACACATACACCGAGAATTCGCCAGATGTTCGCCTTCTTCATGAGTTGCGTAAATGCCAAAAAGGCAAAGCCGGCGCAGCATCACAAGCCATGGTTCGGCGAGAGATTGGACATGGACGTGGTCCATCAGTGGCCGTGATAAAGGCAATCGGTAGCCTGCCGGCAATTCTTGAAGTGCAACAGTCTGAACGTGAGCCAGGACTACTAGCTAGTTAAGACAGGGCCTTCCTCACCGAACGCTGAGAGCCATTACAGCGAAAGAAGAACGACAAAGGTATTTGTGACTATCCGCAGGGCCAAAAATCTAAGCGAGGCGGAAACTGCGCCTTGGCCTAACCCAACATCTTGGAGGGAGCCTTACAGGGTGTCATCGTCATGTGAAGGGCTTTTCGGAATCCGAAAGGCGGCAATATCATCTGCGCGGATTATTTGGGACAATCGTGATCAGTGCGTAATATTCTTGAGCGAGCGATGAGCGAGCTCTGCCTCTTTGGGTTTTCGCCGACGACCTCCCGAGCGGTTGACGAGGCTGTGCCAAGGGTGCATCTGGATGTCAAAGTTTCGTCTAGCGAGGCAGTAGAGCCAGTTTCCCAAAGACCATCAGCCTTTGGGGTGGCCTTGTTCGCTCCTTCCTTCACTTTCTTTCACTCTCGTTTTATCGTGTAAAGCGTTTTTTGTACTCGTCTTCAGGAGCCCTCTTCTCGAAACTATCGTATTGCTCTTAACATTGAGCTCGCCGTCAGTGTAGAAGTTGAAGAGATGAGAGAGAGAACTTTTAAACTGGATTTTTATTTTAATTGAAAAAAAAAAAAGATAAGTGTTATTTGGTGTCATGTGCGATGTTTGCTTGATCACTAAAGAATAGCTCGAACAGGATGATATCTGGCACTTGGCCGTAATTGCCTGCGCAGCAATCGCATGAGACGAAGATAAAAGAATAGACGAGAAAAAATCGAAATGAGTGGCATGAGATGGGACAGTTATATATCATCGCAAAGAAGCTACGTTGCTTCGCCGTGGCTGCCACAAAGGCTGTCAAAGGGCGTTGGTAGAGCCTCATGATGCGCTCCAACAGCCTCAACATGGGCACCACGAGCACAGGTGAATGGACAGACAGCAAGGCGGGATAAACACCACCTTTCTCAGAGATAACAACGTGCGGCTACGAGTTGGCCTAGCGAAGATGTTTGGGTGTGCTGGCAATTAGGTATCTACAGCAGTAGGCAGGACTCTGCTCAGTTGCTGGGCCACTGTAGAGGACCAAAACAGCCTTGCAAGAGCCTCATCATTGTGGGGTGGGCACGGGGGTGGGGGATCAGTAGACGGCAACGAGCGTTAATGCATCGAGCCGAGTGCTAAGAGGACAGTAGGATTCCGAAATAGTGGTGGGCTTGAAGAAGGAAACGAATTATGAAACAGGAATGGCGTTGGAACACTTCTGGATGCTACAGTACAAGTATCGGGAGTCAGAGTTCTAGCTGCCGTGTTTGAATTTCAAAGACGTGCCAGCAACAGACAGGGATTTTAAATTAGGGACGGGAAGCGGCCAGGATTCGCAGCTGACAATGGCCCGTAGCGTCACTAATGACGGTACCGTTATAACGAGCCTGGCCACTAATATAGTGCGTACATGTTAGAGGAGACCCGCCCAGGATCGGGATCGCATCTGGTAATTTCAAGATTATCAATGTCATGGATCACGCCCCCCCATTGCACACATTGGCAGCTTTTTCTCGTTTTTCTCTTCTTGCAGTCTTCAACACCATCACAAGCCGAGCAGAGCAGGCTGCGATCATGATACGGTCGCCATGCCGCGTCCGCACCACAGCACTCGCGCTGAGACGCGCTGGGCGGTGCGAATCATTCCTTTGTTCATCGTTGCCGTTCTAGGCGTGGCCACCTACAGCGTCGTTGCGAGACTGTGCAGTAAGTTGGATATCTGGATCGATCAGAACCTCTTGACATGGTGGATGGAAAATCAAAAGCTCTAACCAGAATCGTCCCTTGCAGTCAGCTACCTCTACCACAAGAAACACCAGTCCGGCGTTGTCACGGCGTTCCTCGTCCTTTACTTTCTATTCTTTCTATTAATGGCCGCGGCCTATCTACGAACATTCTTTGCAACCCAACTGAACCCAGGCCTCGTGCCCCTTTCCTCCCGCGAGCAGATCGAGCGCGAAGCTGCCGAAAAGCTGCGAAAGCGAAGACACAAACGCAACCGAGATGTCGAAGAGAGTGCCTACGTGCCCCCCGACCCCAGCCCGGACAGCCCGGGGCTGGAAGCCTTCTACAGCAAGGACGTTTTCGTCTGCGAGGTCGACGGCCGTCCTAAGTGGTGTTCCGAGTGCCAGCAGTGGAAGCCGGATCGTTCGCACCACTCGAGCGATCTGGGCCGCTGTGTGAGGAAGATGGATCATTTCTGCCCGTGGGTTGGCGGCATAGTATCTGAGACGTGTAAGTTTTGAAAGCGATTCCCACCACAGCCCAAAGAATACGAAAAAATATCAGAGAGAAGTGCGTTTTTAACAATTCATTCTTTTTGAAATTCTACAGCCTTCAATTTCTTTACGCAATTCTGCCTCTACACTGGCCTCTTTTCTGCCGTGAACCTCGCCGTGGGAGCGTATTCTTTCCACCAACACCATCAAGATGGGGATCCAACCGACGGATGGGCCCTCGCCGTTATTGTTCTTGCATGCGTCTTTGGCACCTTTACCTTTGGCATGGCGCTTACCTCGATTCGATTCATCTTTCTAAACACCACAAACGTCGACATGCTTAAGAGGTCGCATGTGGTCGTCTTGGCCGTCCGCATCCCTTTGTCTACTCCGCCATCAATCAAATATCCAGTCGTTGTGTACCCTCTCCGCGGGCCACCGCACCGCCCCGGATCCGAAGGCCAGCAACCCAGCAGCCAGTATGGCACCGTCTCTGCCAGAGATCAGCAGGCAGAGCGCAAGTTTGCCATCCTCCGGACGAAGCCGCGGGAAAACCCGTGGAATCTGGGCATCAAAGAAAACTGGAAGTCCGTCATGGGAGACAACATCATAGAGTGGTTGCTCCCCATTCGTCACTCGCCGTGCTGTAACCACGAAGGCATGGAGAGCGATTATAAGCTTGGGCCTCTGATATCAAAAATAAGAAAACGATATGGAGCTCCCGAGCTTGAGACTCCCACTCGCAGTGGACACGCCATCGAATTGCAGGATAGAACTAGCCGGCGCGCCAGTGATTGATTGATTGATTGATTGACTTACTCAGTATCTGTCCATCATCATTCTCACCCTTTCATCATTCCATATCATTCCCATTCCCGACTGGCAGGATTTCTACTTGCCGGTTTTGTTTTTTCTCGCATGGTGGCGTTACATTGATTTCCAGCAGCCTATACCTGCTCTATTCTCTAATCGATTCCCCTTTCCTTATTGTTTCATTAGCTATGGGCATAGACAGACATGGGGAGGGTCCCATCTGTGCAAAACATCCCTTTTTTCTTACGGTACATGTATATGCATTCTTTATGAACGCGGTCCCCAGAAATGTCTCTTAATCGTTGTTTTTGTTGGTCTAGGCTGGACGGGGAAACGCATCAAAAAATCGGATTTCGCGTCAGGAATGTTGGACGCAAACACGCAGATACAGCTATTAGCCGGCGGCGCCATGCAGCCGACGATCATGCATATACGGTAGCAAATCATCCTCTGGTATCGTTTCTTTTTACGACTGGTCGATTTTCTCTTCTCTTGTCCTTTGCATTGGCCGCTCGCTCCCTCCAAAGAGAGACGGACACATGCCCTGCATGCTGCATGTCGTGTCGTGATATGGAGCCATCGATAACCGAGACTCTCCCCTCATTTCTCTGGTGATGAAAGAGCTGGAGCCTTTTCATGCAGGTCGCTGAATCCATTGGCTGCATGCACGACTCCCAAACCGTCCCCCTTTTGTGCCTCTAACCGCCAAACTACCCATCGCTTCTTCTCCCTCTCGACAAGAGAGAACGTGAACCGCCGCCCTGTATGAAGTATGAAGCACCGTATACACAGCCAATGATGGCTCAATTGAGAGAAGCTCCCCGCTGATATCGCCCCCCTCGGCGACTTTGACTTGTCTCTCACATGTTCATGCGAGAATGCTCTCTGATTTGCCCTTTGAATCCATCACCCCTGTCCATCACGTACTGGTACATGCGCGACATCTCAAGGGCGGGGTCAAACTTGCTGGTCAATGAAAGTGGGTAATACCGGCGGCCATTGATACACCCCAAAGGCCGTCCCGTATTGTTCCTGATGGCGTTATGCTCTTATCAAAGAATAGGTATTCGCGTGGCTCGGGCTTTGCTACCGCGTCAATGCGTATCTTGGGACTTGGAGAGGATCCTACCACCCATGGAGCAGTACTAATAGCGGCAGGCGAGATAGGATAGTAGGATCGCGATCCCGTATATCGAGCCGTGACTGACAAGGACGAAGCAAAGCACCTTTTATTTTCTTGTATCAACCAATAAGTCAAGAGATAGCTGGCTTGATTCCCATATCTAGGCAGTCTCCCAAGTTGGGGCAAAGGAAAAAGACGCGCCTGGTGTAACCCAACATACAGGTAACGGGTGGTTACGTGAACGAGAGCCCTGGCCACACAGCCTGGGCGCCTATCTATACCTGGCCTTGATTGTGAGGAAACCAGAGTTGACCGAGAAGAGTTCTGGCCCCCAGGGCAGGCCGATTGTCAGACAACCTTTCTGACAGGCAGCCCCTCTTCTGGAATCACCAAAATCTTGAATCACATGTGTCGCCTCTGCTAGGTACCAAGGTAAAGAGCTTCACGGAGCCACGAGGCAAGCTGTGGATGATGTACTAATTCAACCTCAGTCAATATACCTACTGTACCTATGCATCCATCTCCGACATTGTATGCCGATTGATTATAGAAAGACACAAAAAAAAAAAAAAATCAGATATACCCATCTTGATTAGCAACGCTGTCCCACAATGGCGTCTATTTTACCGGGCAGAGTCACCGAGGAACGCATGATGCAGATCCGCGCCAAATCCAAGCTGCGAGAGAAGCTCGTGCAGGTGGTAGAAAAGGTCGAAGAACGGCTACAGATTGTGTACGAGCAAATGGAGCTACTAAGGCAGAGAAGATTCGAAATCGACCGGCAAATCATCACGTATGATCAGAGGCTACGCCTGAGGGGCGAGGTGCAGGACAACATGGCTGCTAGAAAAGTCGAGGCCGACGAGCTACGAGAGCAGCTCGCCGTGGCTATCCACGAGCTTGAAGATTACGACGACATGATGCAAAGCAGGGCGCCGAAACATTTGTATTCGACCACTCCAGAAGCGGGATATCGGTACTGAAGGCACAGGCATATGATTTTTCTAGCATTTGAGAAGAAGGGACGATAAGAAGGGCGTGTGTTGTACAAGACTCAACGTGGGTTACTTGTTCTTGCGATTAGGCGATAGTGGCATGGAAATGTGGCGATTCCACCAGGACAAACAGTATGAAGATAATATGAAATTAGTCTTTCTTTCCGTATGTTTCCATCCGGAAGATGCAATAAAAATCAAAAGGAAAAACAGATTCATGATATTAGCGTCTTGCCATCTTGTCATATCTGTCTGGATGCCATTAATTGAAGCCGTACCTACCAAGGTAGACACAAATCTCGACTGGCAGTAGCTCTATTATGTGGGGCCCTTGCATTCTCAAAGTAGCAAGCGAAACTCAACTTCGACATCGTTGCACGATCGACGGAGCCACTGCCCTTTTCAATTGTTTGAATTCGTCTCGTATATTTCAAACAACTCTCCAGTCACAATCTCTGCCTGGGCTGCGACCTTCATGTCTCCTCCATCGCCCGGCGGCGCATCGTCACCGCTTCGCGATGCTCGCCGTTCACGCTTCACGTACCGTCAGCTTGCCCAGTTGGCGACTTACAGCATCACGACACCTCTGCGCGTGATTGCCCACATTGATCTCGATGCATTCTACGCACAGTGTGAGATGATCAGGCTCGGTGTCGCGGAGGATAAGCCTCTCGCTGTCCAACAGTGGTAAGGCGCTCCCTGGCCACTCTCCTCGTGTGAAGCTGACCGAAATCCAAATATCCCAGGCAAGGCCTTATTGCAGTCAACTATCCGGCAAGGAAATGGGGCATCGGACGCCATTGCAACGTCGCAGAAGCTAAGAAGCTGTGCCCGGATCTAATTGCGCAGCATGTCGCCACTTGGAGAGAAGGCGATGACAAATGGGCATATCGTGATGATGCAGCCGCCAATATCGCAACGGACAAGGTGTCGCTTGATCCTTATCGCTTGCAATCCAGAAAGATCCTCGCAACCATTAAAGAATCTCTCCCGAGAGACCTGCAAAAGGTAGAAAAGGCAAGCATCGATGAGGTCTTCCTAGACCTCTCGGCTCAGATCCATGCTGAGCTTTTACGCCGATTCCCCGAGCTGTCGAGTCCGCCCCCATCTGGAGATGTATCCGAACCTCTCCCTTTCCCATCTGCTGCGGCCTTGGAGTGGCAGAATGACAATCTTATTGACCTCGAAGAGGACGAAGAAGCCGTCGACCCGGACTGGGACGACGTAGCCATACTGATTGGCTCCGAGATTGTTCGCCGAGTTCGAGCTCAAGTACGGGAAAAGCTGGGATACACATGTTCTGCCGGCATAGCGAACAACAAGCTGGTTAGCAAGCTGGGCTCGGCTTTTAAGAAGCCTAATGAACAGACGGTAGTGCGCAACCGAGCTGTAATGCTATTCTTGACGGAGATCAAAGTGACCAAGATGCGAAACCTCGGTGGCAAGCTGGGAGATCAAGTCGTTTCTACGTTTGGTACAGAGAGTATCAAGGAGCTGCGTGATATCCCATTGGAGCAATTCAAAGCAAAACTTGGCGAGGAAACTGCCATTTGGTTCTACAACACCATTAGAGGCATCGATCACAGCGAGGTCAATTCTCGAACACAGATCAAATCTATGCTTTCGGCCAAGTCGTTTCGTCCATTGATCAAGTCGTCCGAACAGGCAACCAAGTGGCTAAGGATTTTTGCGGGCGATATTTATTCTCGTTTGGTGGAAGAAGGTATCCTGGAACACAAGCGATGGCCACGTACAATCAATCTTCATCATCGCCACGCTGGGCAAACCCGCAGTAGGGGATGCCCAATCCCCACAGGAAAGCCTTTGGATGAGCAAGCTCTTTTCATTCTTTGTAAAGAGCTGCTTAACCAAATTGTTGCCGAGGGCGGCGCCTGGCCCTGCACCAACTTGAGCTTGAGTGTTAGTGGGTTCGAAGAAGGGGTCAAGGGCAACATGGGGATTGGTGCTTTTTTCAAAAAGAGGGACGAGACCCCTCCTCCATTACGGCCTTTGAATGATACCGAGTTTGAGAACGTGGCTATAGAGCAGCCGAGCAAGAAGCCTCGACTGGACAAGCCCAACATTGAGCGATTCTTTTCTAAACGAAACGCCGGTAGTCGTCAAGGCTCTCCTTCTGAGACACAACCGCTGGATATGGACAAGCAGCAGTCTGAAGTGGCCGATTCTTTGTGGTTTGATCAAGAATGGAAAGAATCGGGCATGCTCGAGCCCGAAACTACGACATCTAGTCACGAGAATTCAGGGCCAGAGGATCCATCATATCTGACGGTCCTAGCCTGTCCGAGGTGTAAGGCTAGCTTCGACGACGAGGTGTCCCTACAGAGCCACGAGGACTGGCATTTCGCCAAAGACATCCAGGATAGCGAACGTGTCAAGCCCGCATTTGCCGAGCAACCAGCCGCTTCCCGCGGCCATGGGTCGAAAGGCTCTGGCCCTGCTTCAAAGCGTGGGCGCCCAAGAACGAAGCGCGAGCAGGGGCAAAGCAAGCTCAAGTTTGGATGAGCCAATACCTACACTCACTGCCATACTACCAGTAGATGGACCTTGTGATTTCATCCTCGGCATTAAGCAAAAGACGACGAACAGTTTCCAGCGGAGAGCCCTAGAAACAAAGAGGCCAGCTAGGGCGCCTGCAAGGTGGGAAAATCTTTTTCTTGCATGATCAAAAAGTCACGATGGCGAACTGCGTTTCGCAAAGAGGGAACGCCGCTCCACCACAGTTGGGCTCTCGATATTGACCCGGTGGTCCACTAGATGGAACAAACTTCAGCTCCGCTTGCCTTGAATTCCAGCATCTTTTTTTGCTCTGGGCTGGAAGATGGCATGGAAATGCTCATGCCTAATGGTATGCTAATGACCGATACCACTACCATCCATTACGTGAACCGGGTATCACAAATCTCAACCATGATGGGACGAAGCGGGGAATCGGATGTTTCCTTTGCTCATAGCCCGGATTGCTTATGCTACAACTGCTCAAAGCCTCTTTCTTTGTTAAGCTTGTGGTCACCTGCTCCTCTACTAAATCAGAAAGCCACACGGCTTGACGAACCTCGTCTGAGCGCGCATCTCAGATTGTTCATGCAGCGTGCCGCTATGGGGTAAATCGTCGTAACGCCATGATAAGGTAATCCTGCTAGTACATACGCACTGCTCCGTATTACTCTCCTGCTATGGAGCAGGTGGTACTCAAAACAAGAGGCAAGGCGGAAAAGGGTGGCTGCCGGTCCGCGAGGAAGCAGCCGCATTATGCAGTCATAGTATTGAAACACACATTCCAAGACATGGATTCTATCCCCCATGATATGCCTCCAATGAGCATTGGTGGCAATCATGTCTGATGCGACCTTGAACGATTGGCCAAGGAGTGGCCTCGCACGCCGCTAGCTGCATTAACCTGTTGTCGACCAAGCTTAGGCTCCAATTGGCCACAAGCGTTGATACCCAACTCAAACTCGGGCTGCAGAGCTTTTCTGTGACCCCCTCCTTCTTCCTGGCTGAGGTAATACGGCATGCCATTTGCTGGGAGCGATCGTGAAGCACTGTCTGCAGCGTTGAAGCGGTGGCTGGAGCCGATGCTGCAGCTCGCAGGCGCCCCCTCCACTCATCAAGGCTCAACTTAGTACGAGTAAGAAGACAAGAGGACTGAGCCTGGGGTTACACAGATCCGAGGGTAGTTTGGCGTGCATCCGGGGAGTGTTAGCGTCTTATGCAATACAGAGAGACAGCACTAGCCCGTTGAACAAAGTTCGTTGGCAAGCAGTGGTGGAAAAGATGGGGTGCCGTGTTGGATGCTGCTCGGGTGTAGGAGACTCTTTTTTCTCTTCTTCTGCACGATATAATTTGTTCTCGGCGTCTCACTCTTGCTTGGCGCAAGGGGAATACCTGGATATCGAGCGTGTCCTTTTTCTCTCTCTTTATTTCATAATTCGCATCGCCCTGCTCCCGGCTGGTCCTCTAAGCTTACTCTCCCTGAGCCTGACTTTGAATAACCGATGCGTGCCCAGCCGTCAGCCTGTTTTATCATGAGATCGCCACTTGATAGGTAGGTATAAGAGAAGGAAGGGGCAAGAAATGCAGGACCTCTGCAATTGGAGGGGGTAAACGTAGACATTTTTGCCTCTTGTCCGGGCATAAAGTCTCAAGTGTTTAGATGGCACAACCTGTTTGCCACAAGCTCCTGCTCAGGCCAAACCGGCACGATGCTATCACCAATGACATCTCCGGGGTCCAAACTCCCCGCTCGACCGTTCTCTGCGCCGCTCGATGATTGATTACTGTGGAGGAGAGAGATGATAGTCTAGTAGCTATGTAGAGACGGTAGACAGGTAGACAGGTACCAGTGCTGTAGGGACTGCACATCTCGCCAATCTGTACAAAGCATGTTATGTAGCCTGCATTTCTTTTGGTGAACGTGGGCCAATCATACATGTATACAAGTAGTACTATTATACACGTACCCTTTCGGACGCAGACATGCAGACATGCAGATACGCAGGCACGCACGCGCAATGCCGCAACGCGCTTCAAGTAGGAACTGCTTCTTTTTGTCTTTGCGCACTGCGACGCTGCTATCCGCGGATGGCGAATCGAAAAGATACCGAAAGGCCCGAGGATGATTTGCGAATGGATTTCAAGATCCGAAATCGAATCGAGACAGAAGAGACCTAGAAACTCAGTGCGGGACGGCGGGAACGGCGACAATCAAGCTTATGCCCGCCAGGAACCATCGACTTCGCCTTGGCCGTCGGTTATCAGTCATTTTGCGCCGACTGGATCTCGTGATAGACACGATGCAAGCGTGTATAAATCACAAAAAAAAAAAACCGGTTTGGTGAAGGCGCGAGACGATGTGGATACAGGCACAGGCACAGGCACCGACGGCAGATGAGAAAAACAAAAATAAGAAGCAAAGATGAATTTAAAAAAAAAATCGAAAAAATCGTAAAAGAGAGATGTGGCTGCATATTCTCACAGCGGGTAGCAGGTGCTAAAAGCGATTGATGAGTGTCATGTCAACTGCGGAATGCCTGGAATCGGTCATACAGAAGCCAATTCTGCGCCTCGGTGTCAGAAATCGCTTCGTGCAAGACGCAAAGGCTCCAGCCAGGGCCCATTCGTCAGACCCGTCAGGCCATTCAACGGCGTTTGACGCGGCCCCTCCCACAAACCTGCTCCTTGCCCCTTGGGGCGACGTGCAGCGAAGCCCAACATCACGTCCGCAAGGCGAAGCGAGGCGGCCTTTGGGCTCCAGGACCGGCTTCCAGGGCCTGGCCGGTTCCGTCAGCCATCAAATCGCCTTGACACGCCGCCAATGGGCGTCCGGCAAGGCGTGAACTCGGGTAGGCACCGCGGATTGGGTGCTAAGCAGGTCCCCTAGTTGTGTCACCACCCAGGTACTAGAAGCAGTACTAGGAGCAATGCTACCGCTAGCCTGGGAATGAAGAAAAACGCCCTGCGTCAGGCCCTTGATAGGAGCCCGATCTTTGCCGCATATCGTCACCGCGTCGAAAACGAGCGTCCTTGTGCGTGAAAGCAGCAGTTTTCAACCCATCTGGCGGGCAACATGTGTCCAAGGAGGCGACAAGGAGGCCTTGTTTTTTCAAATGCAGTGTGTGGTGTGTATCAAGATGTGTGCATGTGTGTGCGCGTGTGCTTGAGCCGTATTACTCCGCGTGCTCCGTACCTATTGGTACTTGCTTCTGCTGCTGCTGCTGTGCCTTTTGCTTATGATGTAGGTACTTGTAGTTGTGACTCTTTGATGCCACATACTTGCCTGTAACTCGTCGTAGCAGCAGCAAGTAGCATTGTGTAGGAGTCAGCAGGCAGCTCCATCTCTCTCCATTCCACCTCGCCCTCTGTCCTATCCCGTCCTCTGCCAGCCCATCCTCCCCCATTACCGGAGGTGGCCCAAGTCAGGCCAGGCCAAGGCCATCCAGGCAGCCGATCACCGTCCAGCACCCACCAGCCCACCATCTCGTCCCAGTCGAGCAGCAATCAGCAGCAACCAGCTGCAGCCTGCGCCGTGCTCCGTGCTGGTTACGAGTCGAGTACCGTACCGTCCTTGTACATGCTGCACTGCGGTGGCCGCCGCAACGGTCTGACAACTGACTGGACAGGGTGCTGGAGTGCAGACAAGCAGGAGTGCAGCAAGCAAGGCGACTGAGCCAGGGCAGGGGTGTGTCTATGGCGGAAGGAAAAAAAACGGGATCTGGAGCCAAGCTCTCGACCCAGCCAACGAAGCTCCTTGCAACGTTCGGCAGCTCTTTGAGAGGTCACCAGCGTCTCTGTGAGCTCCTCATTTGCGCCCCACCCCACCAGCCATTCACACCAGATCATCCGCCTTTTTTTCACTCTTCAAGGCCAGTCAACTCGCTCTTCTCTTCCTCCTCCTCTCCTTTCAGGACGAAGCCGACTCTCTCTTCTCGGCTGCACTGCAGGCCCCCCTTGTCCACACTCTTGCTGAGTCTCCCATAATACCTCCATCTGTCGTCTTTCTATTTGTTGGTATTGCCGCTACTGCTTCCTTTAGCAGGCGGTTTTTCTGCGCTGAGGTCCATCTTTTCTCCCTCACACATTCTCTCTCTCCTACTCTTCGACTCTTCGACTCTTCTCTCTCCTACTCTCGCTTTGGTTCTCCTGCTCGTTGCATTGCGCTGCCTTGCCTTGCCTTGCCTTGCCTTGCCTTGCCTTTGCCTTTGCCTTGTACACAACATCGACTTTACTTTATTCCTCAGCAACAAGAGTCTCGTCAGAAATGTCAACAACAATGTCGCGGCCCACGACTCGCATGAACGAGTACTTTGTGCCCCGTGATGGCATCGATCGTGAAGTGATTTCTGCTGATATCTGCCGCTATCTGGGCAATGATGCTTTGGTGCGACCTGGTCACTATGAGGTATGCCGATTTCGGTAACAGTATCAATCAACCCTGAAGAAAAATGTGCGTGTCCGACTTGACCTGGATTTGCTGACGATTGTTTGTATCAGAATCCACAAACTGGCCAACCCGTCCAGGGTTACTATATTACGGCGTATCGCAATTTGACGACCGTGAGTGCTTTGCTTTGCTTTGTCCTGCTCCTCCCCCCCTTCCTTCTGGTCGATATCATCGATACCGTCATAATTTCTACCACGTCTTCCGGATCTTGTTACTGAAACTTGCATCGCCCTCGACCCGCAGGCCATGATTGAGGATCTCAAGGCCGACTCGGCTCGGTGGGACAGGGAACGCCGCGCCCAGACCGCGCGTAACAGCAGCGGAGGTATCAGCGCCTCGAGATATGCCAATTCTGGCGCCCCTAGACCGAGATCTAACTCTCCTCCAGTCCAGTACCGCTACTCCGAGACCCACCAGTCTCGGCAGCATCATGGCCCTACTGAACCCCCTTTCCGAGATGATTCCTATCCTCCTCGTGATGGTCTATATGACGCCCCAAGGTACCCAGGAACTGGCGCCCAAGGATACAATGGTGCCTCCGGCCCGTACCAGCCTCAGCAGCAGCCGCCGCCGCCGCAACAGCAGCAGCAGCAGCAGCAGCAGCAGCAAGGCTACGCTCCTCCCAGTGGCAGTGGCGGCGTGTACGGCGGCAACGGCAATGTCGGCGGCTTCCAGCAGCCTCAGCAATCTCCCGGACCCGCTGACGCCAGATATGGCGGTAACCCTCAGGGCCCGATGATGAACCAAGGATACCAGAATCCGGATGGCGCGTATGTTACTACTGGTGCCAACATGCCTCCCAGGAACTATCCCAATGATGCCTATGCCGGTGGCCACCCTGGATCAGCTGTCCCACCGCCTCAGCAGCCTGTGTATGCTTCAAACCAGCCTGTCCCACAAGGATATCCCGCCCCCAACTACCCATATCCTAACCAGGCTCCTGCGGGCGGTATGGCGTATGCTACACAGCCTCAGGACCCCTTCTTCGGCCGAGGTGCGTCTCCCAACAAAAACCACCCCAAGCCTTCATCCAGTTTGAATTCGCTCGTCTGATTTTGTAGCTTCCCCAGCAGGCCAAACTACTCAGCAGCAGCAGCAGCAGCAGCAGCCACAAGGGTATGCCTCACAAGGACACGCGTATGATGACACTCCCCCTCCAACTCGCACCTCCGTTCCCCCAGCAGAGAGCCAGACGCCGCCACGGGAATCAAGTACTCGTCTAAGTGACCGGGAAAGCGACAGGAACCATCGACCGCCACCTCCTCGTCGATAGATGAGTTGAGAACATCTACTTCAAGTAGCATCTATTGATCTGATCTGATCAAAACTCACTTCGTTTTAACGCTCTCTGGATCTGAACATCTTCGCCTTTCCCACTTGCCAACTCGATAAGATTTCCGGATACGCATCGGTAACAACTCTTTATGGATTTTGGCAAAAAAAGAAACCCGAAGATTTCAGGAGAAAAAAAATTTGGTTCCCAGACTGGATGGCCTTTGATTTAATTTGTTTGTTTCTTTTCCTTCTCAACGGCTCTTTTAAAATCTTATTTTTCCGGACCATGGGCAGAGATAATCACCAGGAGACGCGCCAAGTTTGATGATTTCTATTTTGTTTTCGCGCCTCGCCATTATCGTGGAACCTTGAGTTTGCCTTTCTCATATCATGTTTTTCTTTTCCTTTCTGTTGTTCTCTCGAGGAACCTTTTTTTTTTCTTTACAAAATGATGCATTTGGTTTTGGTGAGGGATGGGTCAAATACCGGGCTTGCTGCTGGCTACAATGATAGCCTTCTTCGACGAATAACGCCTGCATATGTTTGATAGCACTAGCTCCTGGCGCAAGGTGGTAAAAGGGAAGCACATCTGCGAATGCTTCTTGGGTGGTGGACTGTCTTTGAATCTTGCTGCCCTGGATTGACCATGGGCGGAGTTATTTGTGTTGCCTGGACTCGGTTTTCCTTGGCGATCGCTGCATTCTCAATCAATGCTGGTTGTTCGATCAGTTATGCCATTTAATAGAGTTACAAGGCTGGAACTCCTGGGCAGCAAGGTGAGTCATTATGGTTTGTAAATATTAGCCATAAACCTCTTTGAAAGGATCATTATTGCCACTCCTTCTCTGTTGTTCGCTTTGTTGTTTTTTGACTGCTTTTCGCCTTGACACAACGGCCACGCGGACTTCCGTGGGAGCAAAGGTATCATCCATCACTGGATCTGGCGAACAAGGACTTTGTCTCGGATCGTTCCAATTGACGCTCTTGACAGTCTCCAATCTGGATCCATCGATACCGGAAATCACTTGCCTTCCTTTTCCCAGTGTCGTGTAATTTCTTTCCATCGTTTGCTCACAATGTCGGTTTCTCGTCGCCCACTCAACAAATTTCGATGCCGGACTCGTTTTGATGTCTATTTAGTTGTTCTGTAGCCTTTGACCAGTTAGCTGTTGGCCAAAATCCAAAATCCAGCTCGCCGCAACTGGCACCTACTGATGGTGATGTGGACGGCTGATACATGTACTCTGGGAGTTTATCGTTTCGGGAACCAAAGGCCAAGTGCAAGGTCCCGTAGCACTCTACTCTTGTAACTGCAAACTCGAAAGCTGCTCGCATTCCTGGAAGAGACGGGAGGTAGGGAGGCGTCTAAGCGAGTAGGCGATCGGGTGGAACATGACTGAATGGCTTCGTATCGGAAGATTCATCACACAGACATGAGTAGAGAGAGATTATGACGAAGAGAAACAGAAACAGGACGATGACATTTTTTTGACGAGCTACGCAGCGGTAATACCTGCCTCATGATACACGCAGTAGTGGTTATTCCTTCCATCGTTCCATAGGTAGGTAGGGGGCAACAATCAATAAAGTTGAGCGATAATACATGTATCCGGCTATTCCTCCCTTGTCTGGATTCAAATGAAACTTTCACCGAGGAGCTCTTCTGGCCTGTCTACAATTCCAATCACGTAAGGTATTCTTAATCCTCCCAAGTCGGAAGGACGGAGTAAGATGGCAGATGGTTGATATCTATTCTTCAAGCCCCTTGATGCGAAGGATTCTGATCTCACTTTCTGAGGAAATACAGATAGGACCTAGTGGGCTTAGCCGCCACAATGAAAAACATGCTACTACTGCCTGTATAAGGCGGGCAGCGCAGGCTGCCTTTGGGTGCCTATTTTGGGTGCCTGGCACTGATAAGAAAAACGCGATATTCAATACAAAGTGCGCGGGTTGGAAACGCTGTAGAAGTCTGCGCAGCCCTACATACGTCACTGGTAGCCGATACATGGCGGGGCACTGAGGCCGTCAGCGCTTATCGTGGGATGGGGTACAGGGTACTTGCAACGGCCCCTTTCAGCAGCAAACGCCAGAGGGGAGACCACGGAAATGCGATGGCTCTTGACCACAAAGACGCCTTTCGCTTTGTCTCCTTTGCTCCGCAATGAGGTACCGGTACCTACCTACCTAGCGAGGTAGTGCCTGTCACTCGCTGACGCTTTAGAGGCAGATTAAACACCTTTGGATGTGCCAAGTTTTAAGTACCAGATAGACTGACGGAATTACGCAGAACAACAAAGCAACCCTAAAACGAAATAGAGGTAATAACCACCATGAAATAATTAGCAGTAGTAGGTAGTGGTAGCAGCAGCAGCAGCAGTAATAAATCCCCAGCCCACCCAAGCATTTTACTAATGCCATGATACTAGCCTGCCTGGTTGATTACATGTTCATGGTTTGATCCAAGCCCTGCGTTGTGCAATTTTTTCTCAGGTCAGCATCTGCCGCCTCGCTATAGGCAGCTTGGTGCGCTAGTGCCGCTGCTACAGCGCTCTGGCACCACCTGCCAGGCTTACCCTAGCGATGGACGACCCTGAACATGAACTTTTTAGCGCCTGTTAGCCCCCTATCAGGCTGCAAGTCAACCCGCTGCACGCCTTTTTGCACCGTGGAAACGAAGAGCAAAAAAAAAAAGAAAGGAAACCTAAAAAAAAAAAAAAAACAAGGAAAATCTTATCAATAGCAAAGGAACAACAAAAAAAAAAAAAAAAACTTCCGTAACCCTTCTTCTCCTATCGCATCACGCCAGGGTCGAGACATTCTCTTTAAGCCCATCCCGTCGCCCGTCGCTGTTGATCGCCATTGGCCTGATCGTTAATTTTCTGATCTAATATTTTTTTTCTTAGCCTCTCATATTAATTTTTTTCTGCTATTGGGTGGGCAGCCGGTGCTGGATTAGATGCCCCGCCATCGGGTCCTCCCAACCTAACACCAAAAGTTGAATCTCAGCCCGCCTTTCTCCCACTCTTCTTCCCGCGCCAACGACAACAACACCCCTCTGTGTTGTCGTCCGCTTCCTCTTGATCTCGAGACATGGATTCCGCTACTGTCAGGGCCTTGCTGGCGGCCAGCTTGGACACCGTCGCCGACAACAGGCGCCGGGCTGAGCTGCAGCTGAAGCAGGTGAGTTTCGAGTTTTCCAGAACCATCCATTCGTTTTGTGTCCACCCACCGCCCGCCATCCGTCCTATCTCGAGCGTGAATCCGACGACTAGGGACGGGCGAAAAAGAAGCCAGCTGAGAGCTGGGAAAGAAGAAGAAAGAGAACGGAAAGAAAAGGGATCGAGAGGACATGGACGCGGTTGGACGCATAATTCCCTGTCACTGTTGCACGCTCACTGTCGCTCTGTTTCGTTATGCTAATGCGCCTCTTTGTTCGTCGCCCTCTAGGTCGAAGGTCATGCCGGTTTCCTGATCTGCCTGCTCGATGTCCTCGAAGCAGAGCAAGATGCGAGTGTCCGCCTTGCCAGTACGTCGTCGCAATCTCTCCCCATCCGTCACCCCCCTGTTTTGCTTGCCCCCCCGAAGAGAATATGTTGCAGGGGGAAAAAGAAGGAAAGAAAGGAAGGAAGAATAAATCGCTGCAAGCGCATTGTGGGAAAAATCAAAACAGCGGGCTCTAACATGATTGTTCTCTTTAGCCGTCATCTACATTAAGAACCGAGTGAACCGCTCTTGGTACCAGGTCGAAGGCATCCCTACTGAGAGCTCAATAGCCGAGGAGGAGAAGGCCCAAATCCGAGACCGCCTGGTGCCCATCTTGGCCTCTTCCGAAGGTCTCGTCCGCCAGCAGCTCATCCCCGTTCTGCAGCGCATTCTACAGTGTGATTTCCCCAGCCGATGGCCGCGATTCCTGGAATTCACCCTGGAGCTGCTCAACACCAACAATGCGAACTCTGCGCTGGCCGGTCTGCAGTGCCTGCTCGCAATCTGCCGCGCTTTCCGGTACAAATCCAACGAGAGCCAGGACCGAGCGCACTTTGACAGCATCGTCGAGGCCGGATTCCCGCGACTCTTGGCTATTTGCAACGAGTTGGTCAACCAGGAGAGCGATGAGGCGAGCGAGATGCTGCATCTCGCTCTCAAAGCGTACAAGCATGCTACTTGGGTATGGATACATAATTCCGGCTTCCTTCTCAAGCTTTATTCTCTCCTCAGGTCTGGGGGGAAGAGAAAGAGGCAGAGAGAACAGTAGCCACAGAACAAAGAGCAAAAGAATTGTCAGCTAACGTACCACTTTCTCATCTAGCTCGAACTTTCGCCCTACCTGAGACAGGACCAAGTCAACATTGCTTGGTGCACCGTTTTCCTTCAAACCGTCGCCAAGGCCGTCCCTGGCCCCGTCATGATGCTTGACGAGAACGACCGAGAAAAACATCATTGGTGGAAGGCCAAGAAATGGGCCTACTTTAACCTGAACCGCCTCTTCATTAGGTAATTGGGATGATTAACAATCTTTTATCCAACGTTTCTCCTCTTCTTATCAAAGAGACGAAAGAAGAGAAGGAATTATTCAATCAAGAGCTAACGAATGTTTTCATTCTAGACATGGAAATCCCTCTGCTCCCGGCAAGCAAGACGGAGCTCTCCAATTCGCCAAAAGCTTCGCCACCACCATTGCTCCTGAAATTCTGAAGCACTACCTTCAAGAAATCGAGAAATGGGTGGCCAAGACCTCTTGGCTGAGCAGGCCTTGTCTGTCGTACGTCCTGGTCTTCCTCGACGAATCGGTGCGGCCCAAGGAGATGTGGGTGCACTTGAAGCCGCACTTGACGAACCTGGTCACCCACTTTGTGTTCCCGGTGCTCTGCCTGTCCGCGGAAGACGTTGAGCAATTCGAGGAGGAGCCCGAGGAGTACCTTCACCGGAAACTCAACTATTTCGAGGAAGCCTCTGCTCCCGATATCGCAGCTACCAACTTCCTGGTCAACCTTACCAAGAACCGCCGGAAGGAGGTGTTTGAAATTCTCAAGTTTGTCAACGCCGTTGTCAACGAGTATGAGCAGTCTCCCGATGACAAGAAGAACCACATGGCCAAGGAGGGAGCCCTCCGAATGATTGGAACCCTTGCTCCCGTCATCCTCGGCAAGAAGAGTCCCATTGCTGACCAGGTCGAGTATTTCCTCGTCCGCTACGTCTTCCCAGATTTTACCAGCCCCTTGGGTTATCTTCGAGCCCGAGCTTGTGATACTATTGAAAAGTTTGAACAGCTCAACTTCCAAGACCAGAACAACCTCCTCACCATCTATCGGAACATTCTGGACTGCATGGCAGACCCAGCCCTCCCCGTCCGAGTTACTGCCGCCCTTGCCCTGCAGCCGTTGATCAGACACGAAATCATCCGAACCAGCATGCAGCAGAGCATCCCTACCATTATGCAGCAACTGCTCAAGTTGGCCAATGAAGCCGATATCGACGCTTTGGCCAATGTTATGGAAGACTTTGTTGAAGTTTTTGCTACCGAGCTCACTCCTTTCGCCGTTGCCCTGTGTGAGCAGCTGCGAGACACCTACCTCCGTATCGTGCGAGAACTTCTGGAGAAGGAGAGCAAAGCTGGCGATGACGGCGAGATGTACAACGACTACGATGACAAGAGCATCACGGCGCTGGGTGTTTTGCAGACAATTGGAACACTGATCCTCACCCTCGAGAGCACCCCCGATGTTCTCCTCCACATCGAGGCCGTTCTCATGCCAGTCATAAGCATTACGCTGGAGAACAAGCTGTACGACCTCTACAACGAAGCCTTTGAGATCATTGACAGCTGCACTTTTGCCGCCAAGGGCATCTCCCCCAACATGTGGCAAGCCTTTGAGCTGATTCATACAACTTTCAAGGCAGGAGCAGAGTACTATCTCGAAGACATGCTCCCCGCTCTGGACAACTTCGTCCAGTACGGTGCACCGGCCTTGGTTCAGAAGCCGGAATATGTCCAAGCCCTCTACTCAATGGTGGCTGACATGTTCACCGACGCCGTCGAGGGAGGCGTCGAGCGGATATGCGCCTGCAAGCTGGCGGAGGCCATGATGCTTAGCCTTCGAGGCGGCATCGATAGCTGCGTGGAGGGTTTCATCAACATGGCCATGAACATCTTGGCTGGCCAGGACGTTAGGATCAAGAGCTACAAGATTCATCTCATGGAAATGGTTATCAATGCCGTGCACTACAACCCTATGCTCACCCTGCAGGTGCTAGAGAGCAATGGTTGGACCAACAGATTCTTCAGCTTGTGGTTTGGCAGCATGTCATCATTCAGCAGAGTGCATGACAAGAAGCTGTGCATTGTTGCCATCTCCGCCCTGCTTAGCCTTAACCACGAGCAGGTTCCTGCCAGCATTGCTGTCGGATGGCCGCGATTGCTCCAGGGTATCACTGAGCTCTTCCGAACCCTGCCTCTTGCAATGAAGAGTACGTTTTCTACCCCCTTCCTGCAACCTGTTTCCATCTAATGATTGATTTACTAACTGTTCAAATAATAATAGACCGAGAGGATGCTCTTCGTGATGATTTCACTCTAGATGCGGGCTATGACTACGCTGATGACGACGAGTGGGACGAGAGAGATGTAGCATGGAACGAAGAAGAAGAAACTGCTTCTGGAGGAGGCGATGATGAGTCGCCAGAGACTAAAGATGAGAGCGCCGCTTATCTTGAATTCCTGAATGAAGAGGTTCGTAATATAATACATAACCCAAAGGCATCCGACTAAATTAAGGCTAATTTTTCACCCATCCAGGCACAAAAGTTCAGTCGCGTTATTGACGATGAGGAAGAAGAGGAGCTTGGAGAGGATAGTGTTCTCCTCGAATCTCCACTGGACAAGATCGAGCCCTACCAGCTATTCAGAGCGACTCTACTATGTGAGTGAATTAAGCCGACTTGTTAACCCTCGAATTGCCCACTAACGAACGATTTTCAATTTTTTAGCTATGCAAAATGATCAGCCCCAGTTCTATGCCAACCTTGCAAGCCATCTTTCTGGTGAAGAGCAGGCTCTCATCCAAGACATTCTCGTCAGGGCAGAGGAGGTAGCTCAAGCTCAGCTCCAGGCACAGCAAGCAGAGGCTGCTGCCAATGGCGGCGCCAACTGAACCCTGACCACTTACGATCCAAACGATGTTGCAAGTCGCATATAAGAGAAGCCTTATATAAATGCTGCTTTGTGTGGACACTACGCAACTATCTTCTAGGGTCATGGGCGAGTAAGGCTTTGCTGGTTATGACAGAGATGAACTCGATGATAGTCTTCTTGTTAAGTGAACTTTTGCAAAGGGGGGTTGAAGGAAGAAGCAAAGTTCTCAGAAGACGAAAAAAACGAAAAAGAAAAAAGAAGAAAAAAAAAAAAACTTATAGCCCACTCAATAGGACGTGGGAGCCAAGAAACAATGTCAAATATAGGCTGGCGGCGGGGAGGAAGAATATCAAGGGAGCGGGAAGCAAATTCGCAGCCACAAAAAAATAAGGCTGGACTAAACAACAACCAAGCCAGGTAAGTCTGCTGAGGGAGAGTTAACACAGCTGCTATGACTTAAGCTGCAGTGTTGGGGGGAGATCACTTGGATGGGGGGGATACTTTTATTTTTATATCTTTTTGTGTTTGAAATTGTTGTGACTCAGGCGCAGGCTGGTGATTTGCGGCCAACACGAAAGCGCACATAGGCATTGAATTGGCTGATGGATGGATGGGGTTTACGTACAGCTGAGTGCAAGCCATACAGAAAGAGCACAACGTGTAGGTAGTATGTAGGACCATTAGTATAGTGAGAAAAAAAGAGAGATACAACACACCCGTGGACATGTATCCTTGTGCGCTTGATATTTGAAATTTATTAGACAGGCAATTGGGCAGCGTTATCAGACCGCATTTCAACATGATGCTCCGAATTTCCTTTGACTGGTACTAAACTTGGAAAATCAAACCGCGAGGTCGCTTGCCCCCCCTTGTGTTATCGATTAAGGCTTCGGCGTGCGGCGCTGACCGATAGGCTGCTTAGTGCAGTCACCCCGCTACAGGTCGCTAGGAAAGGCCACTAAAGAGCACGGGCACTCACTATTTGCTATGCTACACGGCAGCCGCAGCAGCCAATTGGTTTAGCAGCGCGTCTGTGCCCCTCTCCGGGCCGGTTTTTAGGGGGCTTTGCTTGCTACACGTAGAGATTCAGGTTGGTATTACCTAAAGCTGGGGCGCCGGAGCCCAATCCGATCAACGTCGTGACAACAACGAGCGGTCCAACCTTCTTTTGTCCTTGCCTTGTTCTTTTGTTTTCATCATCATCCTGCTTTTTCTTCTTCTTTGTTTCCAATTTTCTCTAGATTGTTTTCTTCTGCCTCCATCCCTTCACTGCTCTTCTATAGAATACAATTGACTGAAGAGCACGAAGCTACCGACGGTAGATCATGACGACCCGATACCGCGTCGAGTGTAAGTCTGCCCAATTGGTTCCCCTCATCCATCTCGAGTTCCTCTGCGTAGGTGGAAAGTGAGAGGGGCAATGTCATCTCCGCAGTCTGTCTCTTGGACCATGTCACTGATTTGAAACTACAGATGCCCTCAAGACCCATAGACGGGACCAGTTCATCGGTACGTTGTCTTCAAAGTGCGAATAGCCGCTGGCCTGGTTGCATCGACCCATCGGCCTTGTAGCCATGACTCCAAAATCAAATCCTCCATGGCGACACGCAGGTCAACCTCGCACCTTTGAATGAGGCAATCGGCTAATGTTTGATTCGTTTTGGAATTCGTTTAGAATGGGTCAAGGGACTCTTGGCCGTGCCGTTTGTGCTCTACTCCCAGCCAACGGGAGTTTTTGGCGATGACACCAACGTGGCCAAGATGGCCGAGGAGGCCCACAGACGCTACGCAGAGATTATGAGAGACGTTGAATTGATGATTGACGACCACAGTAGGTATATTCTGCGCTCAGTCATATGTTGCTGCCTTTGTTTTCTTTCTCCTTCTCCTTCTGTTCCTCTTCGCATAGTGGCTAACTGGAAGAAAACAATAGTCGCCCGCCAAAACCAGGATCGTATCTTCCCCTCCAAGCTTGGAATGCTGGTTCCCACCGCGGGACCATTCTTCACGCGGCTGCCCTTGGAGGCAGCCTTCAAGTACCAGGACCGAAAGCGCTACATCTCGTCAAGACGCTATGTGGCGCCTTCTTTCAACGATGTCCGCCTGGTTCTGAACTCGGCGCAGATTATGGCCGTTACGGGCGGCACTCTGCAGCTGGCGACGTTTGATGGTGATGTGACATTGTATGATGATGGACAGAGCCTGGAGCCATCAAGTCCCTTAATTCCACGACTGCTCGGTATGCCATACTCTCTCAACACTCACTCTTCACCGCTTGACATTACCTGCGAGGCCTGCGAGGCAGAAGAGGGAATAGCAGAGGTATTGCTCTGTACAATCGCTAACATGTTGACAGATCTCTTACGCAAAAATATCAAGATTGGCATCGTTACCGCCGCTGGGTATACCACCGCTGATCGATACTACGATCGCCTCCACGGCCTCCTTGACGCCATCGCCACTTCTCCAGACCTCGACCCTGTGCAGAAGCAAAACATCGTCATCATGGGAGGTGAATCCAATTACCTCTTCGAATACGAGCCATCTTCGCCCTATCGCCTGGCGCCTGTCCCCCGCCCAGAGTGGCTCACTCCAGACATGGCGGCCTGGTCTGAGGCAGACATCACGGCACTCCTGGACGTGGCAGAATCGGCTCTTCGAGACTGTGTTCGCACGATGAATCTTCCCGCCCTCATTGTTCGAAAAGACCGCGCCGTGGGAATAGTCCCCAACCCTCCCGAGATACAAATTGCTCGGGAGAGTCTGGAAGAGACGGTGTTGGTGGTACAGCGTATCCTGGAGCTGAGTGCCTTGGGCTCGCCTTCCCAGCAAGCTGGCCAAAGCACGCAGGGGCGCCGAGGAGTGCCATTTTGCGCCTTCAACGGTGGCCGCGATGTCTTTGTCGACATTGGCGACAAGAGCTGGGGTGTGACTGTCTGTCAACAGTGGTTCGGAAGACGCAACGGGGGCACCACTGGAGCCGACGCGGCGTTGACGGCAATCAGGGGCGAGAATACGCTGCACGTGGGAGATCAGTTTCTGAGCGCCGGATCCAACGACTTCAAAGCAAGGAGTGTGGGAACAACAGCCTGGATCGCAAGCCCAGCGGAGACGGTGGAGCTGCTGGATGAGCTGGCGGATTTTATGCAGAAGAAGCTTTCATGAGACTGTTTCGCGAGCTGATTAGGGTTCAACAGCGGTGCATTTCGTGTACGAGAAGCGTAATGTTTTAATGAGAAAATACTTGCTCAACTATCTGTGTTTTGGATATTCTACAAGTGATTGTTGGAGGCGTCTTGGGCATCAGAATCTTGTGTCGACCATCTTGGATGCTACTTGATTGTCCTTGTTGCGAGTGTGATTTATCCTTGGACATTGCTGTTGGTGTTTTTTACATATTATTGATTCCTCCTATATTCTCCTCTACCATTTCGTCGCAGTTCTGGTCGATACTTACTCTCGGCAGACTATCTTTTGCGGCTTGACGAATAAGGTTCCGCGCCACAGCTCTACATGGAGATAATGAGGCCGACTGGATACTTGGTTTGTCTTTTGATGGATATTGCGCATATATCTTTATGACTCAGAGCCAATACGGTAAGTTCCAAGCCACAAGATCCAACTTTGCACCTAAATTCGGTGTATTTAAGCTGACTACCTAGGTACATACCTATATATAGACCACGATCTGGACAACTGTGCGTGACAAGAGACAAAAGTTACATCATCGTACAGATGGCTTGGAACTATGGAGTTATTTCCAAGTCACACAAAACTCTGTCCTGAACCTTGAAATTGAGCGGATTATCCCTGGAATCTATATCAAGGCATAAACGGCTGTGCCTAAAGAGGGTCCCAACCTGCTGTGCTCAAGCATACCAAATCTTCGACCGGAAAAACAGAAGCATTCTATTGAGGTTTCACCTTGCAAATCGACCCATCATCAACGCTGGCGACGGTCCTTACGAGCTCGACACCTGTTTTTTCTTCTTCTGATTTCTTCTGATTTCGCGCTACCTTCTTCAATCGGCATCCATTTAATTAGAGTCAAGATGGTCTTATTTAGGTCCCTCGTCTTCTTCTCGGCGACAGCTTGTGCCGCTACGGCACCGCCATCACAATCACAGGGAGGAATCATGGCGGAACAAGGACTCCCCGATGGCATCTACCAAGCCGCTGCCGTACAAGGCCCTACATTCGAAGCCCCATCGGCTGTCCCATCCAGTCACTTGTCTCTCCGCGGATGGAAACATCCGCCCGGCGAGGGCGACTTCCACGAAAAACCCGGCCCGCATACGGAGGATGAGTATTCGGTGCCCATACACGCCACCAGGCATTCGTGCCACAAGGATCGTCACATCTTGCTCAACAGCACTGAGTATCGCCGCGCCATCGACAACCTCTGGGACTATTGCCAGAACTTCAAGGTCCCCTACCACGGCGCTCACTTGTCCATCGTCGGCGATGTCATGGTGTACGTTTGCGCGTATGGCAGAGAGAGGCCCTGCCACCGACACGAGTGGAACGAGGCGGAACAAATCATGGATAAAAAGTGCGGGCAGGGAAAGGGCTCGCACGTACAGATGAGGAAAAAGCTCAAGGAGTATGGAAGGGCCCACGTTGGGAAGAAGGTTTGCGCTTCGTCTAGCTTGGGAATGGATCTTGAATGGAAGACGAAGCCGCTTCCTGTATTGGTGAATGGCCAGACGCTCGGCCATTGGAAGGCTGGGCCGCCTAGATATAAGGCTGGCGACCCTCAATATAAGGCGGAAGAGGATGGGAAGAAGGAGGATAAGGCAGAAGAGGATGGAAAGAAGGAGGATAAAGTGGAAGATGATGGGAAGAAGAAGGATAAGGCGGGCTAGCTACGATGCTGTGGTCTTCTATTATCAGCCGCACTGGTTGTACTAAACTGTGTTATAATGTTAGAGTCACCATGTTTATTCATTCTGTTCTTGTATGTTCTACTTCTGTTTACCTTGTATCTCTGTCTTTGCAATCGTCTTCATGATATCTATATACCACTTAGCCGATACCCATCTTCGATATAATCTTGTCAATATTATGCACCTAGGTCCTAAATCATTTGTCATCCCCGCTTCAAAGGTCTGAGTCGCTCTTATATCGTCATCTACCGCATGATAACATCTTGTGGTCGCTAATAAGAGATGTCTGCAGATCGCCGCTGCCAAATCCGCCTCCCAGGCTGTCTTTCGAGTCCCGCACGTCTGGGGAATCACCGCGATCGACAGAACGACTCTGCATTGCTCCTAGCCCGACCGTTGAACCTGGCCATCTTGCCCCGAAAACGTCTCGTTTCTCATTACTCGCGACTGACCGACCAGAACCGCTCCTCACCTGACAGTTATCACCGCAAGCTCATTTTCGCGCGCAAGTTGAGATTAATTAGCCCGCACCCGTCGGCCGCTTCTGCCCCTCGTATCGGCCCTTACGACTCTCATGTCCCCACGACGGAATTTTCTTTTGACTCTCTCTGCCTTCCCATTCCGCCCATTCCCCTCCTCAACCTTGTGGAGTGCTGCCTCGGAGCAGCGGCTAAGAAGAGATGCAAAAGCAGAGCAGTCGTCGATCTGCAGTGGATACGAGATGGAGCGCATGAGTCGGGCATAAACCAGTAGTTTGCGGTCAAGATGGAGATTTTTTTTTTCTTTCTTCTTCTTTTTTTTGGAAGCAGTTCGCACTACTTTAGCAGCATCAACTATTGTCTTACTAGATGCTTGCTCGACTATCTGAAACCAAGGTATTTGCTAATACAAACTGCTAGAAAATCTAGAATCTTTGAATAAATGGCCTGGCAGCTGCCGAGAAACAACTTCACGTGATGTAGCAGCTGTGTGTCTCGTTGGAAGGCCTGGAGAAACATTCAGAGAGATCGTCACGTGCTGCTTGGTAGAAATGGAAGTGGGAAGGCACAGCCAGTTTGACAGCCCTAAAAACACTCGCCAAACATTTCATCAGCATCACCACTTTTCTCCCTCTCTCTTCTACCAAAAACCAAGAAAAAGGGCAGAAAACAAGACCGATTTGTCACCTGCGATCCCTGTAAGGTACGTGCTTTCCCATGCAATCAATCGGCATCTCCAACATCCCTGGCCGCAGCTCAACTGACGGGTCGGGCTCCAGGAACCCCCCCTGCTAGCCGTGCTCATAGGCCCAATGGGCTGGACCTCTGCCGATGCTAATTCCAGCTACGCCAATCTAAAGTTTAGCGGGTGGCTCTCCCAGCTCGTAACAGCTTAGGCGTCTCTTTCTCTTCCTCAAGATCGGCAGGCCAACCACATGGCTCTACCTGACGCCCTGGCTTAGTCGGGATTGTGATTGATCAAGCTAGAGCGGTTCACGACGTGTGCCGAGAACTGAAGATTATTCGGTAGTAGTGAGGCCGACGAGACGGCTTTAAATCTTTGAACCACCGAGCTAGGTATTACCTGGTGGCTTTTTTTCTGTCCACTCGCGGTGGCGTCTGCAGCAGCTTTAGGTTCTCGATCCACCAGTGAGGTGAGCCCTTGTTATAGATCTGCGGACTATCCCGTCTTGAGCTGCCAGAATCGCACTTGAGTCCTGTTTCGTGCTTTTGGTCCTGGCCCATCTGTACGACCAAGTTTGGCTTGCACCGGTAAGAGGTTATATCATTCCGAGGCTAGAATCGTTTCTAATCGTAGTCATATGGTGGTATAGGTCCTAGGAGCATGGCATAGGAGCTTGCTTCTTCTTCTTCAACCAATCTCACATTCGTTTCTGTCTCAGAGTCCGTCACGACCGCAAGGCCGTCGACTCTGATAGCCACTCCTTTACTTTTTCTCCAACAATTGACAGCAGCGTCTACCAAGCTGCATACGCAAGCCATGGCTACTCTTCCTGCGCCGCCTTCCGGGATCAATCTCGACGACGATAGACGGGCCTCCATCATGGTTACCTCGATTGTCACCTGGTGTATGGCGGTCCTCGTTGTTGGGCTCCGCATCGCCAGCCGTCGTTTGAAGAACATTAATCTATGGATAGATGATTGGTTCATTATTGCGGCATTGGTATGCGTTTTCTACAGCTGAAGTCATGGAAATGAGACTAATAGCGCTCTTCTTTAGATCCCTTCGTGTGCCCACGTCTTCGGTATGGGTGTATACGGTCAGTAGATTTCGAGATCCGACGCTTTGATCCCAGAGAATGAACCGCAATACTGACTCTTTGCTAGCCGTGAGCCGTGGTTTGGGCAAACATGTTTGGGCCGGTCCGCCAGATGCCCAATATGCCTGGGCAGTGGGATTATTCATCGCCGAATTGGGATACTTTGTGACTATTGCATGCGTCAAATGGTCTATCCTCGCCTTTTATTATCGCTCTTTCAAAATTCGAAGCTCGGTCAAGTTGCCTATATTCACACTTGCTGTGATTGTACTCTTGTGGGCTATCGGTGTCGTAAGTATTCAACTCAGATGTTTTTTTTTAGGCAAACAAACCACCACTTGCTTACTTGCTCACCTGTCTCTTCCAGATCCTCGTTACAATTTTTCAATGCCAACCTACCAGTGCTTGGTGGGAGCGATTCAACCCGACGCACCCATTACAGCCAGACGACTACAAATGCACAGTAGACTCGGTCAAGTTCTTCTACGGAAATGCAATCCCGACGATTGTTACCGATATTTTGATATTGCTGCTACCTCTTCCGTACATCACGACGCTGCAACTCCCCAGAGGACAAAAGTGGGCGCTTGCTGGTATTTTCTGCGTCGGCCTCTTGTAAGTTGTCAATAAATCATTTTATTTGTATTCAGCACTGCAAGCATCGGTATATCTAACTACATGGTCAGTGTCACGATCGTCTCCATTGTTCGCCTTCACTACCTACTTCAAGGAAATTTGACCAGTCCAGATATCACCTGGAACTTTGTTAATATTGCTTTATGGTCTGTGGTGGAAGGAAACACAGCTATATTTTGTGGTAAGCATGCGCCATATAGCGGGACCTTTGAAGCTTCTGGGTGATGTTTTTCTGACTCTCCTCCTCTGCCATTAGCCTGCCTACCTTTCTTGCGGCCGATTCTTAGCAAATTCACCTTTGGCATCTTTAGTCTTGCATCTGCCCCATCCAAGAGACAGCCGTCCAGTGGGACCCGTGGAACCCGTGGAACCCTCAGAATGAGCTACTATCAAAAGGATGGCTCTCGACCTTGGCAGGGTGATGGCCGTTTCAATACGACAACGTCTCATTCTCGAGCGTACAGCCACGCAAACGACACAGACGAACATCCCTTTGCACATCTGACTGACGATGGCTCGGAACGTAGTGTTCCCATTAAGGAGGGGCAAGACGACTCGCAGATTGAACTTGGCAACGTCGCTCCACCGAGAGTCCTTGTCGAGCCCAATAGCATAGTCGTTACCCGAGAAATCCATCTACGAAGTCAACAGATCCAGCCCCAAGACGTTTAGATGAAGGCTATGAGCCCTTGCATGCTTCATTCGCCGTACATAATTTGTACACAAGCACTTGCAATTGTGTGCCCGCTACGATATCCTTTATTAATGACACGATTTGTCCAATGCTTTCTACGACTTTATTTGCTAGGGGAAACTGGTAGCGATTATTTCGCACACCCCTCTCAGGGGGGATATAGGAATGTGTATTATGGCATGGTCCGGTGGCTACTGGTGCACGTAACTGAGGCATGAAATCTAATCATTGAGTTCAATTGCCAAGGAACTTCTGGTTCATTCTAGCTACAATACCAAATAGCCACTGTATCATTTTAATTGAGATACCCCTTGTTTTCTTGTACCGCCTCAGAATTATCCAAAAATGTTTTGAAACGACTTCAAGTTGTCAACTGGTGCTTCGTGCTTGATCATCTCCCAAAGCTCTTCCATGCGCTGGACGATCCGCGGCTCCAAAGGGCCACCTTCCAGTTCCTTCATCGTGTCTGCTAGCTGATCCGAAGTGGAGGCACCAATAATCACCTCATCACCCGTTTCCTTGTTCAAAATCGAATGGTGCCTCACCCATCTGTACGCCAAACCCGCGCGGCTGATGCCCGATTTCTCTGACAAGGCTCCAAACTCTGCGAGCATTTTCATGTACGATGGCTTATAAAAGAGGTCACGTTGGAATTTTCCCGTCGGGGTGTTGGGATTCCAGCTGCCTTGGCCTTGCTCGATGTACTCTGGCGTCTTGGCCAGAAACCCGCCCGCCATGGGAGAGTATGCCTGGATGGAGAAGCCCAGCTTTCGGAGCGTGGGGAATAGACCAGCCTCGTTATGGCGAGAGGCGATGCTGTAGCTGCATTGGTAAACAGATGGCAAAACGTAGCCATTTTCTTTTGCAACGTTGTAGAGGCGGAGAACCTGCTCGAGGGTAAAGTTGGAGACGCCAAAGCGCTGAAAGCTGCCTTGGACGTAGAGTTTCTGGATGGCTTCCATTTGCTTCTCGAACGGAACAGTTTCATCTGGGCCGTGGAAGAAGTAGGTCCTGACCTAAAGAACACATGGAAACAATCATCGTTAGGAAAGCTAGACGACGATAGAATGGAGGTTTTTGAGGCAGCGGCCGTACCTGTTTCGTCTGGAGCGCAGCCAAGCTCTCATAGGCTGATTGCTCAATCTTGTCGGCTTGGCCTTTGACAAAACCTGTTGGCACTTTGGTATCAACAGCGAAATCTGGGCCAAGGTGCAAGTTTCCAATAGACGTCTCTGATGCTCCGCCACCCTGTTTCACAACAGATAGTCAGTTAGAGAGACAGATGGTGAGACGATGTATCTTATTCCATGAGAGACTCACGTATAACCTAGCCGAGTCTAGAGTTTTAATGTTGTGAGCTCGCATGATGGAGATGATGCTCTGTATCTTTTCCACATCATTTGGAGCCCAGGTATGAGTGCCTATGGTTAGGGCAACATAGGAGTCTTCAGACATGTTGGATGATATGTAGTAAGAATTTCCAAGAGATTAAAACTGTGTCAGGGCTGTTTGTAAAGAGTAGATAGGAAGCTGCTTGAACGAAATGGCAGTATGCTCATACGCCAAAGTATATATAGTTCATTGCGCAGAGCCTCCAAGATTGGTGGTTTCCATGAAAGCCACAACGGTAGCAGTCATACCGGTAGTTTCCATGGAAGCCACTATCTCCGGCGCCAGTTTCAATACGGCCGCGGATTGAGCTAGAGCCATCATGGCGAAATTCAGTTGCCGTTCCCCGGCCGCCGGGAAGCTTCCCGCTATTTGCCTCCAGGTACCAGCATGATATGAGGCTGAGTGAAGCTTTGATGGCGGGCCGTGGAAAAATCTCCGTCAACGGCCCCGCCCTGCGGCACCGCGTCCGCTACTACTCCATCTGTTGGCGGCAAGATGAATTTATAATCCCACCACTAGTATTGCGGCGCAATCGTAATTAATAATGGCCAGAGCCATGTGCAAACTCAGGAAGAAGTGCTAAAAGAGCTGGTGCTTTAGGAAAAGTCTGATGCCTTCTTCTTGTCGCTGTGTATGTAGCCCAGCGCAAGCCTGTTTTGTCATGCGTGTATAATCAGATCGTCTTGGATGATATGAAGGCTCAAGTCTTGATTAGCTCCCGCTAATGAGAAACAATCTCTTCAGGCATAATAGGAAGAAATCGGCCGATTATGCTATCCACTCTGAGATATCAATCAACACTCGGATTGAACCATCGTCCACTGCACAGTTCCGAGAGACTGTGAAGGCGCTCCTGTTTGCTTTGCCAGCTAGAGAAATCCAGGTATATGCCAATGGTCACGGCAAGGGGGGTCGTTGCACAGAGTCTCAGCTCTCACAAAGCAAGTGGGTGCTGGCCAAGCTCAAGCCACAAAGACTAAAAGGCCTGGAATCGCAGCTTGCTCTTCTCTGGACTGGAATTCCAAGTTCCTGTCCGCTCAGATGCTCTTCCGGAAGGCTCATGCTCAGAATTGAAAACCCGGTCACTAGACACCTTTGTGTTCACAGCCAAGTTTTAAGTATTCGATGACACGTTGAACCCGCGGTATTCAGTGCACCCATTACACATCTGCGCTGCCACAGCGAATAATAGACAGCCGTTGTGGTGTTGTACAAGCACACTGTCTTCGACGTGGAATGCTCATCTTCAGGTATCGTTAAGTATCGCTCTCAACAAGCTGCCTCAGTTCGGCATGCCAAGATACTCCGGCCGCTTGGCAAGACATATCCATTGCTGAATAGCAAGCGGTATCAGATCCATTATCACGTTACAGACTTGGTTATCTTGGCACGCGCCAATCTCCATGGATCGATCGAAGGAGCACCGAAGGATCAGTCAAGTTGGCTGCTCACATCTTCGTGGTACCCAAAATCCTTGGCTTCAGTTCTTCCGAACAAAAGGTCGATCAAGTAGATGCTTGGTGTCCGACCGCGGTGGAGAGAACTTCAAAGACTTGTCATTGGGCGACGGATATCATCTATACTACACGTGCTTGATAGTTAGACGCCTGTCTCAAAAAAAAAAAAAAAAAAAAAAAACGCGTCGAACGTACGGTAAAATGGAGGTCTCGACAAACAAAAACAATAGGAATCAGTCTGGCTGGTTGATAATCCCTGCCTCTGATAGAAGTAATCATTCAATAACTATTCTTTTGTATGGCTGTTGATCGTGGGTGTCTTGGCGTCTTTCTTGTGCCGCGGCCCAGCCGTCTTCTCGCTCAATGAGACAGGCGCGTAGGCGAGTCGGTGAGAAAGCTTAAATGTTGGGTGGCAGGGAGAGCATAGCAGCCGTTAGAAATTGTAGATCCAGCATGTCTGTAAAGCTCTTATGCCTCTAGCTCCTGGGCACGACATATTCTCAAGAACTGTGACACTGGCTCTTCATCCATGATGTAGGACAGCACCATGTCGATCCAGCAGATTCCAGAACGGCCTTCTTTTAGTTCAAGGGTATGCATGTACGCCTTGAACCAAGAAAAACTCATCTCAATCATCATCCCTAATTTCTTGGCAGGAGGCTTGGCGATACAGCTCGCGGCAGTCAAAAAGAGGCTCATGTGGTGCGAGTTGTCTTGGATTCGAAACCTTGTCTGAAAGCAAGGCGAATCGCCCTTCGAAAGCAGGTTGGACCAGAGCCCTGGACCAGGCAAGTTGTCTCACACACGGCCAGATGTCTGAAAACCAAGCCGGGGATTAACGTCTCACCGAGACGGAAATGTGGCGTGGCTATTTAAGCATACTTTTTGAGTGTTGCCAATGGTGGACCGGCAGATGCTGCTGCTACTGCAAGTCGTAATACTGAGGCCTGTTCCACAAGAGACATTGGAATATGGGCATTGCCATATCTGCCAATGAAGTGTCCTTTTCTTGTTTCCTTCTCCCCGCTCTCCTAGATCAGGCCAACAATACAATCGTAAGTGTTGCATGCTCAAGGCAGTCTAATACAAGCATTTTGCCTTTGTCAACACTGCCGAAGTGCCTAACCACTGTGTCATTGCAGCCCTTTCCGCTGTAACATATCAAGCAGTATTTAACTTTGTTTTTTATGTAACCCTGTGGGTGTTGGTTGTCAAGGCAATGATCGCCCTTGATCAGGAGCGAGAAAATGCTTGCTAAATAACGTTGACGAGCCTTGACGAGATGGACTTGGCTAGTAAATTGAGGTCATTTGGGCGGCTTAATGTTTCAGACTCAAATGTTCGTATTTCAAATCAGATCGAGATCTAATGGCACCCGCGAAAAGCCAGCTGGGGCGGCACAAAAGGATAAGACACTCTCCCTCCATGACACTTTGAAGAGCGATGAAGCTCATTGTCGGGCTGGGTGCATCTGAACAGAGAACGAAGTATAGAATACTTTAGCGAATTGTTTCAGACAAGACCTATTTTTAAGCTTGCTTGTTCTCCACGACTAGCTGCCGCAATGCTTCATGGCGCCGGTGATTTGGAGTATTGCTGAGGCTCTTAAGGACGGAGAGATTCAAAGTCGTATCCTTATTGCCGCAGCAACGGAGCCGCTTCTGAATTTGCTTCGTCTCTAGAACGTCGCTTCTCATCAGTTTCCAATAATGCCTCCGTCGACAAGCAATAGTTGGCTCCCAACTAGAGCCGATAGCTTCTTTACTGGCTTGACTGAGCGCTGGTTGAGCCGGCTATATCCAAGCGAAAGTAGCTTCATAGAATATTGAAGGCGGGTTTCACAACTGGAAATCCGTGCATGCATCCATCAATAGGTCGCAGACGAGAGAGCATGAGGAATAGTGTCAGATGCGTGTGTGGATGCTGCAAGTTGGTCGACCGAAGCGAAAGCAAGCAGCCACGAGCTCAAATCTGGGCAAATTGGCCGGCTGAGTGGCTAATGTGCTTTTCGATCCATCTTTGATCGCCCGCTTGCAGTCCATTATCCTTCCCACGAGGGCAGTATTTACGGCGGAGCATCGTCGTCCGCGTCAATTCCAAGACTAGCGCAGGCTTCCTTCAGTCTTCTTGATAGATGGCGTTTGGCCTTGCTTGGTACAAGCCGCAGTAAGAAGATATGCATGGCGGCAAGTATGTGGAACCTTGAGCGCAGATGATACCCTGGTGGTGAGCGTTATTTTCGCTTGTTGCCGACGAGTCCTTTATTGCGGCGCGGAGAACTTACTTGCCAAATGGGATGATGCTCGTGACTCGTTGCTGGCTGAATCAAGTTGCTATAATTAAACCTTCGCTTCTGGGCCCTCCCGCCACTGGCTGCTCTGCCTTAGATATGCTACTCCCATATACATCATTTCCGTATTTCGCTTGGTCTGGGCTGCAATCTGGCTGCTTCGACTGTCAACTGGCTGGCCGGTAGACGAATCGGCCGACCAGATCGGAGAAGAGGAAAGGGGGGTTGACCGGGGGGGTAAATAGTTTGAGATTAGCCCTCTGAAAGTTCGTTGTGCAAGTAAGCCGTACGAGCACAACTGTAGTGCATCGAGGTGAAGCGCACTTTCTTCTCTTCTGATGATGGCGGTTGGTGTGCGTGGATAGTGTTTGGCTCGTGTACAGGTAAGCCAGAGCTGTAGCGCTGAGCGCCTTTTCGAGATTCCCAGATGCTTTGGCCAGCTCAGATATCATAGATGGAGCTTGGTGGATTATCACGGAACACGAAGGTGACATGGGCAACGCCAAATTCCCAGATCCCATTGCAACTAGCAGTACGCAGCAGTAAGCAATACGGTCAATTCTGCTCTTGTGCCTGAGCATACAAGTAGTGAGATTGGAGCGCTTTGCTCTGTTGTTGATGGCATTTTGTAGCACTAACGCCATGCATTGCGTCTTGCCTGGAGCACAAGAGCACCTCCATCAACTTCTTGCACGACATCCGGAGCAGCGCAAGAGCAAGGCCGGTCGCGAGCTGACATTCGATCCCGGTAACGGGAGCGCACGCTGCACCGGGGCCGTTACGGGTCAGCAAACGGCGCTGCGAAAATTGGACTGCGGCTTCCCGCATTTGTGGCTGCCTGTATAGATGCGAGCAGCAAGCTGCGCGAGCACCGCAGGCTGCATATCTGTACGACCGGCACCAGTAGTAGCCTCATTATACGTGCAATCAGGTCATCGGACAGCTTGCAAATCCAGCTTCTGGTCCCCAGCCTTGGACTACAACGCCCTGAGGGCAGTCGAAAGTGGCTTGTCGATCATTTGGCTGATGCGTTAGAAGAGGACGATGAGCGGTGATCAGAAAGAATCAATTCCACGTATAGGCCCAATTCTGAGGAAAACAAAGCTTCTGCGCCTCACAAGACAAACAATTCCATAGCCAAGCCTCTTGGTCCTGCCAAGAGGAGTACCATTGCAAACATTGGCGAGGCGGATTTGACTCAACGGAAGATCCCATGCTCATATCTGTCGGGAGTTGTGATACTACTAGGTACCTAGTATTGGGACGCAAGGGTGTATTTCGCGTAATATCACTGCCGAGCAGATCAGCGGCAACGGCCAACCCATACAAGCTCAGCAATGCACTCACCACCCACCGTGCTCCGTTCATTACGCCAAGCGGCGATCAAAAGCCATCATCTGCCTTCTTTTAGGTCGTGCTCAATGGGCCTTCTCAGGCGGTGATGCTACACGTACAACTAGCCGCAAGTAATTAGCCCAGAGCACTAGCACTTGGTTGAAATGTGCCAAGGCTTGGTGACACAAACGAACGACGGTGGATGGAGACGGAGGAGATACGCCAGAGACAAGAAACAAAGTCGCAGCCACAGCTCGAGTACGTACCGCAGCGCAGCGATACGCGTGCACCCACTCTCCAGCCCGCAAATACAGGCGAGAAATAAGAGCATATTAGGGAAACATTACGTCCCCCGGCTGGGGGCAGCAAATGAAAAGATGCGGGCGTGATGTCGGGTCGGTCGCCCAGTTTGGACTCGTCTGTGGGATGTGCGTACAGATGATGAAGTTGGGAGGAGTTGACTTGGCAGAGGTTTATCCAGCTTCTTTACCAGGCACAGCGCAGCTGCATTGCATAGCGGGCAGCGCATTAGTTTACAGAGGGGTCTGGCCGCTGAAGGCTCTTGGCGAGCGCATATCGTGGACCAGATACGGCACCTTGAGATTGCGATGGCCGTGCTCTTGGCAGGCACGTATTGATAGCGAAAGTGCATACAGGCCAATGACTAATTTTAGAGCACTCTCCACGCAATGCTGGGCCTCTAATAAACCAGTGAGAGTGAGTAGCCATGATCGAGACGCCTTTCATTTGGGGGTAGGGAGACTCCATTTCTGGAGGTGTGCGTGCTGTCATTGATGGCCAGGCGCTATGCAATCAGTAACGAGCGAAGCGAAGCGAGCCTTGGCGCCAATGCAAAGGGGGAGCCATGTATACCGCGCGTACCTCGTATCGGGTACTCCATGCCTCGCGCTGGCAGCTATCAGGGCGCCGGTACCATGTACTGCCGAGCGCCAACTTCTACAGCATTGTTTGGAGCACCAGCCAGTGAAAGAAATGACGGATACCTTGCTACTCACGATATTCCTTCATCTATAACTTCGTATATAGGCGGTGATATATGTTAGTAGTACCTACTAGTAGTTTAGCAGCCAAGTCTGCGAGAAATTGAATAGCGGCCGTTAGCATCAATTTCCTGCTGTGCTCCTTGACGTCTTGTGCACCAGTGGCTGTATGTCTTGCCGCTAAAGGCCTTGGCATCGACTCAAGGGACGATGTACTCAGGTACTCGGGAACTTTGCAGTTGCCCTCCACGCAGCGTACCGTGGTACCTCGAATTGTTTCCTGCACTCCTCGCCGGATCCCTTCTTCACCCCCCCTCTGCCTCGATTCTACCCTCCAGATTTCTGGTACCAAATGTGGCCTCGATTTATATACATTGGGGTTTGATTAAATGCCTCCACCTCCCGCGCTCTGGGTCACTCTCTCTCCTCTTTCCTGCCTTGGCCTTGGCTACTTACTACCAGGCTTCACGTCAAGAAGAAAGCAGAGGAAGACAGCAGGAAGCCATCGCTGACTGGGTTTGCCCTGCCAATCCTTTGTTCTTGCAGCTTGTTTCCCTGTTTACTTACTCTTTGGTTTGCCTTGCCAGCTACTTCTCTTCTCTTCTTCCGATATCGATGCTTTGAATCAGAGGCCAGCCTGCGTCGACATTACCAGCCCACCATCCGCCACTTAATGAATACAAGCATGCCATAGCTCTCCAAGTCACCAAGAACAGAGGCAGCGATAAGAAAATAAAGCTCAAGATTAGCCTTTCGGCACAAGGCGTCAAACTCCAACTCCACATCTCCGCCACTATCTCTTGAAATCTCGCTCTTCTCTTAGCATTTATATCACCATCTCCCCTCCTTTCGTTCTCAGCAGCCAATTGTTCTTACTCTCATTTTCAAATCATCTTCGCCCATCTGCGCACCCGCTTCACCTGCCTATTTCAAAGGCCAAGCTCCGTTTCGGCAACACCGCGGACTTGATTCTTTTCGCCTTCCAGTCCAGACTTTGCTGGCTGCTGAGTGGTTGAAGCGCCGACCCAATTACGTCGCCATACCCCCCCTCACCATTGGGGAATCCGAATCGAACGCTTCTAGAGAAGGTCCAGCAGCGTTTTGATTCGATCCAAGAACGGCGCCCAGACGCTAAACCAGCAACGGCTGCTTCCTTGTCCTTTTTCTGCTTTTTCCTGCGGCGCCACTTTTCGTGACGCGCATAATATAAACGCAAAATAATATCAAAGGAAAAAAAAAAGGGAAAAGGGAAATTCAAGATTCAAAAATCAAACTCCCTTTTTCCGAGGTGCATCGCTCCCCGGCATAGTGGAGCTCAGTGACCCTTGGCCTTTAAAGCGTGCTGTTTTTTACATCGATTGCTGGATCTGCTAGAGCCATGGCGCTTTCAGCATGTCCGGGGCCGCTGGTTTCTCCAGCTTCAGCGCCAGTAGCGCCGCCAGCAGCCGCCCCCCAGCCAATTCCGGCTCCAGCTAGAGGTGAGTGACTTATTCGCAGTTAGATAAGCCCGGCCTGCATTTCTCATGGATGGATCCTTGAATGGCAATTCAAGCTGTTTCCGCTTTCCTGTTTCTGCTTGTTCCCTCCCTCCTTCAAAAAGAAGCTGTGGCACCTGCGACGCCTCGTTTCTGCTGCAGGTTTTTTTTCTTGGCATGCATCTCCCCCTTCAGCGCACTTTCGCATGCTGCTGAATAGCTTCTTCATATTTTCTCCTCCAAATCCCTTCTTATACTCCAATACCTATTTGAACCCATTCTCCTGTTTCAAACCTAAAAAACCCGAATTAATACTCTATGCTGACACTGCTCTTCAGCGGATAAATGCGCGCAACGGCTTCGGTCCTCTGACATCAGCTCCTACTTCATCCAAACGACGTTGCGCCAACCTCCAGCCGACTTCCCAGACCCAGCTTTCGAGGGCTACGACACTGAAAGCGAAGGCCCCCTCGAGCCTGTTACGCCTGTCAGCGGCCGCCAATCGCGGGATTTCACGTTGAGGCATGCATATGAGCAGGATTCGGACGACCTTGGCGGTGTCAGCTCTCAGCAGCATTCAACCGGTATTACAACAGCTCCAAATAAGCCTGCCATCCTCCCGTCAGTCTTTCACAAGACGGTAAAAGCAGCAGCATCGCCAGGAGCAGCCCCCTCCCTGCTGAGTCCGGCCTCGGCATCTAGACCAAGCTCCAGCAACTTTGTCTCTCCCGCTCTCTCGGTGCCAGCTGTCTCAATTTCAAACCCGGAATCAGAAACCACAACTTCATCCGCACTGGTGCCTACTTTCAGTAATAGCAGCAAATTTTTTACACCTTTATCCCCTGCTTCAAGCCGGCCCTCTGTGCTGGAACCTCCCTCGCCATCAAGACTCTCCACCCGGCTTTCCATCTCCAGTCTCAGAAGCACAATGACCAACTTCTTTCGTCGTCCTGGTACGCAGGACGCTGCCGTTTTCGATGCGAGCTCGCCTATCCCTTCTGAAGCCTCCTATTTACAGCGGCCCCTGACGAGCAGCGCTCGCCCGGCTACACGTTCAAGTCGCTTTTCTTTAACCCGGTCGTCCAATGCCACTACCCGGTCTAATTCGCCTACACCCCCATCTCCGGGGACTCCTTCTGTCGATAGATTGTCTATTCAGGATGAAAATCCGCTCAGCGAGGACACTAATCTCAAGAAGAAGAACCGTGCGTCAACCGGTTTCAGCCTGCGGGGCCGTGCTGTTGGGTTTGTTGGCACAGCAGTTGGCCGGCCTGGAAAGGCCGTATCGCGCCGTGCTAGTAGCTTCGACGCTGGGAACCGCGGGCCTCTTCCTCGCCAGGGCAGCAACGCCCCCAATGGCCAAACGTATCCTCCTGAGCGGCTCCCTTGGGCAATGCCGCCTGAGGCCGGCACAGGCGCCAAGGCCCGTCGTATGAGCTTGAGCTTGCCGGACGACTTCAACGTGGACGTTGCTGAACTGCAGGATGAATTCGAGTATCAGAGCAAGCTTCTGGGCCGCCACGGCAAGCATCTCGGAAAGGGGGCTGCCTCCAAGGTCTCGCTCATGGTGCGCAAGGGTTTCCCTGGCGAAATGTACGCCGTCAAGGAGTTTCGTAGCAAATCTAGCCGCGAAAGCAAGGCAGAGTACGAAAAGAAGATCAAATCGGAATTCAGCATCGGCAAGAGCCTGCACCATCCCAACATTGTCGAAACAGTTCGCCTGTGCTCAGATCATGGACGCTGGAATCATGTCATGGAATACTGCTCCGAGGGTGACCTGTTTAGCCTTGTGCAAAAGGGTCATTTGAAAGGCGACGCCAAACTCAAGGATCGCCTCTGCCTCTTCAAGCAGCTCGTCCAGGGCGTCAACTATCTCCACGCCAACGGCATTGCTCACCGTGACATCAAGCTTGAAAATCTACTCATTACAAGGGATAGCAAACTGAAAATCACAGATTTTGGTGTCTCCGAAGTCTTTTGTGGCACTCATCCCGGACTTCGTGAGGCTGGCGGCCAGTGTGGTAAGAACATGGGAGAGATCCGGCTCTGTTCTCCGGGCATATGCGGCAGCGAGCCCTACATTGCGCCTGAGGTGCTTCAGAAGAAGGAAAACTACGATGCACGAGCTTTGGACGTATGGAGCACTGCCATTGTCATGATTTACATGACTTTTGGCGGCGCCATCTGGTCCAAAGCCGAGGCTGGCAACCTTCACTACGACAAGCTGGTGGCCGGTTGGGAGAAATGGAACAAGAAGCACCAGGGCGATAAAGATGCCACAATCACAGAGACAGACTACCCCAAGTGCCTGGCCCTTGATATGGGTGTCAATCCTCCGCCTCTGCGGCGCATCTTGCTACAAATGCTTAACCCAGACCCCAACAAGCGCATGTGCGTCTACGACGTGATTACGAGTCGCTGGGTCAAGAATATCGAATGCTGTCAGCTCGAGTCGTACGACGATCCCAAGCTCACAATCGATGCGACAAAGAAAGATTACGGCGCCAAGAATGGAAGCAAAATCTTTTGCCACAACCATTTACCGACCAAGAACTTTGGCAGTCATTCGCTGGGTAAAATGCCAGGGCAGGCCGGCTACTGAGAGACAGCGTGCTACTTGTCAAGGTGGCCCTCGTCTGTTAATATCTGACAATACTCTATCCTATATCCGACCACTATTTTATAACCTCTGTTCATTTATTTAACCTCTCTTCTTCCTCTATTATTCAAATGCATCGCGAATAATGGGCGGCGACAACTAGTCTTTCCTTTTCCCCTTTAATATTCTCACTTTTTTAATGCTTCATCTTTGTTTCAATTCATTTTTTTGGGGGGGAGATGAGTTCTTTTTATCTCACTTTTTCCTTGGGATTACACTATCCGGGTCAACTGGAGCATTTATTGGAGTTGGAAGGCTGAAACAAGCGACTTGAGAGAACAAAGTCAGCTTGGCTGGTGTTTTGATTGGGGGATTTCATCGTCAATTTACAATTCTTCCACTACGCTATGCTTGCTATGGCGGCCTTTTTATTTTTAAAAGACCCTCTGCATATTTTTTCCTTCTTTTCTTTTTCTTTTTTTTCTTTTCCAACTACAGAGTACATACGAGGGATATATGCGGTCGTAGATTGATCCAACCCTTTCTTTCTCTTTGTCCTGGGTTTCTCTGCATGCATCAAGACGGAGGGATGAGTTTACGCGAGTATCATGATATTTCTATTTTCTTTTATACTTATTGGGATGGGCGGCAAAGTCTTCGAAAAAGAAAGCTTAATAAGCTTATTCTTTATTTAGAATTTCTTGAGTTTATCTTCGTCCTTTGCCTCCAATATATGGAATGGAGATGATGTGGCGATGGCTTAAATAGGCGATAGAAAGTCGTCACAGGTACAAACGCAATGCGCTTTATGCCTGAGAAGAGATACAAATTTTCTCTATTCATAGACTATTGAAGATACCTTAGATGCTTTCCAAACAAATCTCGTTTATAAGCCTTCAATGCAGATTGCTCGTGGTGATTGGAAATGAAGAATCAGCGCTCCTGCGGCTGAAAACGGCATCTTGTCTAACACGGGCCGCCGGCTCGTCATATGTGACGAAATGTTTAACGGCATCATGTTACCTGCCACCTGCTTTACTACCAACGGGTAAGGAGGGAATGCAGCTGTGGTGAGACACAAGGAGGCTTCACGTGGCATGCTTGATTGAACTACAGCAATTTTTGACAATGGCAGATGACGAATGGTACCGTAAAAGGGCCTTTTAGACTATCTAGACTAAGGTATCTAGACTATTGCCTATCTACTGATATTTGATAGTGGTGAGAATGTGGCAAAGAAACGGCTCCTGTGATGGTTGGAAAGCCCGCTAGAGGCGGCCTTTAAAGGGTTACAGCTGCTGGTTTTCTCCGACGTTAGCAAGGGGGGGCAGGACACAGACAGACTAGAGAAGCTCGGTGGGAGCTGAAGGCCGCTTATCCAGCGAGGCAAAAGGAAGAAACGAACAGCATCATCACCAGGTAGGAGCGGTATTACCAACCACTAGATGCTACAGTAGCTGCAAGGCCACGGGCATGGGCATGCAAGCACCAGTAAAGGGCTGTCGCATCGCCTTTGAAATTTGGCATGTGAAGGCATCCAGCTGGAGGGTGGGTTTGATCTTGTGGACACGCATGCGTTGTCGCAGTAGATTCTCTGTCTGCTATTCGCAGTACGGACATCCCTTTTGTTGGCCGACAGAGCGCTTGCACAGAGCGATCGTCCCTCTCCTATTCTGTGCATGAAGCACACAAGCTTCTTCCTCGAAACCCCCTCTCTGCTGGAACGGCGCACAGACGCTGGAAATGATGGTATCGGTGCCGTGTCGGAATCTGGCCGTGAATCCTCGCCCTACGGCATTTCCTCCGTCATCGAGCAGCTCGTGCATTATCTGTGGCACCATGTAGCATGTAGGTACCGTGGCGGCATCGTCGAATTCATGATGGATATGCATCCGTCCCGCTGCCGAGCGAAGGCTGCCGGCTTGGCAGCATGTCAGCCGCAAGGGGTCGGATGTATGTACTTTGAGAGAATTTCCAGCCCGTATCTTTTTTGCTGCGAGGAAACTGGCTGCTATGCTACGCGTCGGTCAGTGACTTCGTTTGCATCTTGCGATATCGGCTGCACGGATTGGGGGATCATCACTATCAAGGTTCAGAGCACGGATGAGCATTATCAATCCAAACGATGCCGAGCGATCCGACCTATCCATGTGATGCTTCGCGAGCGAGCTAGAGGCTTGATTCGACGTCGTAGGTCGGAAAAAAGACCGCATGCGGCTGCTGAAGCCACAGGTTTGGACGTAGACTGTAAGTATACGAAAGAAAGAACCGCCAGAGATTGGCGCAAACTAAGTAGTAGATAGTAACTGACCAAAACAACCTTTTTGGCCAAGGTTGTCTAGATCGCCCCTACCCGCCGGGTCCCCTCTCCACGACCCCAGCCGCTGCCGATGTGCCGTAGATGGTGTGCGTGATGCACGGGGAGGCTGTTCGTTGGAAGAATCTCATAGGAGGCTCTCTAGATGTATGCGGTACTTGGAAGCGCCTTGTGGGATGCCCTCTGCAAGTAGCAGATACCTGCGCAGCTTGATAGACCTCCAACTCAAGACACTAGCATCCTATAAGAGTTCTTCAAAGGGGCGTGTGCAGAGGGGCACGCATGGGGACCGCTGACTTGGTATTTCAACTGATCGACTGGTAGTACTAGGCCGGCCTGCTTCCGAGATATTTTGGGGGCCAAACGTACCGCAATCTAGACACGCTGCCTAACTCTGGAATAAGCAATGCTTAGCAGGAAGCTTGGAGCAGATCTCCTCGGAGATGGCACCGAAGGGACGGTTGGTGCGCCAAGAAACGGTCGACTTGCAAACTGCCACGAAGACTTGTATGTAAGAAGGTCATGTAGGGAGGCATCCTTCAAGTCCGTACTGCTATGGCCGTCTGTCTGGTTTGCTGGCAACCGGCAATGGCGATACCAAATGTGACGTCAATGGACAGCGTATGCATATGTACGCAATGGAATCTATTTCCGTTACCAAATCTTCTTGTTGTACCTGTAGTCTCTTTCTTATGCGTCGATATTGCGGCTTAGTTGACGATGTAGGGCGGTCGAAACACTTTCTGAGCAGTAGTCCATAGACGAAGACGCGAAATCGAACTTGATTGGCTGGCTCTGGGAGGTATTTTGTCAGTACTAGTTGTATGCAATGGAAGCTTTCTTCGTCCGAGCATATACCTTTGAAGTTGCTTGATTCGAGGTGGCGAGTCGGCTCAAATGCTATCCAGTTATCGGTGCCAGAGTCGAAGTTGTGACCGTAGCGATTTTCAGAGGGTTGCAAGTTTTGGACGTTGGAGATATTTTGAGTATAGCAATGGGAAATCAAAGTCGAATCATCAAGGGGAAATGGTCGTAGTTGGAAATTCGATGATGAAAGAGAGCAGGAGTGGTCAATGTCACATGATACGTCTCGACTGGTGCTGTACAGCTGCCATGCACAAAGGCCCTTTGGTCCTCTTTCAGCGTAAAAGATCTTGATTGGCGCTGCTTATTTTGGGCTTTTTGAGCTTCGACGTTGCAGTTATTGATTCACGAGCCCTGCGTGCTTGTTCGAAGTTCAAAGTTCAAAGTTCAAAAGCCCAATCATTCAATGGACAGGCGGCTCGAAGGAGCTCTGATCAAGCACGTCGTCGCCATCTTCTGCCTAATTTTCTGCTTAGAGCTCATACATTTACTGACGCTTCTGAATAGACAATTTCTTCAACATCAATGAAAAGGCTGACGAAAGCTTTCAGCAAACCCCGCGTCCTCGTTATTCGTACGATTGGCAAAAGTATGTGCCGGGAGAGCAATTACTTCAAACTACGCGCCAGCTCGACCGAACAACACGCGGCAAGGCCATTGGGATGGAAGACGTCAAATTTTGAATGCCTTTGTCCCTGTGGCGAGCGCAGAGTTGCAAGTTCTCGCCGTTACCAATATCGAAGACAAGCTCTGTGATCCTTTGGGCCGCTATTTGGCGCCCATCATGGAGAAGGCTTCGATTCAGCTCGCCCTGGAACTACTGTCGCGGAATTATGGCCTGTATCTATACAAACGCTTGCGAAGAGACTGGGAGCAAAACCAGGTCTCCTGTTTTGCCTGTTGGATTCACCGACGAAATTACAGAGTAACTAGGGGAAGAAGGCGTTGCAACAGCAGAGGCTGGTTCAGAGAAGCCCAAGGGCCAGCCCAAGAGCTCTTCTACCTTTTGTTAATATTCTTGTGACAAGAATTACCTGGTTTTCTCCCAACGTGACCAATTTCAGCCCATCATCACAGCTAGTCCGTGTCCAGCACCCCGGAGCCCAGCAGCCCATGTACAAGTCCAAATAGCCTCGTCACGCCAAACCTCTTCTTCATATAGTCATCATCCGGTATACTGAGCTGGAACGGGTGGGCTAGATTGCCATTTGATAGCAAAGAAGACGTCAGTTACCCGGATTTTCTACACAAACGACTGACTGCTACCTTTCTGTGGCATGTTCCGATATGGCAACGGATGGACGTTGGTCGAACCCTTGCAAAACGGCTCAATATCGCACCCAGAAGAGGCTTTCGACAGAGCAAGGGAACTTTCTCTCCATCAGTGGGATATAGCTAGACAGATGATTCAAGATGGAATATTAGCCTGTAATCCACTTGAAGGCCCGTCTTATATCTTATTTGGGTAGAGCGTTTCGCAAGACTCTCTGCTATTTGCTACTACCAAACTATCTCGGTTCGCATTAGCAAAAATCTAAAAATCAGAACATGGCTCTGGTATTCTATCGTAGCCTACTTCCAGTACCAGTCGCAAGCCCAAGTGGTCAATTTCCTAGTGAATCATTTACAGAACTTGCGTACAATCTGGAAACTGTGATTATTATTTCCCAATCGCCCCTAATAATATAGCAACCATTTTAAAAGCCTGAATTCATTTGCCTCGATCGCAGCCTGGATGACTTTCCACAACGGAGCATTTTCTTTTTGGAAATCCGTCATGCGAAGCGCGTCAAGATTCATACGATCCATTATGGGCAGTCTGAATTCAACAAATTGAAGCTACTTTTGAATGTAAAAAGTACAACAGAAACGCCATATTATGGATCATTTCGTACTCTGTTTTGCTTACAGGGCAGTCGGGCTGAGTACCCGGCATCCAGCGTCATAGCATCGGCTAAAATCAAGATTTAATTGCCATCTCCAGTTTCTGAACTCGTGATATGATTGCACAGTCGTTTTCAAAAAATCATGTTATTAATAATTCTCAACTCTGGGTGCGCGCAACCTCAACAACATCTACCACCTCCATCGATGTAAGTTTAGCCGGTTCACCGTCAGATCAGGCTCACTTTTGGTTGCCACAAACTTTAGCTATATTGACACTGAGTGCATCTGCACCTGTAAAACAAAAAAAAAACAAACAAAAAAAAAAAAAAAAATCCGCAGCCCATCTCGAATAAAACGAGTAAAACTCGCGAAAAGCCAATCTCAGAGCCTGCAAAAGTGACGCGCAAGTCAAAGCTGTTACGTCATTGTAGGATTTAGGGCCTGTATCATAATAGTGCATGGTTCGATTTCGACAGCTAGCCTTTGAGCCTCTCTCTTTCAAACTCTCCAGCTCTCGCAACTGAACACGCTATTTGACACTTTCTGGATCGGTGAAATACAGCATTGCTGGATCTGTAAAGATGCAACTCTCTGGACCATCTCTGGTCGCCGTCGCCACCGGCGTTGTTGGCTCGGCATGGCTATCTGGTAAATTCCAATCCTTCCAGTCAAGTTCCCATACTGCCGCAAGGCGATCTGTTTATGGATTTTCTTCTCATACCCCCATCTAGGAGCCATCATGTCCTTCTCCATTGGAGGCGCGCCCGCTGCCGCCGCAGTGCAGCATTCTTCCGCCAAGATCTGGGCTGAGCTTTACCAGCGAGGAGCTGCGTCTATGCCAAAGTTCGCCATCGGCACCGCTCTCGCCTACTTTGTCGCGGCCTATGATGCCTACGGCGATGGCAGAGCTTGGGGACGCTACTTGGGAGCCGCTGGCCTCACCCTGTCCATTGTGCCCTTTACACTCACTGTCATGAAGTACACCAACGGATTGCTCCACGAGGAGGCCAAGAAAGACGCCAGCGAGAAGGATGACACCTCTGTAGCCCGGGTGAACAAGTTGCTGGATCATTGGGTCACGTTGAACTTTATTAGAGGCTCTTTGCCACTTGCAGGAACAGTCCTTGGTGCTTTCACCTTTCTCCGCGAGGCTTTGTAAAGGTACGAGCACCAGCAACTGCTCTTGAGAAGAGGGCCTGCTAACAAGATTATAGTTGCCGCAGTTGAACTCTTTCTTTTTCAAGAAAATATTCGTTCAAAGGGATTAAGGTTGTGAATATGATTTGTGGATTCAATTACTCCTCTCTACGTTGCCGGTGTCTGGCAATCTTACTGAATGCATTTGTCGTTTTGAAGTCGGGTTTTGTGATGCAATAGGTTCCCCAATTGGGGTGACAGGTCAGACAGGCAAATGTGTAGGTAGTTACACAAAGATTGGAACAATATTAAGATATGACAAGAGCACTTGTATGCACTTGTGTACCCTCCACTGGCTTTTGCATGAAAGCTGCAGTGAGTATATGACTCTGTGTATAGTATGTATTGCCCTAAAAGAAAACAAAATAAAACCAACGCGAATTCCTTGGATGATACCACCAGATGTGATTCATGTGTCATTACACCTTTCCATCGCACGCGAGCACTGCATTAGAGATGAGGAATTAATAGACGCCATATTAACCAATTTGAACTCCACCAAGGATAGATCTACTGTATAGAGTATGTCATTTCAGCGGTGCCGCAAATTAACATCGCCAGCCAAATTCCATCTTCTTTTAGCTCGATGGTAATACAGCTTGGACTGCTCGTGACAGTATAGCTGGGCGCGCCATTTGCTACGAGCAGACCACAACAGAACGGGGGGATTGCTTCCTACCTGTAATTTTGACTTCATCTTTGCTTTTTGCCGACTGATGGCGTTGATGTGCCAAGGCAGAAATGACCTCTCTAAAATGAGACACACTAAGAGCAAACATTTCCTTCCAGGGATGCCAATCCTCCCTGCCATACTCAAGGCGGCAATGCCATTATTATATGTCGTACGAGTCTAGTCTTATGCTGGCTTATGTAGAATCAGAAAATAATGACTTGGACATTGACACAAGATAACAGTGGCCCGGCCAAAAGGCCCAAAGGCACCGTAGGCGAAGGAGGGGGCTCTCCATCTGTCAAACAAACAAGATCTAGTTCTATTTATCAAGCTATTCATGCCAAATGCACATCGCCGTATGCCAACCACCCTCAACATATACTCTTTCTCTCCTTCGCTTCTCGGCAACTGTGTTATCCGTGCATGCTATCCACTGATCGGTGGGACAAAGCTCATCAAGCTCGATCATACTCCGTAGGGCCTGTGCAGATCTCACGGCTGTCAGCAGCTTGGCACTTACAGTTCGGTCATAGTATCCGAGCTGAATACTATATCGAGCTTGAGGGGCCTTGGTGCTGCAATACTCCGTACTGAAATGGCTCGTGCAGGCTCCCAGTCTACTATTCTATTGAAGCGTGTCAATTGGGCCTGTTCTTTGTGATGGTCCTTGAAATCTCAAGAGCATTAGTATATAATTGTTGGTTGCGTATGACGCGGCAGGAGGCACTGCATCTCTTCGGGGAGAAGAAAATCTCAGAATGCCTCGGCAGGCCCAGAGGTCGACGACAATCCTGAGCTACCCGGCGAAGTAGTAAGAGTGCCCGCAGAGAGACCAAATCTTGAACCGACTTGCAGGATTTTGTGTGACAGAATTCTAGCGGTCAGATGTGACAAGCTGAACTCTGATTCCTATTCGACGCCACATGTGCAAGGAACAAGGTAGATGCAGCGAATATGGCGGCTAAGGAGGGGCGATTAGTCTTTTGCCAGTGTTCCATCTTGATCGAATGCTTTCCAAGGACCGATGGCTTTTTTCCCACACATCTATGTTGGCACGGGTGGCAGACGCTCTGAATATGTGCCCCGTGTACTATGTGTCTCGAATGCTTGTCTCAGTCTTGACGCAGATTTGGCAGCCTGGCGGCAGATCTCACGCTCGACGTCGTTCGCCGCATCAAAGGACGAGACGGCAGAAAGGCAGAGCAGAAGAGGCAGCACTTGTCTCGTCCAGCTTCGGCACAATTCGCGTCTCAATAGTGGCCATTGGGCCGTCCGTGAACATGAATGTAGCAGTAGCAAACACTCGGCATGCAGCCACGGGGCGGCTGAATATGCACGGCTTAGACCAAAGCCGGCTCTCCTCCTCTCTACCCCTCCTTGCTCTTGTAGGCCTCTCTCTGCAAATCTTGTCATTCTTTTCTCGGGCGTTTCGGGTGCCATATGCCCTTCCTTCCTTTCGATTTCTTTGCGTATTCTCCCGTGCCGCTATCCATTCGTCTTGCCTTGCCATCGGATGGCTCTGTTCCGCCGACTGGTCTTAATTAGAATGTCTCTTAGCCCCTTGGCAGAAGATCCAGCTTGCCGGATCTGGGGTTACGACCAAACTTTAGTACCCTGGCCTCGGACTCAACCATCATTTCCCGCGGCCGTCGAATCGGATCGTTGAAGCGGTGGTGTGGAGCGACTGCCCAGAGAGCATAATGCTCAGCATTTGGAGTGATTTTTCTTCCCTACTTTTTGATTTATGGTTTCTCTTTCCACCTTAGGCAACCATGGTAGATCAGTAAATGCCTTGGGATGAAAAAGATTGTGGATTATTGGAGCCTGGATGGCAAGGTAGAAATCCAGAAGGACTCTTTCTGACGTACAGGCCCTGGACGGAGGGCTTGAGGTCGAGGGCCTTGTCGGTGACGTTGACGACCAGGCGGAAGCCTTGGGACTGCTGGTGAGCAGAGAATCTTTTTACACAGGGTCGATTTTCCACTGCCAGGCTTGCCTTGTATCCAGAGCAATGCTGACTTTGTCTCCTTGCTCCAGAGTTTATACGCATCGTCCGCCCAAAGCCAAGCTCCTATTTCCTCGCTCCCTAGTGAGATGATTCCACGGCGCTGGTTATCCGCCATCGGTGACAGAGAAGTTAAACAGTCTAGACACGTAAAAAAAAGTTGGCTCCCTTCTTTTTGTTTTGGACAGTGTGAGCTAAGCTCATAACTCATGATATGTACCTGCTGATTCCTTTTCTGGGTTGATAAATGGCAGATCTTTCAAGATATCCAAAATGTTGAGACAATAGGATGCATATTGCTGTATAAAACCCCATAGCAAGCCTAATGCCGTTCAAGACAGTGCAGGCCGCCGAAACAAAGAGAAAAAGCTCGGCTGGACCAGGGGTCATCGGATGGGGTTTCGAGTGGACAGGTGACCTCAAGCATTTCCGGCTGTGGAACTTTCCACTCCGCAGCCCTGATCTGATATTGACGCTCTCGCGGCTTCGCGGGCTGCAATCCATTGAGCTGGCCTCCATCATTCATTCATCCGCCACTCAAAGACTTTTATCTAACAAAGAATTTAGACATGGTGCTGGAAGATGTGACAGAATTGTGAGTTATTGGAGCCTGGATGGCAAGGTGGAAATCCAGGAGGACTCTTTCCCACGTGACAGTCCGAACAACGCAGAGATATAAAAACCAAATCCTGTAGAAATCCCAACTTACCTACATACATGTACCTCTAGAGTGAATCAAGAGTACCTCCATGAATGCCAGAGATAGCAGTGGCATCTCTCGAGTATCGCTTGCTCGACGGCAGCGGCTTTGGTTCCGCCACCTCTCTCCCTGCTTCCAAGGTCCAACCACATGATTGTCTTTGAGCTCACCCAAACGCATCCACGGCTCTGGAAGGACGAATCAGCCGCCGGTGTGCGTAACAGCCATCCAAGACAGCAGGGGTAATATTGGGCGCACTGTTTCGAGCTCATCTGCGGCGAATGTTTGCTACTTTGCATGCATAATTTTGGCGCCAGCCTCGCGGCTTTTGGCGTCGTCGCTATTGGAATACCCACGCCGCTAAAGCGAGTCTCGAATCCTGCCCGCTCTCTCGCTTCTCTGCTTTGGCATTTTCCCTTGTTCTCAGAGTCCAATTTTTTTTGCTTTGCAGAGATACTGTAAGTTGGACTTACACTGACCAAGCTGCGAACAATTCCAGATACGGAGTCCTCCACCAATCCAAGCTCCACACATGGCTTTCCTGCCGGAGCTAACACAATGATGGGGGCTCCATGTAGGCCTGCCCATGAAGCTACTGCAAGACGGGAGAAGAGAGCCCTGGCACCCGTCAAACTTGTCGCTCGCAGATGGGTCCAAGCCCAAGCCACCAAATTGCCGCGGTCAACCGGTGAGGCACTAGCTAGTGGGCCTAGCTGGGATGTCTGCATCGAGTAGTCTCCAGAGCTGAACGTCTGAGAAACATGAGAGAGACCGGGCTCTTATACGGACTGCCTGGGAGAGTACTGTGGCGAGGGACGATGGTGAGAGTCGGTGGGAAGGCGGGACAGCAAATGCAGCAGGTTCGTCTTTCGCTATGCCATGGAGCAATACCCAAGTATTAATATGGGCTGACATTTCCCCCGCAATCACAGACCAGGCAACGGGCTCGATGGCCTTGTTCCCTATTCGCTGCAGTGGCTGTATGGCCACCACACTGGAGGGTGCCTTTTGCCATATTTTCTGCCGACACCAATGCGTGGTGAACCCTGCAGCTTTGGGCATGGCGGGCGAATCAAGGAAGCTGAAGCAGACTCAAGGCCTCGAAGCACAAACAAACAAACAACAACGCATAATTGTGGATCGTCCTTGGGGGCCGTCCCGTCACGGCGAGATTCTATTAGTTCGGGGAACATGAAGCCAGCGCAGAGCATGTACGGGCAGCTTCAATATGCCCGTGCGCGTCTTGTTCTGCGAGACAGCCTGATTCTATCCATGTCCCGGGACAAGCTGCCCAATCTTCATTGTTCACGAGTGGGACGCTCGACACCCATCCCTGATATCCCTACACACTGCTTTGCGGCCTTATCATTGCTGTTGACGTAGAGGGCTCAGGTGAGGTGAGTTGTGACTGAGACAGACATTCCTTGCTTGCCATGCATGGGTTTTTGCCGTACAAATTGCATGCGTGTATCACATTGTCTGCCACCCAGTCCCATCTTTGATCCGAAATTGTATTTAAACAAGAGCGGCCCCAATCTTCTCCAACTGCATAGTCCCCCTTGTTTTAATTTCACAAAGAACCATTACGATAGCGGCTCTGGCTTGTTTTTCTTGACTGCTTTGACCAAGTTTTCCTTGACCAGCCTGTACCGAGAGATCGGTCATACGTCCTTTGAAATCAATAACAACCATGCCTGTCACGACAATCCTTCAGCATGCAATAGAGCGGGATACACCTGTGACAGCTGAAGCTGGCTCGGATACTCGTATGAGTAACGACGTGGGTAACGTTTTCCCTGACCATGTTCCAGTAGTCTCCAAATTGGACTCTACTGAGGGCCGTTCCCCAAAAACTCCTCGAGGTTCCAAAAGAAAAAAGACTGCGACGGCAATTTCTTCCAGTTCGTCTCCTCAAACGAAGCAACCGAGAAAGGCCTCTGCGCCTAGACGTCAAAGGGAATCTTGCTTGTCTTCGACCCAAATCGCTTCAGAGACGAACTATTGCACTCTCGCTACTGAAGAGCCCCTTTCTTCCGAGACTCTTTCCCTTGGTGCTTCCTTTTTTGTCCCTTTGGGTCTTTCCAATGGCATGTTCAATGGCATGTTCAACAGCATGGCTACGTATGAACAATCTCCAAAGGGGACGTGGGAGCCTCAATTGACCTGCTACCACACTACGCCGGCATCTTCGACGAACTGGGCCGTCGAGAACCCCTTTCCCAATGCCTATATGGCTGCAGAAGAGGCATTCAATCTCTTCAACGGTCAGAGCACTACTGCAAGCCCTTCCACGAGCCAAAGCAACAGCGAGCAGAGGTCTTCTTTTGCCAGCAGTGCCGGACAAATATCACCTGCTAGCTACTTTACAGCACATTCATCCCCTATGGGTTACAAGACTTTCCAACCGGCATCCGAGGACAGCGCTTCGGCTGTAGGCAATGACACTCCACCTCCTTCTTGAAACAGTTTACTAATAAAAACCTACAGATGGCAGTCATAAGCGAGCCAGCAGACGAGTATTCACTGCCAGCCTACAATCTGCAGCACTTTAATCAACAGGCGGTGACGTGTTCTCGAGAAGAAGAAGGAGCTCTGCACCATGTGTCGGGTGTTCGGCTGGCCGAAATTCCGCAGTCAGGAACAATCAGGCAGGCAGTGCCGACTGTCGAGCAAGTGCCACCTGCACAGGAAAAAGTGATATCAAAACCGCCCACCCCGTCCCAGTCTCGAGCGACTTTGCCTTCTTCATCTCCTCTTCACTCGTCGTCGATGAATTCTTCAGAATCCCACAACGTCGCCACGGATATGATTACCAGATCCCAGTCGAGAACCGCGGCTGCCCGCCAGAGGGCGAAGCAAGAATGGCGCAGACGAACAGCATCTCAGTCGTCGGCGAACTCCCAGGCCGCAGAGGCCTCTTCGCACTCACCTCGAGCTACAACCAGTCAACCAACAGTCGCTGCGTCGGAGCCAGTGGCTGCTTCATCTTCAGGAGGTACTTTGTCTGAATCAGCTGCCGCTTCGTCTCAAGTAGCTGCTTCGTCTCAAGTAGCTGCTTCGTCTCAAGTAGCTGCTTCGTCTGAATTAGTTACCGCTCCATCTCGAGTAGCTGTTTCGTCTCGACCACTTGCTTCTTCTCGACCACTTGCTTCTTCTCAAGCACTCGCTTCTTCTCAAACGGCTGTCTCTTCTCAAGCACTTGTTCCCTCTCGGAGAGCTTCTTCTTCTCAAACGGCTGTCTCTTCTCAAGCACTTGTTCCCTCTCGGAGAGCTTCTTCTTCTCAAACAGCTGCTTCTTCTCAAGCACTCGTTTCTTCTCGGAGAACTTCTTCTTCTCGGAGAGCTTCTGCTTCTCAAACAGCTGCTGCTTTTCAAGAACTCGTTTCTTCTCGGAGAGCTTCTTCTCGGAGAGCTTCTTCTTCTCAAACAGCTGCTTCTTCTCAAGCACTTGCATCTTCTCGGAGAGCTTCTTCTTCTCAAACGGCTGTCTCTTCTCAAGCACTCGCTTCTTCTCGGAGAGCCTCTTCTTCTTCTCAAGCAGCTGCTTCATCCCAAAACGTTCCATCTCGAGAGAGTAGCTCCTATGCAGCACTAGCTCTGCACAGAGCACGCCAAAGGAGGCTTGCTGCGGAGGCTACCATCCAATTGCATGCTTCGCAGTCAACTACTTCCCAATACTCTACAAACATCGCGCAGCGTTTCTCTTCACAGCCGGCATATCCCCACAATTTCTCAACTCCTTACTCTTCAAACTATCACGAACAGACTCCGACACCGTTGCAGTCGCCATTTGCATACCAACAGGTTCCTGGCGGTCTTTCTGAACTCGGTAGTTTTCCATATGCTCAAGAGGGCGCCCGCACTTATGGACACGCGGCAAACACAACAATGAACTCGGGCAACGTACGCTCAGAAATTGCAGCTCCAGAGTATCATGCTCTGTATGGAGCCCAAATACAGCATGGCGACCCAGGATCTCAACAACCACACAGAATGATTACGCCATACTCTCCCACTCATCCAGACACCTCAGCATGGTACAATGGAGACCCTGAATCCTGGGCGTTACACAATGGAGACTCCAACCCATGGGCATGGCATAATGTAGACTCCAACCCCTCGACATGGCAGAATGGAGACCCCGAATCCTGGGCATTACACCATGGAGGTCGATCGCAGCCATATCCCCCTTCGCATTCTCAGGGGCAGGGCAACGAGCCTTACGCGTCTCACACAGATGAATTAACCATCTTCGGAGCTTACGGCGCCCGTCCCCCTTCTCAAAATGGACAAGCCATGAGAATGAGTCTCGAAGATCAATCAGAGATTCAAGAGGTCTCCCGCGAGGCCTGGCAAGCGGCTAACGAGGTGAGCACTGAACGTAGAGCCAGGTCGAGAGCCAGGTCCATGGCTCAAACGAACCAGCAAACTGCAACCCAGCGACTTGCAAGTTTCACGTCTACCCTCCCGGTACTTGAACCACGAATCCGAATGCTGATACCGGTATGTATCTCAGGGCGGTCGTTGATGCCGCCACCAATGCAGGCACTTGAGACGGCATTCCAGGTACAGGAGCCCGTACTTGTGGAGGGCCGAGAGGTCAGCGTTGTGGAGGGCCAGCATGAGAAATAATGTGTGTTTGATTTTGAGGATGGATTTTCCGTTAATGTAATTAGGTAGCCAGAAGTACAAGTCCTACATCCATCAGATGACAGTTTACTTTACATTCACTCTTACCTTGTCTCCGTCTTGTGAAATCCCCATCAAGCGGTCATCAACGGACACGCCTTTGTGAAAGGTATCAATTAGTCCCCAATATTCGTCCCCGGCTAGTTGAGGGATCAGAGCCTAGGCTACGACGAACAAATTAGGAAATCCGCGATGCCCTAGCAAGGGACCCATTCGATCTACCGTGGAATATCGTTCGGCATTGTTTATGCGACCCAATCACACATACCCGCTAAAAGACGCGGTCGCTGAGCCAAGCATCTTGTTCCATAAACTTAGCTGTACATTCTTGGCTTCCCCTCACGACACCTGTATACTAATGGCGTCAGATGATTTAGTGTTGCACGATGTAACCCGGCCAGCATATCCTCGCCTTGGAGGAGAAGAAAGAAATCCTCACCACTTGTCCACCGCCGCTAAATGGCCGTACCATCCGTTGCAACATTTGCTCAGGGCAGTGTCTCATCCGGGGACCCCCCCATATATCTACGATGGCGGGTAATGAGGACGTCTGACAAGTCCTACCAAGACGTAATTAAGCTTAACGATATATATGGAGATTTGCTAGATTTCGCATTGAGGGTGGGAATAAGAAGAGGGGACACGACAGAGAGGGATCTGAGATTCTTCTCCGCATTGATCGGCATTCGAGGCTCCGCTTCTTTCAATGTCATGATGTTCGTCCGGAGCCAACACTTGTTGCTGAGGAGGTTGAGAACCATGCAATCCTACGAGCAGTTAGGCCATGTTCAATGTATGTACATGCTGAATCCTGGTCTTCTCGCTGCTCGCTCTTACATAGGCTACTTGGACCAATTCGCATCTGCATCCCCACACCGGCCGTCACTATGAGGTAGAGGAACGGGCGTCTACGCGTAGGACAACAGGCCGCCATTCGCATGCAGCGTATCCTTGACCCGGGTGGCATAAGAAATGGAAAAGAGGGGAAAGTGATGAGCTTGATGCAAGGGGGGTTACGTTGAAGACATTTTGAGTATTTATAGGCGCGAGTCTTCTCTCGTCCTGGTGGAAAAAACAAAGGGAGGAAGCATGTCTCAGGGTTGATCTTTCACTTTGAGCTTCTCCATCCATTCATACCCAGGCTTGCGGCCACTTTGTTTATCCGCAAAAGAAATCTGGACAGAAAGACACCGCGTCCGTGATGATTCTGTCCCCAGCAGGCCTTGTCGCTCTTGCGAGTTGCCTCAGCACTGCTGTTGCGCAGGGCAGCCAGCCGGTCCCCTACAAAGTCCAGACACCGCCTCTTGATACGGAGTGGACGTACAAAGTCGGCACCGATCCATGGCCAGAATATCCCCGGCCACAGCTTCAGCGCGATAGCTGGCAAAGCCTCAATGGCATCTGGACATTCCAGCCTGCCAGCCCTGGAGCCGACGCGGGCAGTCCTCCCCAAGGCAAGCTCCAGCGCGAGGTGCTCGTGCCGTCATGCGTTGAGAGCGCACTTTCGGGGCTTCAGACGCTAAACGTAACTGATATGTGGTTCGCGACCAGCTTCAAGACACCCAAAGGCTGGAATGGCCAGAATGTCATTCTCAACTTTGAAGCAGTCGACTATCAGGCGACGGTGTTTGTGAATGGTGTCAAGGCCGGGAATAACACTGGAGGGTACTTCCGCTTCGGATTAGATATCACCAAGCTCCTCAAAGACGGAGACAACAGCTTGTAAGTCAAACCATCGGCCTTTTAATTAGGTAGATGCTAATCCGATGGCAGAACTGTCTTTGTTCACGATCCCACGGATCTGGATGTCATCCCAATTGGAAAGCAGACGCGAAACCCTAGTCACATCTTTTACAGATCTTGCTCTGGTATATGGCAATCCGTATGGTTGGAGAGCGTGCCTGCAAATCACATCACTGCGCTTGATGTCGCTGCTGGCATGGATGGCACAGGTATGAAGCCACCAAAATCGCTGCTCTTTGGATTTCTTCTGCAGACATTTGAAGATGAAGTGCCCAGCTAACCTCGATCGATAGTCACCGTGACGGTTCACAGCTCAGGCAAGCAGGGTGTCTCGGCCAAGGTGTCAGTCATCGGCCAAAACGGTCGCGCCGTTGCGTCGCAGAGCGGGCCTTCAGACAAGGAGTTTACTTTCAAGGTCAAGCAACCAAAGCTGTGGTCTCCATCGTCTCCAACTCTGTATAACCTGACAGTGACACTGGGTGATGACGAAGTATCCAGCTACACCGGCTTCCGCTCAATCACGAGCGGCAAGGTCAAGGGAGTTCAAAGGCCACTGCTAAACGGGCAATTCACCTTTATCTTTGGCACGCTCGATCAAGGTTTCTGGCCTGACGGACTCTATGCGCCTCCCAACAGAGAAGCCATGGTGTATGATCTGAAGATGCTCAAAAGCCTTGGTTTCAACGCCGTCCGAAAGCATGTAAGTGGTTGCGCTTTTACCCATCACCATGCGTTCTCGACTGGATGAAGGATGAATACTAAACCGAGATGCCTCCAGATCAAAGTTGAACCTGACCTGTTCTACCGGGCTTGTGACGAACTGGGCCTGATGGTCATCCAAGATATGCCCAGCCTTGTGGCCGATGGCAGTCGACCACCCAATCCAGCCCAGCAAGCCGAGTTTCAGCGCCAGCTCGAAGTTCTTATTCATGAGCATAAGAATTATCCATCAATTGTGACTTGGGTTCGTTTTTTTCTCTGCAGTTAATTATAAGTATTTGTAATGCGAGCTGACATGAAAATGTGCAGGTCATCTATAACGAAGGATGGGGACAGCTCCCGGGTCCTCCGTATCCCGAGGCGGCCCTCGTAGATGTAGTCCGCAGCATCGACCCCACAAGAATAATTGACGCCACGACAGGTTGGAATGATCATGGCAGCGGTGACTTTTCTGTAAGTTGATTGCCAATTAATTGAGTCTTTTGTTGATGAGGGCGAAGACGAAGAATTGGAGAGTGTTGTGGGCTAATCGTTGATATGTAGGACAACCATCACTACGCCAACCCGCAATGTGGCACGCCCTTTTACTCCACGCCGTCCAGACCATATGACCCCAGTCGCATTGGATTCCAGGGCGAATGGGGCGGCATTGGTCATAACGTGTCGATTGAGCAGTAAGTTTTGGTTCTTCTCTTTGTCCCTCCCATGGACCCATTGGCCATCAGATAGAATCATGACTAACACGATAATCAGTCTTTGGAATGTCCAAGAGGCAATCAACACCATCAACCAGACTTATGAAGTCAACGCTGACCTCACTTCCTACAACTATCGGGCCAGCCTCTTGTTCAGCGAGTTCCGCGACCAGGTAGAGCGATATGCTTGTAGCGGCGGCATCTGGACACAGACGACCGATGTCGAAGGCGAAGTCAACGGCTTGCTGACGTACGACCGACGTCTTCTTAGGCCAAACGCGAACCAGTGGAAGAAGGACATTAAGAGTCTGTATACGGCGGCAGCTGGAAGGCGATGATTGATTGATGCAGATTCCAAGCCAATAGCTCGAATAGAGCGTGTTGATGAGTGGAATTAATGAACACGTTAGTTGGTTATTGCCTTGGGCACCATGAGTCTGTTTTTTTATTCGTAAGAAATAACATACGAGTCTCTGCTTCTTCGTCGTGAAACTTGCATATACTCGAATTTGAAGCAATCAATTACTGTTGTTGGAATTATGATGCGCAATGGCCCAGCTGTTCAGGGTAGGAAATCAAAGAGCTGGGAACAACCAGGTGATGCCATTTTGCAGACATGTGCGACACAATGAATGAATTATTATCCAGAAATTGTATTCACACCCAAGACAAATAAATTGACAGATGGTACCTGGTAAGTGATGTATTTCGTGACATCTTCCTTCTTTAGCTCGCTTCAGAACAAGTTGATGCAGCAGTTGCCGCCACTTAGCGAATACTGACTGTCTCGCCAATCTCGCCAAATTCACCCCACCTGCCACATTCAACAGCCAACAAAAAAGACTGATTACAGACTTTGCTTTGGTCTCAGAGAGGACTAGGCCAATTGCAATCGAATTGCTCCAAAGCCGGAGTTTTCACTTCCCCACCATCCCGCAATCGTATTCGGACCCCTGGCCGCTAGGCAGCTTTGGACCACCTTTGCAGCCCAGAAAAACCACCAAAGGACCAGTTCATCGTTCCATAATCATGTGATAGAGCTCCTTTTCCTTCATGTTCGTCATGTCATGAGCAAGGGACTGGGCACATCATTGTGGTTATCAGCTTGATTTTGGTCCTCGCGGATTGGTCAATTGCGGCGCCGTCGTTTTTTCTCTTCCCTTTTCTCTACTTCAATCTCACTCTCTTCGCCTTTTTTGGCTTGTGACAGCCAGTTCAGTCACTGCTCTTTTTTTTTCTACTATTTATAACGAGCCACGAAGAACGAAAGAACGAATAAATACCCTCGACGAGCGATAGACGACTTCTTCTTCATCTTCTTCTTCTTCTTCTTCGATAGAGAGTCTTTTTCATTAGTGCTTCCAATTGCCTCAACTGCTCTTCGACACACCCCTCTCTAGGATCGAAAACTACGTTTGATTAATTCGCAACCACCCGCTCTATTCTCCCCCCATGTCGGAAACAATGACATCCTCACACACCTATGCGCGCGAGCGGCGCGATCGCTACCACGAAGCAGACGTCGTCGTCGTCGGTGCCGGCATCTTTGGCTGCGCTGCCGCCTACGCGCTCGCCAACCAGGGCCGCTCCGTGCTTCTCCTCGAGCGGTGGATGCACGAGCCCGACCGGATCGTGGGCGAACTCCTCCAGCCCGGTGGCCTGGCAGCGCTGAAGAAGCTGGGCCTGGGCCACTGCGTCGAGGGCATCGACGCCATCCCCTGCTACGGCTACAACGTCATCTACCACGGAGAGCCCTGCGCCATTCCGTACCCCAGGCTCAACGAAAAGGGCGAGGTCACACATGCCTGGAGCGGCAGAGGGACAGAGGGCGAGAAGCAGCAGGGATGCGGATTCCACCACGGCAAATTCATCACGCAGCTGCGAAAGGCCTGCCTGGGGCACAAGAACATCACAGTGGTCGAGACCGAGGTTGTCAAGACGATCCGGGGCGAGTTCGAAGACCAGATCCTGGGCGTGGAGTCGCGCACCACGGTGGACAAGGAGGCCAACGAGAAGAAGAACGACTTCTTCTTCGGCAAGCTGACCATTGTGGCCGACGGCTACGACTCCAAGTTCCGCAAGCAGGTGCTCGAGACCAAGCCCGTCGTCAAGAGCAAGTTCTACGCCCTCGAGCTGGTCGACACGGTCCTGCCCACGCCGCTGCACGGCCACGTCATCATCGGCAACGCCTACCCCATCCTGCTGTACCAGATCGGCACCCACGAGACGCGCGCGCTCTTTGACGTGCCGCAGAACATCCCCGAGGCGTCGGTCGAGGCCGGCGGCGTGCGCGGCTACATCAAGAAGCACGCCATCCCGGCCCTGCCCGCGTCGGTGCGCCCAGCCGCCGAAAAGGCCCTCGCCGACGGCAAGATCCCGCGCAGCATGCCCAACAGCTGGCTGCCCGCCGTGCCGCAGACGCCCAACGGGCTCGTCGTGCTCGGCGACGCCCTCAACATGCGGCACCCGCTGACGGGCGGCGGCATGACCGTGGCCTTCAACGACGCCGTGCTGCTGGCCGAGCTGCTGCACCCCGAGCGCGTGCCCAACCTCGACGACGCAAAGGCCATCCGCGACGCCATGCACAAGCTGTACTGGCGCCGCAAGAACTTCACCAGCATCATCAACACGCTCGCCCAGGCGCTGTACTCGCTCTTCGCCGCAAACGACCGCCAGCTGCGCGCCCTGCAGATGGGCTGCTTCGAGTACTTCCGCCGCGGCTGGACCGACGGCCCGGCTGGCCTGCTCGGCGGCATCATCCAGCGGCCCCTGGTGCTGGCGTACCACTTCTTCTACGTCGCCTTTGTGGCCATCTGGATGAACGCCTGCAACGTCATTGGCGGCCCGCTGGGCTTCTGGAAGCTGCCGCTGGCGATACTGGACGCCGTGCTCATCTTGTGGAAGGCGTGTATTGTCTTTTTGCCCGTCATCTGGCGTGAAGGATTTCAGTAAAGCGAATCAAAAAGAGGTTTAGGGCGTCTTTTTTTTCTTTGATATACTCCATCTCTTTTTGCTTTTTGCATACAAAAAGAAAGAAAGTCCTCAATACCCTGATTTCTTCTTTACTGTTTTATTTTCACCCCATTGGCAATGAAAGCGGGTTTTGATTTTATAACCTCTCTCTTTAATGTACCGGTAGGCGTTGGCTTTGGAATAAGCAACAAAAACCATGTATTTTCACGCAGTTATGGCTAGTTAAAAAAGATGTCAAAGACTCCAAGTAATGTTAATAGCACTCAGAATTATATAAACAAAGACAGGTCATCTCTTGTTATTCGTGTTTCCATTGTAAATGGCCCAGTACCTAGCTTGCCTGCTTATGATGGAATCAGAGCCCAGCTTTACTCTTCCACACCTATGTGGCGTGGTTTATATATATATATGGCGTCTATAAAGACCCGCTGGCCTTTTATTTATATGACTTGACGTCTTTTTCAATTCTTTCCATTTTTTCCACATCTCTCTCTCTCTCTCGTCCTTGTCGATTTAGTGGCTTCAAGTAAGGCGTCTCCTATACACGCCCATCATCCAACACGCCCTCAACACAAACAGTCCAATGGCCATCTTGATGCTGTCCTGGATAACATTCAACTTGCTGCCGCCAACCTCGTGCCACTCAATGGGCACCTCGGCGACTTTAATGCCGGGGCTGGTCCCGATGACGCTGCCGTCGCTGCCCAGGACGGGCGTCGCGGGCGCCGACTCGGCGAGCATCAGCATCTCAATGTCGAAGATCCAGCCCTCGGCATGCATGTACGGGACAATGTGCGGCAGCGCGGCGCGCGTAAAGAGCTTGAAGCCGCACTGCGTATCGCGGATCCGGGACGTGGCAGGGGGGGTGAGGATGGTGAGCACGAGGTGGAACGAGCGCATGAGAAAGTTTCGAAGAGCAGAGCGCTGAAGGGGAGAGGAAGAAGAAAGAGAGGCATTAGCTAAAGAATGGAGAGAGTTTGTGTGATTTAATAGGTTTTTTTTAACTTACCTTGACCACCGCCTCGCTGCCAACGAGATGGGCTCGGCTGCCAATAGCAACGCCTCGGCGAGAACCATCAACAACCTCTTCGACGCCCTCAATCAGCTTCGCTACATCGCTAAACCGTGACGCGCCGTCTGCATCGGCAAAGAGCGCATATTCGCCGCGGACATGACGAAAGCCATGCGTGACGCCGCCGCCCTTGCCCCGGTTCTTGGCCAAGGACACGACTCGCAGCACATCATCCAGGCCGTTCTTCTGCGCGAAATCGAGCACCACATCGACCGTCTTGTCGCGGCTGCCGTCGTTGACAATGATGATTTCGTAACCGCTGAGGCTTTGGTCTTTTGCACCAATAGCGCCAGCAGCGCCTTGCACATGCCGCTTCTTGGCTGTCGGCGAGAGAGGGTTCTTGGTAGCAGCAGTGGTGCGTCCAAAGTGCTTGTCCAGGTACTCGACGGCCTCTTCCAGCGTGGGAATCACACGCTCCTCTTCATTGTACGCGGGGAACACGACGCTGAGGAGGAGCTCCGGGGGCTCAATGGAGCCGATGTCAGGCGTAGGATTTGCTTCGTCTGAGCGAGGGCGCTGCTCGCTGAGGTGGCGCTCGGCGAGCCATCGGTCGTACCAGCAGGGGAGAGGGCGAGGAGTCGTCTTGCCGGAAGGGCTGCTGGTGATGTATGTCTTTTCAGAGGAGAGGACGGGGCGAGGCTTGGAGGCGACGAGGTGGAGGAGGATGAAGAGCTGTGGTAGGTTTCAAGTTAGCTGTGGCAGTCGATTGAGTCATGTTTATCTTGGTTACTTACGGCAACGAGCCCGAATAGAATCAGGGCGAGGAAGAGGCCGAGCAAGATGGGAACTGGAGTCGCCTTGATCCATTCCCACAGCGGCGCCGGGAGCTCCAGCAAGGCTGTCGCGACGCCCATTTTTGTATGCGACGAGGGTATGAGGCCAGATGGGGAATAGAATCAAATCAATCGGGGGTTGTAGAATATATTGCACAATGAAGAAGGAAAGAGAAGAAGAAACGAAACGAACAACAGAAGAAAAGGAAAAAAAGGAAAAACAAAGTGAAACGAATGTGAAATTGCGCAAAAGGTGCCAGATGCCAGATGCCAGATCAAGGGTTCGCTGACACCTGGCGAATGGCTGATGACGAGGTGTCGCAGCTTTGCTACAGCGAGCTGCTGCTATTAATATGCCAGGCACTAAGAAACAGGGGACTTCAGCGCAGTGAGGCCACAGTTTCGCGATTCCCACGCAAGGCTGGCCAATCACGAGCAGCGGGCTCGGCGGCCGTTCAGTGGGGGCGCTGCCACTAATTTCAGGTGCTGTAGCGTCCATGCGCTATCCAACCTCGAATATAGGGCTCAAGTGCTGTGATGGTTAGATTGATACACGGATTAAGATTTTGGTTGGATAATCAAATATAAATTGCTAAAGAATATTGCCATGTTTAGCGAGCGAGAATAGTCAAGAAAGATGTTGGGGAAAAAAAGAGAGAAGAGGTACGAAAGCAACATTTGAAGTCTCCAATTAACCAAGCCCAATGTATAAACACCAACTGAGTCAACAAGCATATCCAACAGATGATAAGGAAATGAAATATAACCAAAAGCGATCCAGTGCCATTTATATAAGCATGTAGAAGTTGTGTATCCATGCTCTCTATTTTATCGAGAGAGAAAAAAGAAACCCGATTTTTCATTCCATCATAACGAGTGATCCTCCTCTTCTTCATGTCACCCAGCATTCCTCGCAATGTTGGTGAAGCCCGAAAGGCGTAAGCAGCTCTCTCATACCAAGAATACTGCTAAAAATTCCCGCCGCAAGCATATTAAGAGCAGCAATAATGAAAAGTCTCTAAAGAAAGTAAAAGCAAAAAAATTCAAGTGCCGTACATTCCCTCTTCTTTTATATCCAAACACTGATTACCCGAGAGTGGGTAAGGAGTGAAAACAGTCGGAGTGAGGGTGTGCCATTTCCAAACGCAATGCAAGAGACAAGTAGTATGACAATACCGAAATTAACAAACGAGTAGATGAACATTGCTGAGTTGTAGACGGAAAAAAGCCTCCCGGCTTATACAGTGATGGGTTGAGCTTTTGACCTGGCCCAGCGAGATTTCTTGGGAATCTTGGTCCCGCTCTTGGAAAATCTGCTAGACTTCTTGGTAGGTGTAGGCTCGGGGATCGAGTCCGCCTCTGGGAAGACGTTGATAACAATGGACTGTTGCTTAGCCTTGGGAGCAGAGACGGGAGCAGATGTAGGCGCAAGAGTAGAGACGGGAGAAAGGGTAGAGGCAAGGTCGAAAACAGACTGGGGTTGGGGTCCTTCCGCAGGCTCTTCCGCAGACTCCTCTGCCGGCTTCTCAGTGACCAACTTCTTGGGCCCAGATTGGATTCGCCCCCCTCCTGTGACTTGAACTACCTTGACTGTCTTTTGCTCCTTGGAAAGCTTTCCAGAGTTGACTACATGTACCTTCAGCTCCTTCAGCTCCTGCTGCTCTGGGGAAGGGCTGCCGTCAATTGAAGGCAGGACGGATGTAGAGATGAGGGTGGCTGCAGAGGTGTTGAGGCTGGTGTTGAGAGAGCCAGGGAAAGACGTTTCGGATCTCTGCCGATGCTGCGGGTTCAGAAAGTCACCTTGCGGGTGGGATGTGATGCGTAGGACGGGAGCAGGTGAGTGGACAATGGGTGCAATGGAGCCAAAGTTCCTCATGGACGGGGGAGGCCGAGAGTCTCGGGCAGCCGCCTTGGTCGAGTTGGCCATGGCGATCCGGCCAATTGCAGAATCTGATGTGCGCCGGCTGCCTACCCGCGGTCGACGAGGAGCCATCTCGGCACCGGTGGGAGGCTGCACAACGGGAGGGCGATTGAGCCTCATCTCGAGGTCATCTTGAGAACTCGTAGAGCCGCTGGAGCTCTCTGATTCTTCTAGGAGTCGGGAGAGGCTGGTTAGCATCCGGTGAATCAAGATTTGCAGACGCTGACACTGAGGAAGAAGAAGAAGACGGCGACGACAAACCTTGTGAGGATGTTGGGCTGGTCCTGGAAGTATTATAACCAGACCCTCTGACAGCTTCCTTTCCCTTGGTCGACGCAGCATAGGCCGCAAACTGCGACCCAACATCAGGCATTGAGCTGGCCGTGGTTCGGCTGTGGGTTGATGTATAAGGCGAGACGCCCGTGTAGCTGTATGCTCGGGGCAGGCGCACCATGGGGGTGGCGGCGTTGTTCGTAGGGTATGAGACGTGGGACAAGCCGCTGCCAACACGAGGCATGCCGGGCATGTTCATGTTCATGCTGTGGCTGGAAGAAGCAGCCATGGCACTCCTCCGGCGGTTCTGCTCCTGGATCTTCTGGCGATCGTCTTCTCTCCAGCTGGGCGGCGCACTGGCAATGGCGTCGGCGGCGGCATGTTTGGGAACGTGCCGGTAGGGAGTCTTTGTCTCCTCCTCCTTCTCCTGTTGAGCAAGCTTGGCATTGTGCTCTTTGGCCTGCTGGCGGCTCTTCTTCAAGCGCGAGAAGATGGACATTGTTGCTTCTTTTGTCTCCTTTGGAGCGTTTTCCCTTCGGTCTTTGGCAGCTGAAGGCGGGAAGAAGGCCGATTTCAGCGTCACCAGATCCGATCCTATCGAGTTATACCAAGCAGTACGATAACCAGGGTATAGTAGAATAAGCTAACAGGGTGTAAAGGGTGGCTCCGCTCAGTAAGCTTCGGGAGAGGGGAGCAATGCAAAAAAGCAGATGATGTGCTGAAAGATGATGCAGATGTAGCTTATCAATGCCCGATGGTATATGTAGAAGTCGCGGTAGTAGGTAGTGGGAAGGAGAGGAAGGCTATAGAGATATAAGCCGAAGCGAGAGGTGTCTGCTTTATACAAATGTCCGGCAAGCCTCGATACGCTCGTTATGGATGGTTTACTTGTAAGTGAGTGGGTGTGGATCGGATCAGATGCGAGGGATGAGGAAAGCCTGGTTCGGAATCGAAGTGAGACACGCCCGGAGCAATCAGGTCGGTGTCGTGACCTATTTTAGAGCTTGGATCTAGCTCGTGATGGCTGATTTCAGCTTCAGTAAGGCAAGCCCAAGGAGAGCGAATAAGAGGAGTCGTGAACGGGAACGATGACGAAGTATGAGAAGGAGGAAGAAAAGCCGATCAGAGAGTTATGAAGTGGTAAAGTAAAGAAACAAAAGCTGAGGAGAGAATAGAGCACAAAAATATGAATACGAAGAAGAAAAAAAAAAAAGGACCGGCAAGCTGAATAATAGCGGCAGCTCAGAGCTGGGAATCTTGCTTGCGGATCGCCGGAATTAACAGATGGAGAAGAGCGCGCACAGTGAGAAACATATAGAGCGAGAATAGAGTAGATGGGGGCGAGGATTGGCTGCGCTTAAGACGAAAAGCAATGCAGGGAAAATGGCAAATGGACCAATTTGGGGGGGAAAAGGGAATTGGAGATGCCGGAATGCAGATGCAGGAATAGTTGCACTTTTGCGCTCTAGGCGGCCAGCTGAAATATGAGATGGCATGACATGGACATGGACCTGGCTGGACCTGGACATACCGGTGAAAGTAGTAGTACTTGCATGTACGAGCACAGCTAGATATGCACCCTGTCGGTTTAGCCTGGCCCGTATCTGTATGTACTTGGATCCTCGAGAGATAGGAGGGCCAGAGGCAGATTGGGGGATGCGATAGGCCTGGACGCTTCGCCCGAGGGTGGCTTTTGCTCGCCTGCAACGGGGGCGTAAATGGTTGGCCTGCAGAAGGCAGATGCGGCTGACTCGAGGGATGCGGTGCAACGAGCTGCGTGGTAAGACTCGGTGGCACACACGTGGACCGGAGGAGGCTGTACGGGAGGGAGAGAGGGAAAGGTACCGGTACTTATAACCAGGCCAAACGGAGCAGCTTTTGGTCTGCCTATCTTGGCATATCTCTCTGCAAGCAACGGCTTGTTGTTTCTTGCTGCTAGCAGAGAGTCAATATGGCAAGATATCATGTCTCACCTCGGACAATGGCCTCATTGTTCCACCTGTGAAACTTTGTGCCAGCAAAGGCAATGCATAGGTAAGAAATGACACATTTGATCCAATTTTGACAACATCAGAGAGAGACGTCTCTCCCATCGTACCGTATCTGTACCGTCATTGCACATCTCCCAGCAGATGGTACTCCGTACCACTACTGCAAACATGGGTCCCCTCTCCAGTTGCAGTTCCAGTTCCAGTTACCGTCACCGTCATGGCGGCAGCAGCCCGCGGACAAAGGAGCTGGGACCGTCAGAGTGCGCTAAAATAACTCCCCGCGCAGGAAACAAAGTTGAGCGTCGACAGAAAGCGGACGATTCGATCCCACTAAGCACCAGACGTAAACATAGTTGCGGGTACCTGATGGGCGGTGGGTTGGTGCCGTAACCTTATAGCCCACTCACAGGGCCAGCAGCTCCCCAAGTTATTGAAAATCAATCAATAATCCTGTAGGCGGAAATCAATATTACCACCACCGCCACGGACAGAAGTGGCCGCCACTCTCCATCCAGCGACGGCATTGGGACAAGGTGTTGTGCGTATTTTGTTCCCTTGTACTCGTGTACCTGAGGCATCATGTATTTGTGCCTATGATGACTTATACCGTCAATGACGAGCCGGCGAGTCGAGGAAACGGTCGGCGGCGCGGGATTCTGCCTGTGTCCGCCAAACAGCAACACGAGGCCAAGGAGAGTCCAATGCAAAAGAGAAAGCATCGCCACCACCTAGTTCGCTCCTCTCCCTCATCGCCATGCCATGTTGCGCCCTACAGAGCACATCTGACCGTGGCAACGCGATCCCCCCTCTGCTTGTGTTTGTCATCTTGCTAGAGCCAAGAACGTCTTTTCCAAGGTTCGACTACCAGTAGCTGCTCCAGTCATCTCTGACATGCTGCTCAACAATCAGGAGAAACGGAAACTCTATTTGGATCAAAACGTAATCACGCTCGGTTTGTGTGCCGTGCCGCTGTCCGTTATCTCACGTTTCTGCCCCCCTCTTCTTGCGCTGGGGGAACTGTTGTCTGCCACCCTATCGTCTAGCTCCTCGTTGCCCGCAGCACGCGTGCGGCAAATCAGCGTCGGCAGCAGCCATATGGACCATGGTGACGCCGAACAGCTGCTCCTCTGATCTGCCCAAAAAACAAGGTCGACCCCGGAGCCCGGCTGCAGCAAATGCTCGTATTCTGCCCACGGACCCCCCTCCAACAACTCACGCAAGGGCTGCTTTGCACCAAGTACGGGAACCTGCGCGCGGGCCTGGTGCCTGAAAAGAGACGAGAGTCTGCTAGCACTACGCCGAGCCCATCAACCCATCTGCTAGGCCGCTGACTGGGAGTTCGGGTGGCGGCTTTGCTTGGCTCAAATGCCGCTCCGTTGGTGGAGAATCGAGGGCATCAAGGTTTAGAGTGCCTGAACTCAAGGCCACCCAAGCCAGAGGTGCCACAGCCCCTGTCCCTGTCGTTTGCTGAGCGAAGTGGGCGGATACGGCGCCGCCAAAGTCCAGCCGCACGCACGCTAAAATAGAACGCATATAATGGCCTACAGCAGAGCCAGGACAGGCGGTGTTAGTAGGGGCAAATATCCAAGTAGAGAGAGACCGGTGACTAGTCTCTGAGCCCGAGCCCGAGTCCGAGCCCTAGCTCGACTGCTATACGACTTCATGCCATGCATCATACTGTAGCATGTATAGAATGCATATGCTGCTTGAAGTATTCTAATTGATTCCGGTGATGTAAAGAAAAAAGGAAGGAAAAGAAAGACAAGAGGAATGCCGAGGCACCGATCCCAAGGGCAGATACCTGATATCGAAGCCATAACTCGACTTACACGCTCGTGTGGGTGGTGAGATTACAGCCTGGCGCCATTGCTTTTTGATCTCGGTCAAGATTAGGGTTTCCCTAGGCTGTGATTATCACGCAGCCGCTCCTCTCTCATCTTTACAGCCAATGCTCATAGTTGCCGAATCCCTCGCCTGCCTTCCTATCGGAACACGGCTCCCAATCCGTACGTGGTGGATCTTGGCCAGCAAAAAATGGGCCTTGCATGCGAGGAGAGCGAACGGGCTGAGAAGCCAAGGAAAGACAAGAACCAGGCAGTGCCGCGATGCCGCTTCCATTTCGATAAGGCGAAGATCATGGCGGGCCCATTGGACGGGGGGATTAGGAGATTCCCGGGCAGCATCCTCTATCACGACGCCACAGCCAACGTGGCAGATCTCTCGACCAGGACTGGAAATGACGCCTTGAAGCCCCAATTTAGAAGCGAGATAACAATGCAGTGCTAGTGTAGATATGCCGAAAGAAAGAGTACAGTAGGTACTGATATGAAGCGTACACTTGCAATGGGCTTTTCAAACAAGACTCGTATTAGTACCAAGTATTCTGTACTTGTCGAGACTCTCATGCGTCACAGAGCGCCTTGATCCGTATTCACATGTTGTACGAGTACGGCAGTGGCTGCCATGCTGTCATCTTGTTGTCAACTGCAGGCTACAATCGTATCTAGCATTTGCTAACAGCGTGGGCTAGATTGATTGTCATGTAAGTAAAAGAATTGCGGCTCAACTAAGCTGCAAGACGCGGGTTGTGAATTCGGAAGATTTTCCCAATTCGGCGTGTATATCAAGTCGATACTAATCCCGAATATCGGATATCAAACACTAGCAGTAGAATGATATTCTGCAATAAGCAGTAGTAGTAAGTAGTAAGCGCAGTTGTTGCTTGTACTTGTACCTCGCTTTTGTTGTCGATTCAAATCGCAAACGCCCAACACGTGTTCAGCGGAGAATGTCAGCCGTATGGTTGCATCGCAGGTGAACTAGAACTCAATCTATTAGACGACGTGGGCAGTTTAGATTTCCTGTATTTTCCAGTGTTCCAATGGCAGTCTTCTCGTGGCGCATGCACCATGCATATGTTCGACGTGGGAGCGGCTATCCGGACCGAAAATGGTTCCACAAACTCAAGCCTGCTATCTTTTCAAATTGTACTTGCATTGTACAGGGACTGAGAGATAAGGCGAAAGAGAGATAATGTATATATGCACACACCGAGCGTTGTCCATATCAGTACTCTTGCAAAGGCAAGTATCACAAGATAAGGAATATGTTTGGTGTTGCCGGACAAGCTATGCCGTTTCTGCGTATCTCTCTCTCTCTCGCTTCCTTTTTCTTATTGCCCTTTTCCACTTCCAAGGCTCTCCCTTTCACAAAGAGTTAGCACCTAGTACACTCGTACCAGAAAGATGCAAGGCTTGCGTCGGCGGCCCACAGCTCTTTCAAGCTATTGACACCCGCGTCAACCACGTTTGCGGGCCAGAACATAGTCGTAGGCACAGCGCGCAAAGCGAGCGCCCCCAATTCCCGTTTTGGCGACAGCAACAGCCAACTGCATATGCTAATAGCGATACTCCGTGGTGGTGCATAGATTTTAGTGCTGGTATAGGAGCACTAGCTCACCGTTCGTAGCTGAGAATCCGAAGACGTGGCCACGCTATAGTATGCAGGTGTAAACGGCAGCAAGGGTCGTCCACACCGGTTGACTGATACCGCATATCCCACGCCGGCCAGGGCTCAATTGTCATGAAGCCTCCCATTCCGTGATTTGAGCACACGGCTGTGATTTGGCGGCTCAAATGATGTAGGCGCTTGTACCCCTTGTATCACCCATCAATATGTGCACATGTTTCTTGAGTTGAAGGCACCGGCTTTGAGTGGGCAGGTAGAACGGCTCATGTTGCTTGGTCAACTCGTCACATTGTGAAGAACCACAGGTAGAAAGAGAGACAGTATGGGTTAACAAATCAACGAGGTCTAGAAGCTGCTAGCACCTACACATGGCGACGTGGTATTCGGATATTCAAGATGACTGTGCTCCATACTTGGGCAGACTTATTTGCCGCTCATAGCCCAATGGCTTATGCTATTAAAGACATGCATGATGGCTGGTCAAGTTGGCGTCGTCTGCCAGCTTTGTTGTGCCGTGTCTCACTCGAGAGACAGCAGGATAAGACAAAAGCGGTGATAATACGCGCTGTTTCTATATTGGGCACTCGAGCCAGCAGCAGGTGATTTGTAGGCAAAGCTGCCAAGCCAAGCAATTGGGCTGAACAAGGCAGACTTGAGAGTTGCCCTTACTGTTCCCCCAGCATTTTCTCGGTCGCTCACTCGGATGTCTGGAACCCAAGATTGCCTTGGCTGAGACAATTGCAATGGCGTCATATCCGCCGCAGTCATTTGTGTCTATTTTGGAGTTGCCAAGTGTGGAATGTTTTGTGGAAGCCTCTATCGACGCTTCTTGGTTATAAGACAGTTGACCAGTTTCAATTCCAAATGATTTGCACGAATACCACCATAATTCACAGAGGGAAATTTGAAAAAGCTGAGGTGAGTCTCAAGTGGCACGACGCTCGAAACAATAGACTTGGATTGTTCGTCTATCCGTTGTATCGATATGTCAGTCCAAGGATCGCTTAGGATCGTATTTGATGCAATATGTGGACATATTGCTGAACGCCAGAGGCGATAGCCATGGACTTTGACCTCATGAATGCTTTTTTGAGTGGTTTCGATCTCGTCATGAACGAAAGATATGGGGAAGTAGTAGCCAAGGGAGCCAAAGGTAGATTGTAGCGTCGTAGCGACTTTGGAGTAAAGTGGTGGTCATGTTTGCTCACCGAACGACCAGAGAGGGGAGGTGGAGAAGGAAGTGTATTCCTTGCAACAAAGGGCAGAAGACAGAAAGCAAATTGACCAGAGATTAAGATGGATGGCCAATACATCACAAGACGAGATGCCTCCCTGGTGTGCCTGGTAGTAGCGTGTAAGGGTTGGGTCCAACAGCTGAGCCGGTTGATTTACCCGCCCTATTCCACGTTAGCGTACCGCGTCCCCGGAAAATTGGGCAACAATTTCGATGCGCCGTGCGTCGCGCCAGGGGGTTTTCCAAGGGCCCGTGATTCGTGAATTAAAAGTGGCGGCTGAGGGTGTCATTGACTGGGGGCGAATCAGGTCCCCCTCGACGGGCTAACTAACAACGCCTCAGCTTCCTCCCCTAGAGTAAGTCGCTAGAAGACTGGGTTGGCCGGGAATTAGAGTATGACAGGCTCTAAGCATGATTTTAATTTAGCTAAGACGCGAGTTAGCGGCTGGGAAAAAGAAAAAAGCAGAGGCACAAAGATGGATTAACGTTACGCTGAGGATACCCTTGGATGCAACGCTTGTAAGGAGAAACCATGCTCGGCCGTGGCAAGCGGCGGTTATGCACCGAGGGCGCCATTTCATGCAGCGTTGAATCATGACAGCGGAAGATTAATATAAACCAAGAGGAGAGCGAAAGTGATACATCAGCCGGGGGGCGCTTAGCCTAGTCGCGGATATGGGACGTGAACAAATGCTGTACTTGTATCCGTAGGTGGAGGGTGGGAGGCGGCTGCATCTCCGTGTAGGCATTTCCAGCGTCTTCTTCTCCCCGCGTATCATCTCTTCTCTCCCGCTCTCTCTCCAGCGTCTGTTCTCTTGCAACTTTGCAGATCTCCTGTCACTTTGCATAAATAACCACGATTCGAAAACGATCGGAACCAGGCGATGCGGCCAAGATTGATCGTGCAACCCCGGGCCCTTTGCTAGTGGCAGCTATATTATGTGGGAATTGCGGGTGGGAAATGGGGAAGGGCTTGTGCGTGCTTGGCTGATCTGAGCGAAAAGCCGGCCTGACGACATGTCACGTGCCAGTGGCGTTGCTTGGGTTCCCAAAAGCGGCAACGGGCAGACAGGCGCCTGGGGAGAGGCGAAAAGAAAGCAAAGATGGAACCAAAATAAGGAAAATGATGACGCCTCAAGTATGCAACGCGATGAGCCAAGGCTGTTGCCGTTTGTGGGCTGGAGTTTGTACAAGTAGACTGTAGAGTCGAGTCGATCATACAAGTAAGCGCGCGAGTCGAGTCGACTGAGACGGATTAGGTACAAACAGACGCAGCACATGCAAGGACCCTGGCCGATGCGGGTAGCCGGTAAGGAGGGATGATGCAAGTCGCGGCCATCGGCTCCGGTCCTTGGGTAGCATTTTTGACGCAGTTGTCCATGTCGCAGAGCCAGCAAGCCGGACTCTTCTAGTGCTCTTCCTTTTCTCTTCCACGGGCTTTCTGGCGGCGGACGGTGCAAAGAGGCTGCAGCTGCAGAGATGCACGGCTGGGCGGCTTACGGTGCGCCATGACAGCTTAATTGCGCCTGCAAGCTGCTCGTGACAACCTGGAGCACAGCACAACCGTTAGCACGGTACCTGCAAGTGTGCGACGCTGGTGCCTAGGAGCAAGGTACCTTGGTAAAGCCGCGCCATGCAAAGCCGCGCCATGTAACCCCCGGTCTTGGTGCAGCTGCAGGCATGCGGCGTTTGCGCCCAACGCTTCGGATCAGCAATCACCGTCGTCACCAACAGACAGACGGCAACGGCTGCCAGATTTCCACTAGCAAATAGATTCGCCCTCGGCATAGGCGCTTGGAACCGACAGGTGATGAGAGGATAGAAGCCGGTCGGATAGGACAAGGACGAGAAGAAGAAGACAATAGAAGCAGCCCAACCGGATACATGTAGGCCATAATTGCACGTCCACGGCTGCAAAGCGTCCCCCCGGCGGCAGCTTTAGGCGGTGGCACAGGCAGGCAGCCTCCCGAAGAGCAAAACCGACAGCGAGAGATGCCATCTTTGGAGGCCCCCAGTTTTGCTAGGCGCTCTCGGGACGTAGCTCGAGATTAAAAAGCAGCCGCTCCAGGGCCTGTTTTTTTGCAGCTCCACCGCCGCCATCGACGACGCCGCCCGTGGTCACGCGCTTTTCCCGCTCGCAACTACTGTATCCCAATTTCTCGTGCCGACAAGCACAAGCCCAGACGCCCACGCATATCGCTATCGAGCCGCAGCCTCAGCGTTGCCGCCAGCCATCCAACATCAGACGCTTCGTCGTCCGGCGTCGCGCGCGCATCCTCGACCCTCGCCAGGCCTCGCTGCGTCCATCGCCCGGTGGTCGCGCCTCTGCCTGTCTCTCCCGACATATTCCGTCACCCCCCCAGAACAGGCCCTGAACGGCCCTGAAAGGCCCTGAACTGAAGCCCTTCTCCTCCGCCGCCGGCCCCCGGTCGTACCACAGAGCCCAGACCTGCCGAGCAACAACAAAGAGAGGCCATCGACACGCAAGGGCCCCTTCGAGCGCTGCGTCTGTGTGTCGCGCCTTGACTGTGCTGTGCATGGCGCACTGAGGAAGGGGAAAAAAAGTTGGTTCGCATCGAAACGCCACATCGCAGCCGCCCGCAATCCGCAAATCAAACTAAGGCCGGCCGCCCCCAAAAAAAAAACCACAACAAGGCCGCCTTCTCACGACCTGCATCTCTCGCCCGTCCCGAATCCCGAGTCGCCCAGCCTGCTGCCTGCTGCCCGCTGCTCGCTGCTCGCTGCCCGTCCGAATAGCTTCGCGCGCGCCCATCTCCGCGGGGCGCATCACCGCACGGCACCGTGGCGGCGCTCACCATCCTCGACCATCCCGAGACGCCGGAGCTGTCCCTGCAGCAGCATCTCGACCTCGCGCCCGACCTGGTGGGCTACGGCGACCAACTCGTCACGGGGGACGATCCCCAGTCCTTGATGATGGCACAGCCGGTGCCTCATCAGGACAAGAAGCGCGTCAAGGTCTATGAGCTGCGCAACAACGACTGGTTTGACCGCGGCACGGGCTTCTGTACCGCCAAGTTTGCGACCGTGAGTTGTTCCATTGTTTGCCGTAGCTGTCGCTGTCCCTTCTCCATCCTCCTGTCCTTGGCTCTTTTTTTTTTGCGTCTCTTCACCATTCATCATTGATCCGTTGCGCTCCGTATATGCCTTGTTTGGTGTCTTTGGGCTTCCTCTCTCCCCTCCTCTCCCCTCTCGCCAGTCCAAAATTCGCCACTCTTCTCCTTCTCTTTGTCGATTCCCCGATTCCTCGATTCCTCTGTAAAGCCATTGCGACTGGCCCCTTTCAAACAGACTTTACTTGCCCGTCTCTGCTGCCCTCATCGTTTGTCGCTTCTCAAAGGCTAATGTGCGCGCGCGCGTGTCTGTTTGCGTATATTACAGAACGAAGATGGCCACAAAGATCCCAAAGTCATTGTAGAATCCGAAGACCAGCCCGAACGACTCCTGCTCGAGACAACGATCCAAAAGCAAGATGGATTCCAGAAGCAACAAGGCAAGCGCGCCCCCGCTATTTGGCGCATCTCTCGCGGTGACGACATGTCAACTAACGTAGGCGCAACAGAAACGCTCATCGTATGGCAGGAGCCAGGCAGTGGCGTGGATATGGCACTGAGCTTCCAGGAGGCCGAGGGATGCGCCATGATCTGGTTTGTCCCCCCCAATTCTCGTTTCCCAACTTCCAACTTCCAACTTCCAATCCCCCCATTCATCACCATTCAAACGCTGCCTCCCCTCCCAACTTCCAATCCCCTCATCCATCAGCATTCAGCCGCCACCTCCCCCCAATCAAGATGCTGCCAAGCGGTGTCTGGGCTGGCGTAAAGGAGTTTGCCTACTCGTGGCCAAGGCCCAGACTTCTGATTGCTGAAGAGCAACGAGCCCGAGCCCGAGCCCGAGCCGCAGCCGCCGAGAACAAGGCAAGAATCGACGTCACTAACCGTGAAACCGGACCCAGGCGCTTCATTAACACCGTCCAGCAGACACTGCAGCACCAGCAGACCGATACGGGTATGTGCTCACTCCCATCTTGACTTGCGTGAAGCTGGCAGCTAACGACGGGCCTGCGCAGACGATAATCTTGACGATGAGCTCGCCATTGAACCGATCCCCCCCGTCAACCTCCCTGCCGCTGAACTGGGCAATCTGGCCGAAATCGAGGCCAGCCTTCGATCCACGAGCTCGACCACCGCTGGCCGTGAAGCCGTCGCCAAATTCATCGTGGCCGAAGACTACATCGACAAGCTTATCCCCCTGGTCGAGATTGCCGAGGATTTGGAAAGCCTTCCTGACCTGCATCGTCTGTGCAACATCATGAAGACCATTCTCTTGCTCAACGACACCTCCATTATTGAGCATTCCGTCTCCGATGAATGTCTGCTGGGCGTTGTCGGCGCTCTGGAATACGACCCTGATTTCCCCAGCCACAAGGCCAACCACCGCCACTGGCTCAGCAACGAGGGACGCTTCAAAGAGGTCGTGCCCATTGATGATGAAAACGTTCGCCGCAAGATCCACCAGACGTATCGTCTCCAATACCTCAAAGACGTTGTGTTGGCCAGGATTCTTGACGATCCCACCTTCTCCGTGCTCAGCTCCCTCATCTTCTTCAACCAAGTCGAAATTGTCCAGCATCTGCAGTCAAGTCCCGGATTCCTCATGAACCTCTTTGGCATCTTCTCTGCCCATTATCCCGAGACAAGGAAGCGAAAGGAGGCTGTCTTGTTCATTCAGCAATGCTGTTCCATTGCCAAGACCGTGCAGGCCCCTGCTAGGCAGTCTCTGTACATCAACTTCCTCAACCATGGCCTGCTCCGGGTCATCTATTATGGCTTGAGACATGTTGACGTGGCTGTGCGCGTGGGAGCTACAGACATCCTGATTTCTATCATTGATCACGATCCAATGCTGATTCGCCAAACCATTTTCCGACAAATGCAGGAGGGCTCCTCGTCGCTATTGGATTGTTTGATCGATCTTCTCTTGGTCGAGGTGGATTTGGGCATCAAATCTCAAATCTCAGATGCCCTCAGAGTCATCTTGGACCATGGAAACACCGCCGCATACAGCGAGCCTGCTAACAACAACAACAACAACAACAATGGCAACAACGGCGGTGGTAACGGCAACGCCAATGGCGCCAATGGCAACGGCCAAAAGCAGCAAACTAGCGAGTATGCTTTTAGGGCTCGGTTGCAGATGTCTGTCGACCCGCAACATGAGCACTTCCTGAATCGCTTTTACGATACTTCTGCCGTCAGGCTGTTCAAGCCCATCATCGAGCTGGATAGCCGTCCTAATCTGGACTTTACCGTTCAGGAAGCTGCCATGTTTTCTGGCCTGGTAGAGGTGCTCGGCTTCTTCATTCGACAGCATCATCGATTCAGCCGGTACTTCTTCATCGTCCATAACTTGGCGGCCCGAATCATCCTGCTTCTCAAATGCCGTGACAAGTACCTGCAACTGGTTTCGATTCGATGCGTCCGCTTGATCATCGGCCTTCAGGAGGAGCTGTACGTCAAGAATCTCATAACAAATGATGTCTTGGGTCCAATCCTTGAAGTCTTGGTTGAGACGGTGCCGCGTGACAACCTTGTAAGTGCCGCATGCACTGAGCTCTTCGATTCCATTAAGAAGGAATACCTGAGGGACATGGTGAAGCAACTTGTGGCTGAGCATCGAGATAACTTGCTTCTCGTCGAGCATATTCCGCCTTGTCGAGATTTGATCATGCGATATGATCATACACAAGGATTCACCACTAACATGGACATCTTCGCCGACACGGACGACGACATGATGAAGAGGCCAACTCATATTAGAATGCTCGAGTATATGCCGATTGACTTGCGCGAGGAGGAGTATTGGGATTCATCAGATCCCGAAGATGACAACGAAGACCAGAACTCGGGAGATAGGTCATCCGACAGCGGCGGCGCCTCCTCAAAGCCTTTGGTGGATTACGACTCTGATGAAGACGACGAGGATGCGGAGGAGAGTGCAGAACACGATGCCCATCACCACGAAGGAGACAACGACGAAGATGCTGATGCCGACTTTGCGCCACGGTCAGCAAGCTCCTCGCCCAACGTGCCGCCACCCGAGCGCCTGTCTGAAAAACGCCGGCGAGAGGCAGACGAAGACGATGATGACGAGCTAGGGAAGCTGATGCACAGCAAACGACGCAACAGCAGCTCTACAGAATCCAACTCATCAATCACGCAGAATCTCCACCGCAGACGCAAGAACTTTGCGAATGGGGCCGGAAATGGTGTCACGCCCAGAAAGATTGCAATCAGCCTGTCACCAGCCCTAAAGTCAGGCGGTCCCTCTCGGTCGGACGACGACTTGTGAAGCGCTCCAACCAAAGGAAGGATGAGAGAAGAATGAGAGAAGATTCTTTCTTGCCATTGTGCTTTTGTTGAAAACGGTGTATAGCCCTTTCATTCCCCTTTTTTTTCTTACTCTTCTGTTTCCCCCCCCCCCCCCCCCCCCCCCCCCCCCCCCCCCCCTTATTCCCCATTTTTATCTCATTCTCACTTGTTCTATTTGTTGCATCAATAATTTTTCATCCTCGGTTTCATCATCCTTTTTTTTTTTTTTTTTTTGGGCCATGGCAATGTAAAGAGCACAGATTGTTTTATCTGTATCAAAGGGTTAGCACCTCATCAAATGAGGGGGGGTTGGCGGCGGACAGGCGAACAGGCGGCGTTATGTGATTTCTTCTTCACTTTCCCTCCCTTGATCATCACCAATGGGTACTCATCGCGCAGTGGTATACATGACCGCAGCGGTGTCTTCCAGTTGGATGGAATTGAGTGGAGTGGCGGCAACGGTGATTCAGATGACGACGACAGCGGATATACAAACACACACCCACGAAAGAAAGAGAAAATAAATAAAAAAGTCTCAGGGACAAATGGACTTGGCCCAGAGGCTAGCGGAACATTATTTGCTTTGGTTGCCCCTGGACTCTCCTCGACATGAGGGAAACGGGGGTTTGCAATCGATTATTTTTTTGATGCTTGACATGTATCATATATCAGACGTACCTATCAGATGTAATTGGCTTCTCCTCTTAGCCACGGTGGGAAAAAGAGCATGAATGCGAAAGTAAAGGATCACGCCGATGAGGAGGATGGTAGACAAGGGTACATAGACAATGCAATGTCTTCAAATGAATCATACTTTGCTGTGAAGCGGACAAATCGAAAAGATGTTGTGTATTGTAATCGCTGATGAACGGGCTCGTGGCCCGAGTGTATTCTGGTATCGAAGATGGTAATAGGTCCTTCAAAAAGATCGTTTTGTCTATACCTGCTGTAGAACCTCATGGGTTCCCTTTTCCCTATGCCTTTTTTTTTCTCTCTTCTCCCTACTTTGCTGTATTGTTCTCTGTATGTTTGTTCTTGTTTTTCGAATATATTCGTCGTCATTCACAGTCGTTTGAATTGTCTGGACCATATTTCGTAGCCCGAAATCATCATGGCCGTAATGTTCCTTGGTGTCTTTTCGACTGCGGCCACCAGGTCCGCCATTCTGATTTCCATCTTCTCAGTGCCTGTCTCGTCTTCATCGCACCTGTCAAGCACCGCAAGGCCGGCTTCGTTGCATATGGCCTTGATCTCTGCTCCCGAGTAGCCGTCTGTGATACGCGCCAGCTCAGGAATTTCCACGTCCGATGCGAGGGCGAGGCCCCGCAGATGCACGCCAAAGACGGCTTCTCTGGCGGAGAGATCAGGAGGTCCAACATAGAGGATCTGGTCAAAACGACCAGGTCGAAGCAGAGCTGGATCCATAGCTTCAGGGCGGTTTGTAGCAGCCAGCACCAGGACACCAGTCAGAGACTCGAAGCCATCCATTTCAGTCAGGAGAGTCGTAAGCATATTCACAGAGCCGGAGCTCCTGGCAGCGGCGGCTCCGTTGCCTCCCGTTCGACTGCCACCAATGGAGTCTATTTCATCAAAGAAGATGATGGAGGGGGCAGCAGCTCGAGCACGTTCGAACAGCGTGCGGACGGCACGCTCGGATTCACCAACGTACATGTTGAGAAGCTCAGCACCCTTGACGGCAAAGAAGTTGAAAGAAGATTCAGTAGCCATGGCTTGAGCAGAGAGCGTCTTGGAGCAGCCGGGAGGTCCATAGAGGAGGAGGCCTTTGGGGGGTTGGCGGAGGACATGGCGAGAAGATGGGTTGGTATCCTAAAGTCATGTTGGTCAGTATGATATTAAGTGAAAAAGAAACAAAGTAAAAAGCGTACCTTTGTATTTTTGATCATGCGAGACAAGACTTTCTTGAGGGACTCTTGGCCGCCAACGTCCTGCCAGTGGATGGTAGGTGGCTTCAGGTTGATGTCGTGCATAGCAGTGGGACGAGTGATGCGAAGAGCCTGTTCCATGTCTTGTGAAGTGAGAAAGTGTTGCTGTGGCTGTTTTTCTTGAGAGGCTTGCTCCTGTGTAGCGTTGATATCAACGCTGGAAACACCCTCAACGACAGCGTCGACAGCAGCTTCGTCGTCTAATCTGTTTCCAAGGATTTTCTTGGCGTTCAAAACCAGATTGGCAAGATCGTCTCCGTTGTATGCGTGCGTCTTTGATGCCAGGCTAATGAGGCACGACTCCTTCTCTTCAGCTCTTAATGGTGGGTTGAAGAAGCGCAATATCTCGAGGCGCTCTGTTGCTCGAGGGATAGGCAGGGCAATGTTTTCACGGAAACGTGAGCGTTTCTGAAGCTTGGCTGGTACATCAGCTAAATAGTCCTGGCAGGTGACCATGACTACTACACGAGGCAGAGCATTGGAAGCAGAGGCCGCTGCAGAGAGGCTATCGAGCTCTTCGCCGAGAGCTTCAATGACAGAGTCGCGGTTGGAGCGATCTTTGGCGAGGATATCTTCAAGACCGTCAATGAATAGGAGACTTGGCTGCTGAGACTGGGCCTGCTTGAACGTCTCCCTGATGGATGACAACTTGTCCGAGGGCCGGATCCAGTGAACGCGGCCCCAGTTGGTAGCAGCAATGCGCTGAAGAATAAAAGTTTTGCCGGTGCCATGGCCTCCGTGGATGACGAAGCCGCAAGACTCGCGCTCGTTTGGAACCCAGAAAGGCCGGCCAAAGCCCCTGAGAAACTGGTTGATGGTGTTGATTTGAGTTGATAGGCCAGGGACTCCAGTGACAGCCAGTGGACCGGATACTTCAGCAGTGGCTTGTGTATCTTTGGCGACATCTTTGTCGTCTCCAGACTGTAGAATCCGTACTGTTGACGAGGCGATTTTGAAGCGAGCCAGATTGTGAGACTGCCCATTGACGGAGATGACTTTGAAAGCTCGACGTAGCTTGTTGATATTGACGCCTTCCAGAGTCATGCCGGGGAACACTTGTTCCGCACGATCGAGAGACACGCTGATGGAGAATTCCCAACATGGAGAGTGTTTTGCATCTGCAGCCGTGTCCTTTTGCTGGTCCGCCTCGCTGGTGGCATCTTGAACGACAACTTCCTCTGCGTCTGGCGTCACAGCTGTCTCTGCGAGTGAAATTCTCACTACATCCCCCAATTTGAACCCTGTGGCCTCCTGGAATGCCCTCGTCATCATCACAACATTGGCACTGACGTTCTTTTCGGGGAGAGCCCATAGTGAGGCTTCCCGTCTTTTTTTGCTGCTGGTTTCTGCCTCAGAAGCGTTGCTGGAGCTGTCATCTGTTTGCAGGCTCTCGATAACGCATGGTCGACCGCTGTCAAGGCCGCCGGTGAGCGAGATGAGCGAATCTTTGCTGACGTAGATGCGAGCAGCTCCTAGAAGACTGGCTCTTTCAAGGCTGACGTTTGAAAGAGGACGCACTTTGGCGTCGATGCTTTTTTTTAGCATTCTTCGTTTGGGAGAGACAAAAACGAGATAATGATGAGAGAAGGAAAAAGAGAGAAAAGAAGAAGAGGGAGTGGGAGAAGACGAGGAAATGGCCAGCTGCGAGGATTTACATGAGATTCAGAAGGTGCAAGTGTGGGCTGCTTGAAATGTGGGAAGGCCCGTCTAAGAATTTTCCTCTTTAGTAGCGGCGGTGCCAATCGTGTACTAGCTCACAGATTTGGGCGTAGAGTGTACTTGGAGAGGAGAAATACTTGCTTCATCTACTGGAGTTTGCATTTACGCTCAGAGGCCATGGCAAAAATCAAAACGAGTTTGAGAATCGTTCAATTACACTCTATGAAAATCTCAAAAAGCAGGCTATATTTCTGCCATTATGCAATCTCTCTGTTGAAGCTCTTCTAAGCCAATTGTTGGAGCACTCAACATGAAGTATCCACTTCCTACCAGCACTACTAGTAGTAGTAGTAGCAACAGAAGGTTGATAGAACTTAGAATCCCGCACCTATACCTGTACCTGGCCCGACGTCATGTCCTAAAACAACCAAAGAAGAAGAAAGTTTCTACATTTCTCACCCTCCTTTCCTTCCTTTCCCCCTCCCCCTCTCTCTCCTTTTTCAGAAGAGCAAGGAGCTCGAGCTCAATGTGGCCTCTCGGCGGCCACCAGTCCATATGATCAGCCCTCGATGGACTCCCCGGGCGACAGCGACCGTCGCTAATCTATGCGGCTCTTCTCGCCAGATTCCCTGCCCCTGCAGAAGAAGCTTCGGCACAACCAGGAACGACGGCAACCAAGATGGCTCCGAGACGAATCGTCGGCGCACATATTCACGCCCTACGCTGAAAGGCGAACCTCCCCATCGAACGAGGAGGGTCGAAGCGCATAGCAATGGTCCCAGAGCAGAAGCAGATGGGCGACCTCGACGCCCTCAAGCAGATTCTAGGAGGAACGATGGAAGAATAGAAGACGGAGATGCAAACAGCAGCAGCGGAGACTATTGGCCGCAGCTACAGAGAAGAGAAAGAGCCAAAAGACGAGCCGACGATGGCGGCGGCGGCGCGGCAAACGCTGCCCTCGCCATTCCAACGCCCGCCAGCATCTTTGCCCCGCGGCTCAATGTCCAGAATCCGCAGGGCACAAAGGAGTCGTCGCTGGTGATGCTCGTCATTGACGGGCTGTCGTGCAACCTCAACGCAGCCGACTTTTACCGCATTGCGCCCAACGATTTGTCCGACTGGCAGAGCGTGATCAAGAAAGGTACTTGCAAGGGCTTCTTTTGATTTTTGATTTTTGATTTTTGATTTTGATTTTGATTTTAGCTAACCACAAAATCTTTCCATCCATAGTCCAGATGCAACGCAATCTGGATTCCTTCGAACCGCTTGGCCGCTACCTGCTTACCTTTAGCACGGCCCAAGCCGCGGCCTCGTACCGCGATAGGCTCGTCCGGCTGCATAAACTCAACGGCTTCAAGCTGCGGTCTGCAAGTGGCCTCTGGGAGAGCAGCGTCCCTGCGGCTCTCAAAGTGTCTCTCACTTCCCCTCTAGCAGCAGCAGCAGCAACAACCACAACGATGGGAACAACAAAAGTAGCAGCAGTTACTGAAACTATCGGTGATGCGGTTGCTCCTTCTGACTCGCCACCCAGCACAGAGAGCGTAGTTGATTTGGCCAACTCCTTCACCCTCGCACCCGGTTCTCAGGACACGCTTTCGGTCCAGCGCAGAAAAGTGACGCTTGCACGACCATGGGCGAAGCGTCTGGCCAGCATGGTCGAGAACCTCGGATTCGGCGAACTGCCGCACGTATTGATGCTGGAGGTCTACCCGCCTACTCTGAGTGCCGGGGAGCTGAATCAGTTCATTCGGCGAGATGGCGAAAGCAGAGGCCTGAGGTGGCCGGTGTCTGCTCCCCAGCATCTCAGGATGAATAGCAGTCTGCAGCAAGCCCCAACAAGAACAAGGGGCTCGAGGACAAGGGATGTTGATCAAGGCGAGGCCAAGGATGAGGATGGTCAAGCAGCGCCGAACCAGCAGCAGCAGGGCCCATCGTTCAAGTTCAACGATCGCGAGACGGAAGAGAAGCTCAAAGGCCGGTTCGTGCTTGCATGCACCGACGAGGCAGAGGCACGGCGCTTTCAGCAGAGCTGGAACAACAGAGTGCTGACGACGCTGCGGCCGCAACCAGCTAGATATGTAGTGTATGCATCAATAATAAACTGGTAGCTTAGCTACCTGCCTTGGTATCTCCAACTGAGCTCCCATCACATCATCCTAATGGACTTTATTAATGGATTTTATTATTGCATTACACGCTTTATTCGTTCATACTTCTTCTTGAGCATAGCTCAACGTTTACAAAACCACATACAGTTGTTTTCTCTCGTTATAACTCTGTTCTGTCCTTCTTCCACTTCCTCGCCTTCTTCCTCCTTCTTCCAACTCCCCCCCTCTCTATTGTGACACTTGCCGCTCTCTGTCCGTCCGTCTCATTCGCTCTTTATATCTTTTACCGTGTTATGCCAGACTCCAAAGCGAAATACAACAGCACGGCTTGGCCGTTACATGAAATAAGAAAAAAAAAAAAAAGAAAGGATCATGGCACAGTAGCAGTAATAGTTTTTTTTGTATATTAAAACCCAAATAAATGAAGAAAACAAGAATAACGAAGCAAAAGTAGAAGAGAAAAAAACACAAAGAGAAGAAGGCAAGCAAGGGTAAAGGGGAGGAAGCAAAAAGAGAACCGCAAAAACTCCGAAACCATTATTGTTCTTTCTAAAGTTGGGGGGGTTAGGTCTGCAGGGAGGATTTTTCAAACTGCGCCGAGTGGCATTGGGAGTTTTAGAATAAATTAATAAAAGAAACAAAAAAACAAGGAAACTCTCATGACCCTCATGTCCGAAATGTCATTACTGGCTTGCAGTCGGCAAAGAAAAAATGAACTGCAGGCCTCATAACAGCTCGTATATCTTGATCGCGTTGCTCTGCCGTCTCCATTATATCATACGTCAAATACACTTCTCCAAATCAACGTTATGCCTGGTATGTCTGTGCTTGCTGCGCATGACTCGTCAACCCTCCTAATTTTAACTCTTTTTTTTTAATTATTATTTTTTCTTTTGGTCTGTGTTGTTCTTGTTTTCTTTTTAGCAGCACTTGCTGCCGCCGTTGTCGCTCTGCTCTCCGACCTTGACGCCTGATGAGACGCCAGCGTCGGTCTTTTGGTTGTCGATGAGGCGCTTCTTGATGTCGGCAGCCAGGCTGTAGAAGGCCTGGTCGATGTTGATGTTGCTCTTGGCCGAGACTTCGAGGAAGGGGATGCCGAGCTCGTCGGCCAGCGCCTGACCCTGCTCGGTGGACACGACTCGCTTGTCTTCCCAGTCGCACTTGTTGCCGATTAAGATCTTGTTGACGCCCTCGGTGGCGTGCTGCTCTACGTTTTGGAACCAAGTGCGGATGTCTAGCAGGGTGAAACACGGGTTAGCCAACAGTGCAGAGAGTTTTGAATTTTGGGGATATTAATGTGGGCTGGGGAACTCGTCCAAACAAACTCCCCTAGCATCGCATCAAGCGAACCAGGGCGTCTTTGTGAAAGAGTTTTTGTAGGCTGTCAGGTATCCAGAAAATACAAACGGCGAGACAGGTTGACTGAGAGCAAGAAAACGAGCAAAGAGAGATGCAAGAGCGGTGAGAGTCATGTGGGGAGAAAGGGGCGGGATTCCTGGCTTTCAAACATACTGGCAAATGATCGCTCGTCAGTGACATCGTAGACGAGCAGGATGCCCATGGCACCGCGGTAGTAGGCAGTGGTGATGGTTCGGAATCGCTCCTGGCCGGCGGTATCCCAGATCTGCAGCTTGACCCGCTTGCCGTCCAGCTCAATGGTCCTGATCTTGAAGTCGATGCCAATGGTGGTGATGAAGGACGGTGTGAAGGAGTCTTCACTGAACCGCAGCAGACAGCATGACTTTCCAACACCAGAGTCGCCAATCAGCAGAAGCTTGATCTGTTCAAGACAGACCCGGTTAGCATTTTCTCATCTCACAGTCGGATTTGCAACGTCGCCCAACAAACGCCCTCTTCTCGCTCGATTATACTTGGAGGGCATATGCGAAAAGGGGGGTGGGGGAAAGAAAAGTTTGGGGCATGTTTCGTACCAGGAAATCGTAATTGCGATTGCTAGGAGCAGGCATTTTGAGCAAGTGGTATAGCCTCGATTAAGGGGGTTTTGCTTTGTTGCGTTGAGCGGATCGAGTCGAGGCCGAAGTGGCGGGGAATGCGAAACGCGGCAAAGTTGAACAAGAGGATCGGGATTCGCAAAGAACCAAGCAAGAGAGCCGCAACGACAGTCAGCTGCTTCTCGTCGTACCAGATGGCGACGGATCCGGGTCAAAGCAAACGATTCAGCGTGTTGGAGTGGCGGTTAAAGGTGGTGATGCTGGTGGAGAGCCAGCAAGGAGGGATGGTCTGATCTGATCTGATCTGGAAGAGACGCTGGACGCTGGAGATGAAGCAACGCGCAGGCGCAATTGAGCGAGAGAAGAAGAGAGAACCGGGCGATGGAAAGCAAAAAAGGGGAGACGCGATTCTCCAGGCTGGTCGTCGGTGAAGATGGTTGCAGAATCGAGGTTCTGCGGATTCTGGACCGCTGGGAAGGCGGTCGGGACACTTGGCCGAGATGGGTGCCGGCGTGCATACGTAAAACCTGCACAAGTACCGTCTGCGCATAAAACGGCGGGCGAGGTACCTGCAGGCGCTGGATGGGGCAAGGGGGCGGGCAGCGGGCTTTCGGGGGGGTCTGGCGCCGGGGCAGCCGCTGGAGCTGGGCTGATGTTTAGTGGGAGGAGTCCACTGAAGGCGCTGGCGGTGGGTAGCTGAGGCTGCTGGCAGATGCAGATATGCAGCTCTCATCTCCAGTATTCGACTACTACCTCGTGTATCCGAAACAACGTTGCGTGAGATTTTGAAAGCTTGAATACCTTGTATATCTTATATCTAGCACGACTCATCAGGGTACCTGAGATTTGAACCCTCCATAGATATGGAACAGTGGGCATCCATCAAAGCTAATCACAGACCTGTAGGCTGGCTTTGATTCCAGCAGCGAGTCACAGCAATACATGGCCTTGACCATGAACTAATCATAATCTCCATCCTCTTGTATTTTTCACATGTGCAATTCATCTACTTGCGGATGTTAAAGTGGGGGAAGAAGCTGCATTGTGATTTCCCCCTTACTGTTGAAACTTGGACTCCTTGGTCGTACATTCGGACCCCGGCCGCCGCTGCAGATGAGGGGCGGCCTCTTTAAAACGAACGGTCTAGTATTAGTTCTACAAAATGACCATTTTCCCCAAAAATGGCTGCCTTGGCTGTAAAACTTGTAGGCCTAATCGATGACATGCTTCAATTTTTTTGGGCTTCAATTTCTTTTCTTTTTCTGGGTTGGTTCGTTGAACTAGCGAGGGGAAGAACGTCATCACACGCTCTGTGCCTGTTTCCGTACCACAAGGGCCCCTTTGACATGGTGTCATGGCTGCATGTCGGAGTGGCGGTTAATCCCGTCCGGGTGACGGTCAAGGGAGATTTGTAGGCATAGCGATGGATAAATGGAAATAACTCGAGTTCTTGTCCTATTACTAGCAACTATCTTGACCGAAAACAAAATGAACATTTGATGTATCAGCTTTTACCAACTTGTACAGCCTTCACAAGACCTACAAGACGTAGAGAAGGGAAGAGAAACAAAGAAAACCAATATAACAAAAGATTCGTTCAACCCCCACTCCCACTCTTGATAAATCAAGTTCAAATCAGAAAGATGCAGTGACTGGAAAGTTTAAATCAGGAAATTTCAAGGAGAGTGAGATGGTGACTGGACAAGTCCAAATCAGGAAATTCGAAAAGGTTAAAGGAGTGAGGATATGACCGAAAGGTACAAACCAGGAAATTTCAAAAGTAAAAGGAGTGAGAAGACGACTGAAAAGTCCAAATCAAGAAATTTCAACAAGAGAGAGAGAGAGAGAGAGAGAGAGAGAGAGAGTTAAAAGACGACTGAGCATCAACAGTGTCACTCCTCCTTCTTCTCAAACACATTGTTCCACATGGCCGGCAGCTCTCCCGGCGGCGGCAAAACCACCTCCTTTGCCTCAAAAGCCGGCGGCCCCTCGAACAGATTCTGCGTGCAGGGCTTGTCAAGCTTCTCGCAGTACGCACTCCACAAGTCGCAGTTCTTCAGCCCAACCGGCGGCGAGCTCTTCTTGCACTCCTTGCTCTGCGCGTAGCAGTTCTTGACGGCTTCCCAGCACAAAGCACTGTCCGAGTACGGCGCCATGGGCTTGCCGCACCAGTTGGCACTCTTGAAGAGGCAGTCTTGGGGGATGAGACCGACGGTCTGGACCATGGGCTCTGCTTTGGAATCCACGTTGGCCGACAAATGCGAGTTGTCGGGCGTGAAGACCTTGGGGCCGGGAATGGGGTAATATTCAATATCGTCTTGGTAGACGTCAAAGGTGAGCCCTGGCGTGTCGAGATCGACATAGCCAGGGATGGTGGCGAGATGCTCCTTGGGGACATCGAGCGCACCTTTGACGTCGCTGTCGAGGAAGATTTGTGCGCAGCCCAGGTAGTACTGCGGGTCGTTGCGATGAGCGGCCCAGTGCAGAGCCAGAATCTCAGGTCGCACGAGATAGTATCCCGCCGGCAGCCCCTGGGGGAGATTGACGGACAGCAGACCATTCTTCTCGACGAGGGTATCAACGCACCACTTTTGCGTCTCCGGGTTGTAGCCGTCTTCCCAGATCTTGAACCATCCGTCACCAGAGGCCGAGTCTGTCAACATGTTGTCGACTTTCTTGAGATAGACGGCACATGGACCCAGGTGGCCTGGATCAATGCTGCCCGGCTTCTGAGCATCAGGCCAGAGGCGAAACTCGAACGTGAGCAGCGACCCTTTCTTTGTAGGGCAGACAAAGGGAACAGGCTCGGTGCCATTGCGGCCTGTAGGTCAGACATTAGCATCTAGCCATTGGACGCCAGGAGAGAGACAGAGAGAGAGAGCTTGGCTTACCGCAGACCATGTCTTCAGAGACTACAGATTTAATTGGAAAGGTTGCCGTCTCCCCATCGTACGGCATACGAACACAAGTGCCATCTCCTTGGCTCTTGCGATCGACGTAGAGGGTAGTAAAGGTAGTATGGGCATTTGCCAAAGCGGCAAGGCCCAGCATTAGGAGCCTAGCATTAGTATAGGCCTTCATGATGAAAGAGAAGATGCTGACGATGATGAATGGTATGGAATGGGTTTGGTAGCGTGAAGAAATGAATGATGAGTGAATTAGAAAGGTATGTCCCAACATCTGGGCGAAAAGGGTGAGCCGGTCCATATTATAAACGAAGTGCCCTCATCACTTACTTGGCTTGTCTTTTCATACCTGAGGGAAAAGTAAGTGTTCTAGCCCCTTGATGGACACTTATCGAATGATAATTGCGCAGCCACTTTCTCAGAGGCTTGTATGTACACTTTATAACTGAAAACGTTCTCACCCTCGGCTAGTTTTTTGTCTACCAAGATGGCCAGTTTTGTTTGAAGAGAGCTGAAAAAGGGGGGGGGGCAAGAACAACGAGAACAGTCTTGTCAGGATCATATGCAGCAGTAGCCCTGATATCAATGAAAACGAGCAACTTGTTTGCGATTGTAGTCAAAGAATGTTGTGAGTGACTTGAGCTTGAGCAGAACTGATGCTCGCTTCACGATGGCTTCCAAAGTACAAGACGAGGCTTGCGGCAGATTGCGTATATGAGAGTGGCGCCAAACAGGGACCGTCGTTTAGAGTAAGGTGACTCGGTAGGGAAAATGCGGCGCTGTGGCGTCCTACGTTACCGGCAAGCTTATATCTTATATCAGGTCGAAGAGGATTCGAAAGCGCGTCTCAGTTGAGGCTGAAAAGAGCAAACGCCATCAAGATTAACGAATCTGCACATCCGTCAAGGTAGCACACGCAAACATAGCAACGGCCGCGCGGACAAAAAAAAACAAAGGGCACAGGTGACGATCAAGAACCGGGAGAAGAGAGATTTCATATCCAAAAGCAGAAGAAGAAGAAAAGCAAAACAGGTATTTCAAGCTGGTAGCTCCAATGAAAAAAGATTTCCACGCCACTGATAGCTCCATGATGTCTCCAGTCTATGTCAAATTTCTTCTGCTTTTCCCTTTGGCCCATCCTAATGAATTACTGTGTCCTTTTTCTTCTTGTAAGGGTCAAGATTGTGGAGGCGACAGATGTTTTATATGTAGAATCATTTTTTAGATTGTTTTTTTGTTTTCGTATGGTACAGATTATAGTACACTCGTCATGACGTCGGGTATTTTATCGCTTTTATTATGCTTTCACTTTGCTTTATGCTTTTTTTACTCGTTGATCTTGGCAAGGATTCTAGATGGGTACTTTGTCAGTATCTTCTGCCAAGTCATTGCCATCATTCGGTGCGCGGTGATGTCACTTACTCGCTGTCACGGAACAGGTGGTACTCTTCGTCGCCAGACTTGATGGGAGAGCCACCAAACTAGAAAGATGACATGTCAGCTCCAGAGTCCTTCATCTTTGTCTTTCTCCGTGTTTCTCGTCCATACCTGGGGAATCAGCACTCGGTCGCCAACAGCAACGCCCATGGCGATGCGCTTGCCATCACGGTCCAGACCACCGGGTCCCACGGCAAGAACCTTGGCCTCGTTGAGCTTCTCGACGCTGGACTCGGGCAGGAAGATGCCGCTGGCGGTCTTGGCCTCGGCCTTGACGCGCTGGACGAGCACGCGGTCCAGGAGAGGAGCCAGAGCACGGATGGAGCGGACGGTAGACTGTGGCTTTACGTTAGCGGGCTGTTTGCTTATTTCTTTCTCGCCGAATTCAGACTGCTCCCATAACAATGACAATGGCACGACGTTCTCGATTGTGGCTTATAATGGATATATGCCAGTTTGGCAGCTGACATGTATACGCATACAAGTCCCACCAAGAGGTGGCCGAGGTGGCCGGGCCGGAGATGCGAGTTTTGGGAGCTGCGTCATGATGAAAGGGAAATTAACCATACCATTGTGAAGAACTGAGTGCGATTGGTGATATCACGAGCGAGGTTGGATGTGGAGAGGAGCAGATAGAGACGAGAGAGGAAAAAGAAAAAAAGGCTGGAGAAGCGGTTCCGATCGGCAGCTCAGTTGCTGCTTTCCCTTCTAACGGCTTCCAGAATCCAGCGACTGCTAGTGGACAATTTTTCTGTCGGCCCGGGATTTCCCCTCTTCCGAAGCCTTTCTTTGCTTTTTTTTTCTCTGCTCTGTGATAGCTTCAAGGTAGCTTCGGTAAACACAACCCCGCCATGCTAGGCCGAATGTGGAAGAAAGTGCCCCTCAGTAACCAAAAACTGCTCATGAGCAGCTTCAGTGAGATTGATGTTGAAGTGATACCATAGATGGATACATTGCAACAGAATCATTGCTTTACAAGAGAAGATGCATAAAAGAAATTCTTTTGATTATGCCCAGATACATTGGCCCTTGTAAATCACCAACAGTTGACGCCGTCTATATCCCCTCCCCTTCCATAAGTCGCCTGCACCCGCCGAATTCCGTCTCCTAAATGCCCCTCAACTATGTAAACAGGTAAATAGTATGTCACTATGTAAAATGATGAAATAGGTTTAACCCTGAGGTTAGGTTTGATCTGCTGTTTAAACAAAACCGTTTGACGCACTCAAACGTATGGCGCACTGCCTGCCATACAACACGCGCACCCCATTTTCGCAGCCGGGGAGACTCCTGGCGTTGATATCTCTCTCCTCTTTCCTCCGCTCTTCTTGAAAAAAAATATTTGGTATTGTGCAATTTCTTCCCATGATGCAAAGCCAACAAATAATAGTGAAAAAAAAAAAAAAAAAAACGCCCGGCAAACGTGTAGATAAAGAGAGATGTGGTAAACAATGATAATGAGACAACATGCATAGAGAGGGAGAAAGTCGTAGAATGAAATGAATCAGAAGTTGACAAGAGAGGGAAAAAGTAAATGATAAAACATGATTCAACTCTGACATCTCAGCTTACACCTTTTTCGGAGGAGGCGGCTGAGAGTTGGGGGGCTCCAAGACATGCTTGTGGTCGCGGGCTGGAATCACTTCACCGCTGTCGAGCTGCTGGCAGATGACGCTATCGGAGATCCACGGTTCCTCCAAAATCTCGCCCATTCTGGCTCGAGATTTGGGATTAACGTCCAGCATGCGGTGGATGATGTGGCGGCTTTCGCGGGGGAGTAGCCGCAGAATCCTCCAGGGTCCTCGGACGACTTCTTTGGACCTGTCGGGGACGCTGACACCCGGGATGGGAAGCTGTGGGGTGTCGGGGCCTACCGCGTTGGAATCCGTCGAATCATTTCTCCTGTGTCCCGTGCTGCGTTGAGACTTGCCATCGTCGTCGGCCAAGAATTCTCGAGCAGGCACAGATGAGAGGTCGTTGGTGGACTTGGGACGCAGCAGTTTGCCGGGATCGTGGCCAGGAGTCGGTGTGGCTGCAAACAGCTTGTAGGAATTGTCCGTCATGCGGGGAATCTTCCAGGGGAAACGGCGCAGAGTCATGCAGCAAAAGATGATGGCAAGAGACCAAATGTCGACTTCTTCGGCGTTGTACTCCTTGGAATCGTAAACCTCGGGGGCCAAGTACGGGTCGGATCCAACAATGCCTACAGTGATTGTTGTTTAGTATGGAGCAGCAAGCATAGAGAGATTATGGTACAAGGGATTCATTTTCAACTTACCCTTGGCCGGGACGGACCCGCTTTCAAAAGGATACTTGAAGACATGGGCGCTGCCAAAGTCGATAATCTTCATAATGCCCTTGTCGCTAACAACGACGTTGTCGAGCTTCAAGTCCCGATGCGCGAGGCCCATGCTATGCAGGTAGGTGACGCCATTGAGGATCTGCAGGAAGCTGCATCGAATCTCCTCGCGCGACATCCTGCCGGTCATGACAATGGCAAAGAGGTCAAAGGGCGCATACTCCATGACTTCAAACCAGCGGCCCTTTTCCTGCAAAATGTCCAGCGTCTCGATGACGTTGCCGTGGTGGAGAGTCGATCCGACGCAGAACTCGGCCGTCACCTTTTTGTTGTACTCCCTTTCCGTCTCATACGTGTGCCGGGCCCTGAATTCCTTGACGGCAAAGACGGTGCCGTCCTCGGTGCGGCGCATGAGCCTGACGGAGCCGCCAGCACCAGATCCCAGCACCTTGCCGAGTCTTCCGTACTTGGAGGTCAATCCATGGTCGTCGCCAAAGGGCAGCTGTTGGCTGGAGCGGCTGGCCTGGCTGGATTTGGACGATGATTTGATGGACGACGACGGCGACTGGTCCCGCTTCTTGTGGTGGTGGCCTGACTTTCGGAAAAAGCGCTTCAGATCGGACATGGAGCCCGCAGACGCATGTCCGTGGACGCCATCAGCCGATCCAGAATCGTCGCTCGGCCTGGGCTGGCCGTACAAGGCGACGCTTGTCTTTGACGAGGTGGGCGACGGACCACCTCGGTCCTTCTTCTTCCTCGAGATGGAGAATATGAATCGCGGGTCGACTGAGTGGCGGGTAGGGTGCTGCTGCTGAGGGGGGCGACGGCCCTTTGCATACGGGTCGTTGGCATCACTCTGCTGAGCCATTGGCTTGGAGTAGTAGTGGGCGGCCGAGCTCCTGGATGGGCTGGATTCACGAGACACGGGCACGGAGCTGGGCCCGACGGAAAAAAAGTCCTTTCTGTGGAGTCCTCGAGACTCTGGGCGATGATCATCGGTGGACGACGAGGCCCTGGACATGGCGCGGTCAGAAGAGCCAGGCCGGTGGGCGAGGGCTGCTGCTGCTGCTCTCCGGTCAGCGGCGCCAGCGGCGGAAGAGGGCGTCTTGTCGGCGGTAGGGCTCGAAGGCTGCGGAGTGATGATGTGATGCGAATCGCTGACGGAGGTAGCGGGCGTGGGAGTGCCGGCGGCACCGGCGTCCTTATGTAGCCTCTTGTCGGGATCCGAGCCGGCAGGCGTCAGTGGAGGAGAGGCCAGCGCCGAAAGCCGAGGACTCCCGTGGGGAGATTGCCATCCGGACGAGTTTGGCGTGGGCAGTCTGGTAGAGTCATTGGAGGCGTCTTCGCGAGAAGCAACCTGGCCAGGGGTGGGCGGGTTAGCAGCTGAACGGGGTGGGAACTGAGAAGGAGAGGATATGCAGGGCATGATGACGGGCATCAAGCTGGGCTTCGGGTGGCCGGAGGCGTGAGGCGATGATTCGGGGATGAAAACATTCGGAGCGCTTATGACTGGATACATCATCGGTTGGCATGGTGGATGCAAGCCAATGATGGGGACATCTTTGCGGAGCTAGAGGACAATGGAAATAAACGGTGGTGAGAAAGACAAGAAAACATGACGTTGTATAGGTGGTTTGTTTGTGAGAAAGGGGAGGGTGGAGGGGGGGGAGTAGGGACGAGTGACAAGGAATAGAGAAGCAGGCAGGCAGGCAAACAAACACAGGCAAGCAGAGTAGGCCAAGTCCGAGATACTGCAGCAGCTAGCTACCCTTGAAACAAGACAATTGGGAGGGGGGGGAAACGGATCGTGGTCATGGTCATGGAGGCTGGAACTCTTACCCGTGATGCAGGAAGGGAAAAGGCCTCGAATCCAAAAGTGCTCATGCGGCGCTCCTGCAAGGGCAGCCCCTGGAGCGACCTTTGGAAGGCCTTGATCTGGTCGGCAGCCACCTCGTTGAAGGTATCGAAGCGATCCGAGGTGTTTGTGGTGGCGGTCCCGAGGGACTCGTTGACGGAAGCAGGCTTGGACGAGGCGGGATCGACTGCGATTGCCGGCGCTGATGTTGGTCCTGGCGCCGACGACGATGCTGGATTCGGGGCTGAAGTGGCCGAAGCTGAAGCTGGAGCTGGAGCTGCGGCGGGAGCAGCAACAGCAGCAGCAGGTGGTGTTTGCGGCTCAATCTCCTCGACGGCAGAGGAGAAGCGAACGGCGGCGGGAGCTTCGCGAGGTTTGCTGGAGCTCGACATGTCGCCCTGAGACGACGACGGGGCTTTAAGACGGGCACAGAAACGTCAGCACACCTTGCTGGGTATTTATTTGTCACGGCCGGCGTCATCCAGCACGAAAAGGCATCTTCTCGTCATGCCAGGCGCCGGCAGCTCCAAGGGCGGATGCGCCGGACGGGCCCGTAGAGGGAGAAACCAGAAACTCACCACCAGCGGCCTCGTGCGGCAGAGGCGCCTTTTTGGTCGCGGACGACGCCATGGAAGCGGGAGCTGGAGAGCGACGTCTCTTTTATTTCCTGCTGTAGGTTGAAGCAGAGAACAACAAGAAGAAACGCAGAGTAGAGGCGCTGCAGCGAAGATCCTCCCAGAAGAACCAGAACCAAGGACCAAGGACCGGGAATCTTGTGGGAGCCAAGTTTTGGAAAGGGCCGGGGCGACGGTAGCGGCAGCGCAAAGCCGGTGGCCAGCGAGAGAGCGAAAAAGGCGACCGCTTTTTTTTTTTCAGTCTCCTCTGGCTCGGTTTTGCGCGACGATGGAAATGAAATTGAGCAGAAATCGGGATGGATGGGTTGGATGGCCGATGGTGGGGCAAGTACCGGTACAGGCCGGATTGAGTACCCACGGGAGCGAGTGCGCTGTGCTGTGCTGTGCGGGAGACGCTGCAGGGCATGGGCTACAGGGCTCGACAGGGCTCTGCAGGGGGTGAGAAGAGACGCCTAGCACACAGCATTGGACATGGCATCCAACTCCGCTACTGCTGCTGTTCAGGGATCACAAAGTGTTGATGGACACATGTATGTTTATATTGTTAGACAAGACGCTGCTTAGGCATGAATCTGCGTCTCTCTCCTCTGTTTCTTCTGTCTGCAAGGAGTCTTGGCTGCACTCCGAGCATACACCACGTCACAGGTAGCCGGTACATGCTGCCAAATCCGGTCACATGCTTTGGCACTCCGTCGATTGCTCTCCAACTGCGCTTGTACTGCCAGGTACCGCTTCTCTTGGGATTGCCGCATTCTGACGTTCTCAGTCCAGTGCGTGCAGTCCTCAGCTCCAGCTCAGCAGACGGAATCTACAATCATCGACCAAATCAAATCCCCCAGCGCCAATTGCTGTTTACGGAGATTGCGCTGCGTGCCGAAAGCGACATCGTTTCTGCATGTCCCTTGGCCGCAGCGACACGCCCGTCAACACGTCTCAGCTGCCATCCCGTGAAGGCGCCATGTACAGATCAGGTCCTGGTGCTGCCGCGCCCCTTGGCCAGGTCTCTTTGCTGGGGGCGAGGGGAGGAACAGCGGGCTGCCCTGTTAGCATCAGATCCGCCCAGCGAGCCACAGCAACTGCGGCGCGCCGTACCGTTTCCCCTCCTTGGAGGTACCGCTGCGGGCCGCCACAGGCGCTGCAGATACAGAGACGCCGCCGCCACGGGACCTGCAGCGGCGGTATCTGGTGCTGCCCGCCGTGCTCGCGGCTTAGCAGACGCCCTGCAGCACGGGCGCTGGAGGGTACTTGCTGGTACTCGCCACGAGAACTGCATGGATTTGATGGCATCGAACCTTCAACCTCCGCATCGACGCAGCCGCTGGCGCTTCGAGGCGCAATCTAGAAAAATTCCCCAGCCAGCCAGACGCTGCGTCAATCTACCGGATAAAGCGCTTCTCTCGGGACTTGCGGAATAGGCCCAGGCGCCATCCAGCACGCCACAGACGCAGAACGCAAGCTGCTTGCCCATTCCTGCAGATCCTACACCATCTGTTACTACTGCTCCGTGTGTTATTATCACGAGTTTGTCCACGCAGCTGGCTGTCCGTTACTCTGCTGAAACCATGTACACGTACCCAACTACACCGTATCTACTAGGCACCAGCGTAATCATTCAAAGCCTCGGCTAATGGCTGCTCAATGCCTCTCTCCCTCTCCATCTACCCGTGGAGTACAGATACATGCGCATCACTCGACAGCAGCTTTGAGCTATTTCTCCGTGGAGCTGCTGCCCCGTGGACTTGTGTGTTACTGTCCAAGGCAAATCGAGGCTTTTCTTAGTGCCTGGCTATGGAGTCTTACCCACCCACGCCTAGCCTGCGGTGTCCCGCGTCTTGCGTCCCTATCAGTGACACCCTGCTCTGAATATAGACGGATATAGCACGGCGGAGGATTGCCGTAGCCGTGATTGGCGGCGACCCGAGGCCAGCTGGTTCCATTTCAAGGTTGCCTGGGAAGTGCCTCATCCAACGAGAAGCTCTTCTGGCGATGGGGAGGATCACGATGGCCATGGTGGTGATGAGGTGTCTGTCTTGTCTCTGCAGCTGCATCTGCATTGCATAGGTAGTTCACTGGCTAGTACCTGCATGTTTGACATGTTGGCCTCATCCTCGACGCCCTCCGTTCATCATCCGGTCCAATGACTCAAATCATGCTCATGTACCTCGTCAAGCTGCTGCTGCTGCTGAGCTTGGACAAGCTTGCTGGCATCTTGCTTGCAACAAGCGTATCAAGCAGTTCCCATCGCATCGTCTCGTCTCGGCTAGCCTCATTCATCCCGCCATCAACAAGTACCTTCCTACCTACCCAGTCAGCATAAGCAAGACGGGGGGTTGGGGGGGTCATGAGGACCAGCGATTCGGGACTTGTAGGTAGCACAGATCCAGATGCAAGCAAACTGCGCAAAGTCGGCCCGTATTAGTGCCCTTTCCAGGCACAAACGAGAGAGCCGCGCCAGGGGACGAGGGAAAGAATCATATCAATGGGCACCTACCCAGTAGCATCAAATCATATGTGCACATACGATGTAGATGTGCGGTGGCATGCAGTGATGCGATATCCATGTGCTACGGTGTGATATTACTAGGTACCAGTTGATATTGTAGGTATTTCGCAGTACGGGGTGAAATTACCGAATCGTCCCTGCGCGGCTTCGTGCGTGTGCTCATGTACTTGTACATGCAGCAGCCCGCTCGTATTCTGTAAGCTTGCCTGTAACTCTCTCATCTGGCGGTGATGGCCTCTACCTGTCGTGGCTGAGCCTCACTTCCGAAGCGGCAGGCCAAGCCGCAGATCCTGGCTGCTTACAGAAGTCCATGGCCGACCTTCGGGCTTTGAATCCATAGCTTGATGGCATCTGCCTCTTCCGATTTTCGAGATCCCACTTAGATTGAGGCCCCCACTCGGAGAGAAACCGTTATTCTCGGCTTGCCAAGGGACAAGAAGGCAGCCAAGTCAGACCCATGAAAATGCAAGTTACACGTACTCAAATAGAGTATCATTCTTTTCTCTTCCTCTTCTTCGATTCTCGTAGATAGATAATTTCTCGAGTTGCATCTCAATAACAGCCCAACGGAAAGCAACCAGTTTCAGTCTTCTCAATCCATCTGCCGAGCCCAACTGGAGACAGCTTTTTGTCGGGATCGCCGTGTTTTCCTCAACTTTTGCCACCACCCACTCACACTTCCCTGTAGAACGAGCACACACGCAAAGAAGGCGAAAAAAAAAATGGAAGGAAAGAAATTTTGTTCTATGCATTAGCCCGGCCCAGCCCAGCATTTCGAGCTGAATCCTTGGCGTGTGTTCAAATCAGAAAGTTTTCATTACCCGAGTAGGCAGCATCGCTTCTGCTAGTGACGATTTTAGTTGGTGATAAAGAAAAATTTCCGGCTTTTGATGCAGAACGCACGAGCCGCGTTGGCACCATGTAATTCGCCCTCGTCCGAATAACAAACAAACAGAATCTCACCACTAAACGCGGAACGTGGTTCATGCTCTCTGGCAAGCTTGTACAGTTTGTTATCGAATGGCTACCCATCCGTAGATGGCATGTGGCAAACGCTCGCCCACTTTCGGGATTGCAGTGACTAACAACGGGGTCCTATATCGCCGGCTACTACTTCTCTCTTGCTGGCTGCAATGTTGAAAAAGACCCGTCTGTAACAGGTGACAACAAGTCTTGCACGTCAGCCCCCGCAGCATGAGTTCATCCAAACACTGCGACATGTTCGAATAGCCGGGTGACATATCGGTCCACAAGCTGCCCACAAAAAAAGGACTGCTCCTCTCAGTTCTATTTATATGCATTGCCATGGCCGGATGCTGATCGATGAAGTCTACATGCAAACGGCTGAGTGGGGCATATTGTCTCAAATGCTAGACGTAGTTGCATGATTCAAAGCATAGGTTTGCGTGCGTGTGTTTTTGTTCAACTGTTGTTCGAGAAAAGTAATGGCCAGAATCACATGAAGAATATGTGAGTGGATGAAAAGTTATTCTTCTCTAGCTAGAAAGCCTGCCCAAACATTGAGATATGAAAAAGTGCAGTGTTGTTGATTGACATCGTAGTATTGAAGGATATCGTACGGAATTCAAAGAGAGGCTCACTTGAGCCAGAAATTCGGAAATTCATCAACATCAAAAGTGGGAGGTCTGTATCCACCAAAGCCTCATCAGCTCCACGTAAAAGACTCAGATACCCCTTTAGTTGCCGTTAACTGTCAAGCGATCAAAACACCCTAGATGAAACCCAGATGGCTCTCAAGGTGCCGTTAGTCATCAAACCACCCCGAGTAAACAACACAACGATGAGAGAGAGGGTAGGAGAAAGGGAAAATATTGCTTCCAAGGCCAGAAAGCATCGCATCATAGACTCAGCAGCTTAAACGATATGCCCATCTCCTCCAACCTTTGTTCCATGTACTCCATCACCGTTCGCAGCCCGGCCTTTTCACCCTGGCAGACGCCGCTCTCAATGTGTGCCACGAGCCCGCTAATCGTCGAGAAATTCTTCATTTCTCGGTGGGCCTTTCCAGCTTCTCCCGAGAACAGGATTGACGGGCAGTGGAACATTTTGGGTGTGTGCGCCGCGGACCCCATGTGCATTTCCAAGCTCAAGCGCGTCAAGAATGGACGTTTCGTATCGGGACATAGAGGACAGAAGAAATACTTTGGCTGGGACAGCTCCGTGCTGTCGCTTGTTGTGGACTCGGTCTCTATCCCGGATGATGAACGTCTTGTCAGTTGTCCTTCAACAAGGCTACCAAAATCGATCTGGCTGCTGCTCGGAGTCAAAAGCACCCCTTCATCTGAATCTGTACTCGGCGTCATGACTCCTGAGAAAGTTACTGATTCATCTTCATTTTCCAGGCTAGCCCAGCCAGAATATTCAAAGATTCCGCTGGAACTGGTAATAAGATGATCGTTGTCTTGCACAAGTATCAACCTGTTGAGCTTCTGCCGGTTCATGCCCGACTGGCAAGAGCCACTTTCCATGTGAGCAATCATGGCCGAAGGGCTCTTGAAACGAGCATTGCACTCCACGCCGCAAATCTTGCCTGCCATGCAAGTCAGGTTGCTAATGGGGCGATGGACAGTGGACTGCAGATGCTGATCCAAAGCAGCAGCGTTAACGAATAAGCGATCGCATTCTTCACAGCGGTGTAGTTTCTTTACCACCGGCCGTTTCTCGTGGACTTTATCCCGGAGGTGCTGGTTCAAGGCATTGAAATTCTTGAAACTCTTGTTGCAGTCACAGCAGCCAAACTCCACGGCATGTCTGACCGTAGTAGTATGTTGGCGCAGCGCATCCTGATCATCAAACTTTGCGTCGCAATCGTTGCAGTACCAAACCATATCTTTCATCCACTTTTCATCACAAGCCGGAAGCGAAGAGGCCTTGTGCTGCCCGAACTCGTGCTTTGTGCGAAGGCACAAGTTGCATTGGCTGCAGATGTACCGCCTTACACTGCTCCTGTGCGCTCGTAGATCCTGCTCTTTTTTGAAGCGGCGCCCGCACGTGCAAGCCAGGGGGTGCATAATTGCGTTGTGGGTTGATTTGCCTGTTCGTTGCGTTGCTGTTCGTATTGTAGGCAGATTGGGAAGCCGCCCGATGGCGATGGTCTATCTGGCTCGAAGAGAAATGTTCGTCTCAAGGTGGTGATGTATGAAAGTTGGGTGCCCAGGCAGAAATCCAATCCATCGGAGCCGCCATGAGGGGAAGCGCAGCCTTTTTAGGTTCAGCACCAGCTGGAGGCCTACAGCCTCGTCATGTTTGTATTCAGCCAACAAACACTAAACCCTGCAGCTCCTCATGGCTCTCCACGAATCGCAGGTGGAAGCGAATGTGGCGTGGCCAATAGGGCGTTTTTTCTCCATGGCCAAGTGTTTCATACGTGGTGTTCAGGCATACTTGCAGGACATCGCAGGGATAGCTCCCAAGACGGCACGATGCTTGAGCAGTTGACGTCGAGGCTGGGTCTGCGCCCAGGCCGCTTGCGTGAGGATTGCAACCCTGTGGCTGAAAGTATGTTTGTCTGGCGAATGGCGTCCTCTCGATTCGGTCCTTGCGAGTGAGGCTGTAATTCATTGGGTGCTGCTTCGGGGGGATGTCTCATTCGGCTCCAGGCACCAATGCTTACCAACAGCAAAACCGGGCGCCTGCTGAAACACGATAATGAGCAGCAAGCAGGAAAAAGAAGACGACGATAGATATGTAAACCAAGAAGCGAATCGGTGAAAACAAATGAAGAAGTGGATGATTGAAAGATGAAAAAAGATGCCTTAAATTGGAAAGGAGTAATTGTCCATGTCTATGATATATATGTCTTTCGAAACTTGATCGTACACTTTCGTATCTCCCTAGTATTTTTGTTGTACACCATCTCAGACAGCTTGTTTTTGACTTATGCTGAGATGACCGAAACCGTCACCAGAACACCTCTTTTGTTCAATTCTTTATTCAATTCTTTTCTTCTTTTTTTGGCATTTTCCTTGCTTTTTTTGGTTGGTATCATTATTTCGTCAAGCCACCACATCGATTCCTATTGATTTGCACTGGAAAATAACGGACCGGCACAGTCCCTCCAGCGATAGTCCAGAGAGTCGAAGTTCCGACTGCTTAATCTTTGCGATTTCGTAGACGTGCTTCAAGCTGATGGTGCCAACCGTCTCGTGGCCAGGCTTGCTGACGCCTTTTCTGTTTCCCTTCTTGCCCACTGGCGCTCCGGCCGCATTGAGCAGCAGCCAGGATGTCTGCGGTGTTCTGAGATCAAAGGTGAACGACCGGTCTGGCCGGACGGTGACTCGGCACGGCATTGGCGTTCCAGGCACGATGTTGGCGGTTCTGGCGTTGAATTCCTAGACGACAGTTAGTCTTTTGCCATTTCTTTTGGTTCTCCATCTATGCTATCTATGCAGAAACTGCAGAAACCGTAGTGCATGATGTACAGACCTTGCAAAAGTCCATAGACTTGACACCCTTGCTTCCCAGAGCAGGACCAACTGGAGGGCTGGGACTGGCCTGGCCGGCGCCCACAATCAGCTTGACGATTGTGTCGACTCCGCCCGCGGCGCCTTTTGCTGCCTTTGACATGATTGCGGCTGCTTTGCGGAGGATTGGGGCGATGCGCAATATCGATCTCGCGACTCTGATGGAGATTTTTGGGGCTTCGAAATCTTGAAGCAACTTGCAGCTACAGCCATTGGAGCATTTGGCGCTAGGATCAGGCGGGGTTAGTGCCTCATGATTTAGTGCCGTGGTTGCTGTAGCGCGCCCCATTTGTTCTTATCTTATCGATAATTCCCCAGGGCAGATTTCAGTGCGAGCACCCAAATTTTTTGGAAGCAGAGCCCATCGAGAGAATCTCAACCATCATACAGCAAAGAAGAGAAGAAGAAACGGCAGATACTGCCCCAAATCATACATCAGATCCAAACTAAGCGAATCTATACAAAACCGTCTCCAAAACATCCACCACTCCTCCGATTTCATTCTTCTGACAGACGAGCACAATGCCGTCAACACATAAGAAAGAGAAGCCCTGGGATACCGACGACATCGACAAGTGGAAGGTCGAGGCCTTCACCGCAAAGGACAATGCCGGCGGCACATTCACCGAGGAATCGTCCTTTGTCACGCTGTTCCCCAAATACCGCGAAGTCTACCTGAAGGAGGCCTGGCCGCTCATCACCAAGGCGCTGGAGAAGCACGGCATCGCCTGCACGCTGGATCTCGTCGAGGGTTCGATGACGGTCAAGACGACGCGAAAGACATTTGACCCCGCCGCCATCCTGAACGCGCGCGACCTCATCAAGCTGCTGGCTCGAAGCGTCCCGGCGCCCCAGGCCGTCAAGATCCTGGACGACGGCGTCGCGTGCGACATCATCAAGATCCGAAACCTGGTGCGGAACAAGGAGCGCTTCGTCAAGCGGCGCCAGCGGATACTGGGCCCCAGCGGCTCGACGCTCAAGGCGCTCGAGCTGCTGACGGAGACGTACATTCTCGTCCACGGCAACACGGTGTCGGCCATGGGCCCGTACAAGGGCCTCAAGGAGCTTCGCAGAGTCGTCGAGGACTGCATGAACAACATCCACCCCATCTACCACATCAAAGAGCTCATGATCAAGCGTGAGCTGGCCAAGGATCCCGAGCTGGCCAACGAGAGCTGGGACCGCTTCCTGCCAAACTTCAAGAAGAAGACGCTGAGCAAGAGACGGGTGCCCCTCAAGGTCACGGACAAGGCCAAGAAGGTCTACACGCCCTTCCCGCCGGCGCCGGAGAAGAGCAAGGTCGACAAGCAGATTGAGAGCGGCGAGTATTTCCTCAGCAAGGAGGCAAAGGATAGGGCGGTGCTCACCGAGCGCCGGGAGAAGCAACAGGAGGCTAAAGAGCAGCGGGCAAAGCAGCGGGCAGCCGAGTATGTACCACCGGAAGAAGACAGGCCCAAAAAGAAGCGGAAGAAGACTTCCGAGTAGGGTGGCTATTGGATGAGTCGAGTTACGCCGGGCGGTGGTGTTGACGGTTAGGAGCGCTTGCTTTATCTATTCATCTATTCCATGTATTTGCACAAATGTATAAGTAATATTCCAGAAGACAATTTGGAATGGATTTGTCACTTGATTCTACACAATTTGGGCCAATGTTAAGCTGGTCTTGATTCGAAAATGCGCGTGTGTTATGTACAAAATAAGTGCCATGGCCGGCGAGATGCCGCCAAAATACAAAGTGCTCAATCTTTGCTTGCTCTGTTCCCTTTGCTCTGGTATTAATCCTTTGCCAGAGTCATGTCCTTCTTTCCATGCCCGTTCTTCCTTTTACCAAATATTCTTAAAGCCCTATCCTTACAGTCTTGGAGAGGATGCTTCGGAGTCGTCAACCTCAATCACCAGCTTGCCAAACTGCCTTCCGTGCTCCATCTCCTCAAACAGCTTGTCGATGGCCTCGAGGTCACCCAGGCCCTTGATCGTCTTGCTAATAACTGGCCTAATCTTCTTTTCTCTGACAAACGCCACCATATCCTTAAACTCCTTCTTCGACCCCATTGTCACGCCCTTGAGCTCGACGTGGGCCAGCACGGCCTGCATCAGCCAGTCCATCTTGGGAGACACTGTCATGCCGTACTGGGAGATGACCGCGCCGGGCTTCAAGATGCGGATCGTCTTTTTGATAATTGGCCCACCGGCACCGTCGATGATGGCATCCAGATAGGGCCGGTCTTTGGGCAGCAGAGCAGCCAGATCCTTCTCCCACGTCTCAGACTTGTAGTTGACGCCTCCCTTTGCACCCAGAGCCTTGGCCCGCTCGAGCTTCTCCGGGTCGCCGGAGGAGACGAAGACGTTGCATCCAAAGCCGACGGCAAACTGCAGAACAGCCAACGCAACTCCGCCGCCAATACCCGTCACGAGGATGTTGCTCCCGGGGAAAGCGGCGTTGCTCTTGGTTACCAGAGCTCTCCATCCTGTAAGTCCCACCAGAGGCAGCGCGGCGCCTTCGCCGGGCGTGAGGTGCTCTGGCGCGAGAACAACCTCGTCTTCCGGCACAACGGCGTAGTCCTGTCCAGTTGCAGCCTCGGTGAGCCTGCTGCTGCCAATGACGGCAAACCCTCTGGCATCTTCAGGCCCGGCAGGGTCAGACTCCCACCCACGCATAGGCGTCAGCAGGACGGGCTTATGAAGGAGGTCTTTGCGGGTGACATCCGGCCCGATTTCGACGACGGTTCCATAGCCATCGGCAAACATGGGGTTGGTGAATGAAATGGCAGGATACTGGTGGCGACGGATGAAGAGATCTCGGTGGTTGAGGGCTACGGCGGAGATGCGGACGAGAACCTCGCCCGGGCCCGGTGTGGGCTTGGGGACTTCCTTGATTTGGATGCTGTGATGAATGATGCATGTGAGCCTTGAGAATCTTTTTGCATCTTCTTTTGAAATTCGCAGCCGAGGGAATGGGTCGGCGGCAGAGCTGACGAGACTTACGGATAGTAGACTTCTCCCGGCTTGCCCTCAACTTGCTTCAACGTGATAACTCGCGGCATCGTGGCGGTATAACTTGTTTCAGGCGAGACTGGATGATGTGTAGTTTTTTGCAAGAGAAAAACAAGAGAAAATAGGGAAATATTAATCCAGACTCAATCAACTTCCTTTTGCAGATTTATATACCTTTTCATATATAGCTACACAGGGCTATAAGATGCTACTCTCTCACCGCAGCCACGCGGTCCGCATTTCCTGCTGGACGGCTCGCTCTCGAAATGCTGTAAATTGCCTATAATGACATCAACCCCGCCACGCTTCGCTGCGATGACCTCGGTTACGCTTGCGACTAGCGGTCCGCAGAACGGCATTTGTCATTTCCCCCGTCAAATAGAGCATTGTGTTCCCATCAACTATTTTTACTTTTGGGATTTAGGATTTGATTTAAATTGGGTCATGCGGGAAGTTCCATTTGCAGTTATATTGGCTGGTTTGGTGTGGTGTCACCAATACTTTGCCTGATGCGGTCAGTGCGCGGGTTGCCCAGGTACACCGTACAGGCCTTGGCATTTGTTGACAAGTGATACAGATGCTACGAAGTGCATCAGACGCTGTTTGATGGATGGCTCGGGAGTTTTTAAATTCACAAAGTTTGCCCATTTAATAGATTTGAGACAATTGGTGGGAGGTGCAGAAGCAAGATTTGTACAATAGTTGATGCCATCGTATCTCGATGCTGTACGTGTATGTACCTATGTCTATACACGATCCGCAGTAGATTCAACAATGCATGCTCTCCTCACAAGGAAATTCTTTCAATTTGAAATCAATTTGATTTTTTTCAGTCTTTTATTCGCCAAGCCGGTACTTGGAGCAATTCTCTTGCTGGAAATATTTACGGCACTTGAGGTCGTTACTATTTATGGCTGTCTTTGATTTTCCAAAAGGATTCAATTGAGAATCGAGGCCCGCCGTCTCTCCCGCTACATGCGCGCCATCCTTCCTTCTTTACGCGACCCTGTTGCCCGCGCACCTCGCTTTCGCTTTAAGGTACGATGCGATAACAATAGAAAAGACGTTATCGATTGCCCAGCTCACTTGATCGGTGGTAATAGTACTGGTTAGTAGTTCGCGCTGCAGGTACGTATCTTCCTTCATTCGCTACCGTCACCAGCAATTGCTTTCTTCAGTCTCCTCAAAGTCGGCTTCATTTCAACTTCAAGCCCTCTTCACCTTGCTACGGTTCAATCTTGAAATCTCGGCGTCGCCAACGCTAATCAATTCAAAGCGGCTGCATACCATCACGGGCCTATTTTGACGTCGCAGGCCGAATGCCAGCTCCCAGTAGTTCAAGATCGATCCATCGCCGCATCCGTTGCGGAGGCCCAGCACGGCGATCTGATGGAGCAGCGTCGCCGTTGAGTCCGTGGTTTCCACGTCGGCTCGGACGACCGGCTAAGAGTCCGTCATCGGAGGTCGCCGAAAGGGTTCCCGGAGTGTGTATGCCATGCGCTTTGGTTGGGCTGGAGTCGAGAATCTCATGGTTGGTTGCACAGCAAATGTTTCTCATTCGCCACCCTTGATTTGCCTTGGAGTCCTAATGAAGCCTTCCTCAAGATGCTTCATGCTTTTATTTGGCTTGCGGAAAGTCTGGGGAAATGCAATTCAACCAATGAGCGGCAAGGCCATGTCGAGTCCTAGCCGTGCTCTTCAAGACGACTCCGTCTACGTGAGATACAGCAGCCAAGATTGGAAGAAGAAATGGTTTATTCGTATGTATTTTGCTTCATTCTTCGTCTGCAAGTACTAATTTCCAAAAAGAAGGAGAGATATTTTACAATTGATGGTCTTCGTCCATCACTTTACCGTCATCCGACAACGTCGCCGATATACTGTATATTAGACGAGTTCGCCCACCTCGCTCAGAAACACCGCTGCATGTTTCAACCCCTTCACCTATTCTGGAGACCGGGTGGGTATCTTCAGCACGAGCAGCAGCTCACCGAAGCTCGCTAGGAAGAAATCCCCGACGCCGTGCTAGTTTAGCCGTTTGAGAACCTGTCACCGCCCACAGTGTGCGCCTAGGAGCAACCTCCTTGCTTGAGAACAGCAGGATAAACCAGGTGCTGCCTCTATTAGGCTACAGCTCCAGCGTGTATAATGTTCGGCGACCAGACTAACTTCACCCTTGGGGGTTTTTGCCAATAATGGCACAGACCGCAAATGGCTTTCCCTTGCTGTATCACAGTGGTAAGCTGATCCCCGATATGCCCTGTCCTGGGAGCCTTCTTTACGTTCATATCCTATGCTGGTGTTAATCAGTCAAGGCCATGAACAGTGCAAAAAGATGCTCGCTTTCAGCCAGGTTACAGGCTGTATTGTGATTTGTATCAAAGCTGGCGCATTGCCTTGCTCCAAGCTCCTCATACTTGTACTATTTATTAGAATTCTTCTCCCCGACTGGCTTCCCGACTGGGTAGCACAATCACCGGGGCGCTCGATCTGGAATATCCCACGGAAGTGTCAGAACGTTAAAAGCATAAATCCCGCCCATGCCGCCACGCACGCCATGGTCCCCGAGAATTGCGCCTCTAGCCATCCGGTCCGTCGATTTCGGGGTCTCGGCGATCGTGGCCAATGGCAGGGGGTCCACTAAATCAAAACTCGTCGGCGACTCTTTCATATGAGCCCATTTCCTTGTTGATTGCCGTCTTTATGCTTGGAACGAGCCATGGAAGAATTATAGCAAGGGATCATAGGCCTGGAAGGAGAGGCTGACAAAGTTGAAGCCCGAGTGCAGATATATTCAATACTCCAGAGTCACACAGTAGTGCCCGATGACCCGAGCGTGGGTTATTATATGATCATTGCAACGGTATCCACGACTAATGCTACCAGCGGCTCTACGTCTCTACGCCGAATCTCCCTGCATATATTAATATCATTATTAATGCTACTACTGTAATACAAGTAGTCGTCTCTGTATCCTCGAAGAATTGGCATTCTGCGTCTTACTATACGCGCCTACCTCCTTGAATTTGCCTTGATCCTTTCATCTTCTTGGGCTACACTCTCCAGCATCGTTATACCATGGCGGCAACATTCTTAACTGGTGCAGCCTTTGGAGCTGCTACGATGGGCGCTTCCTTTCATAATCCTGCCATAGTTGTTGCCCAGATGAAGTTTGAAAACTTTCACATGGTACAGGCATTTCTGGCCGCAACTGCAAGCAGCGCGTAAGTACAGCGACAAAACCCCCTTTTTGACAATCTCAGCGTGCTGTACCATAGCCATGGGTACGAGGCTAACTTTTGATAAAGAGTCATATACACTGTTGCAGAGCATTTCGGCTACGTCAAGTTGAAGCCCAGAAGCTCCTCACCGATAGGTCTCTTCTCTACATATGACGGCAACATCATCGGCGGTGCCCTCCTCGGTGCCGGAATGGCCTTGTCAGGATCGTGCCCAGGAACTTTGTATCCTCAGCTGGCTGCCGGCGTTCATACAGGTTTCCACGCACTCAACGGAGCCATAATCGGCGGTATTTTATGGACCGGACTCCTTGCCAAGATGGCCAAGGGGTGTAAAGAAAGAGCAAACGCCACTCCCATAACGACGACGGCAAATGACCAAGTTGGTCTGAGTAGAGGTGTCACATTGCTTCTCTTTGAGGCTGCGTGCATCTCAATCCTCGCAGCAACCACAATCTATACTCCCCCGTTTCCCGGAGCAAAGATTCTCGGAACCACGGGCGGGCTCATCATTGGTCTCTCCCAGCTCTTTTCCATCATCACACGAAAGTCCATGATTGGCATTTCCACCGCATACGAAGAGATTGGTAACCACTTTTGGTGGTTAATCAAGGGTGCAGAACCAAACGCGAAACCGACTTCATACAACAGCATCGTCTTCGCCGCCGGCGTCACTGCTGGAGCCTGGGGACTGCTCCAGGCTATACCTTCGCTGGCGAGTGCTCCTGTGTTTGAGGCGCCGCCATTGTTGGCAATGGCAGGAGGTGCTCTCATGGTTATCGGGGCGCGAATGGCGGGTGGCTGTACGTCTGGGCACGGCATCAGCGGCATTTCATTGCTGTCTCTGTCCAGCATGATCACAATTGGCTGCGCGTTTGCTGCAGGAGCAGTTGTTGCACCTTTGGTTTATTAGAGCATGGCTACCTAGGACATCTTGAGCCAGTCTTCTTACCATGGCCAAAGAATGAGCGGACAGCTACAACAAAGGTTGCATCATTGACTCGCCACTCCAGCTCCCTTCTTAGCCGTCACCTCTATTTCAATCTTCATTTCGTCCAGCATTAGTTCAGCTTGTACCATTGTCGCCGCAGGTCGCACTTGGCCGAACCATTTTCTCAGCACGGGCTTGATGCAAGGGAAGTCGTTGCGATTTGGAAGAATGTACCGCACACGGACAACTTCGGACACGGAAGAACCAGCTTCTCTCAACGCCTTGTCGATATTGGCCATTGTCTGCTCAGTTTGTTCGCAGACATCGGCAGAGATGTTGCCGGTATCATAGTTGTATCTGCCGGTTGATGCATTTTGTTATTTCAAATTCTAGGCAAGATGAATCGTCATGTCTCACCCAGTGGTCCCCGACACAAAGATCCAGTCATCAACAATAACGGCTCGGGAGTAGCCGATTTCCTCTTCGAACTTGGAACCGGAGCTGACGTTTTGGCGAGGCATTGTGTATGATTTACTAGACACTAGATGGATTTTCAAAAAGATGGCAGTTGTTATAGATTAGAAAGACAGCGGATTGTGTATTTATGGCTATATTCTTAGTGTGACTCATGCGCCCTTTGCTCGATTTGCTGTATTCTTCAACAAGCCACGTGAAGCCGTTCTTTTTCTCGGACCCGGCGCTATTTGTATCTTCCGTGAGTAATCGCTTGTGCCGATGATAATCGCGTAATGGCAAATTTTACCACCATTGAGGCTTTTGAATGATTATTCTATTTTTTTTTATGCATGTTTAACTGAAAAGAAGAGTGTCGATGGCATCGTAATGTACAAGTTGTTTAATAGCCTCCTTTAATTCCTATCATTGCCGCTTTTTGTTGTCGTTACTGTACAGAGAGATACACGCAGAGAATGCTGAGCTCTGCTAAGAAGCAGTAGATGGCAGGATATGTCCATGCCGTCTCCGCAAAGCAATACGGACTTACTGGCTTGTCAACTCCTTGACCAGTGCCGCAACCGACTTCTTGTCCACGTCTTTCCCCTCCAGAGCAGCATTGACTCGCTTCATCACGTCCCCCATGAGCGACTTGCCCGCTGCACCCGCGCCCTTGGCAGCCTCCACGGCCTCGTTGATCAGCGCCTTGATCTCGGCCTCTCCCAGGCTCTGCACGCCGCTTCCCGCAACGTACTCGTCCAGAATGGCAATCTGCTGGTTCTCCTTGTCCACCAGGTCGTCCCTGCCGGCCGCCTTGGCATCCGCAACGGCGTCCTGCGCGCTCTTCTGCAGCTTGCGGATCAGGGCGACGAGCTGGACGTCGGTGCGGATCGGCGAGCTGGTCTTGGAGGCGTTGAGGTTTGCGGACATGATGGACCGCAGCACGGACAGCCGCGGGGCGTCTTTGGCCCGCATGGCGGCCTTGAGCTCGCCCTTGAGCTTCTGCAGCAGCGGCGGAGGTGCATCAGCATCTGCAGAGTAGAATCGAGCGGCCGAGGCTGGCCTGAACAGGCATTGCGCTGGTGAGAGGCGCAGCGGAGCCTGTCGGGAGCATCGCAGAGCTGCCAGAAGAGGCATTGATGATTTTGAGGCGGCCATTGGAGTGAGAATCAAAGAAGTGGTCGCGCGAGATGCGAGGTTTGGTTGTAGATGGGTGAGGAAGCGGCAACTATCATACTATGGAGGGGAAGCTTTTTGATTTTAAGCTGCCTCAGTTGAAATTTGGAGGATCTACGCCTGGGTAGCTCCGGTTGGCCCGTGCGCCGCTTCTGGCTTTTGAGCTTATTGAAAACAATCCAAATAGTAATGATGGAGAGTATCATGATTTCTGTAAAACAAATACTAGTAGTAGCTGATATCTTTGGTATATATTGAGCTTTGGCTTAAATGGAATAGCAGCTCTTTAATTGAAGATTAATTGCTAAGCTGTTGGTGAGCCATGGATCAAGTTCATTCTTAAACTACTGCTTTCTCATCTTGCAAAACGCTGAAGCTTAAAACTTTATTCTAACTCTACTTTTATATTTCAGCGTCCATTTAAAGAATTGAATTACAGATATTCTTATTTACTAGATACAACAAAAATAAGGGCTTCAGGAGCTTCAGAGGCGGAAAGTTGAGTTGGCTCAGCTACAGGGTACCCCTCAGTACAAAACGATTTATACATGTTTACACACGCAGCAATACTGTTACAGGCACGACGCAGGCGGATTGATAGACACAAGTAATAGACTGCCGTTGGATACTACATAATGATTAATACATCTGACAAAGAATCGATTTTTAAACAGCAACATCTATGACCATTCGTTTAGTACTTGCTATGAAGCTTTTCCACCAGCTGCTGAGTATGAGTATACCGGCATGTAGGCTTCCGTACCGGCTATGGCGTTATATTCCTTGATCATCTGCTTAATCTCGAATATTCACTTAGTAGCCGAGTAATTTCAGCCATCTCTCTGCTAAACGTGTGGATATTGGGTAAACCAGAAGAGAGCCTGTTGTGCCCCCGTGATCAATCCACAGACTTCACCACATCTACTCACAGGCTGAGAGTCCAATTTTCAGGTTTTGGCTGCGTCCAATCTCCGCGTGCATCAGCGTTGGCGAGCATCAGATTTTTCAGTCTGATTCTCATCGGCTTTACCCGATTGCTGCTCGTTTCGTATCCAATGTAACGCTATGCTACGCCAGTGAGAGGCGCTCAGGCACGGCGGATATACTGGTTCAATTGGCGTCCAGCCGAAGCACGGTCTCGATTTGAGGCGTGCTCCGTGGCCCCAGGCAGAGGCTGGTTGCCATTGGATCAGAGCCTCCTGTAACCCCGACAGCCTGGGTTGTATACATGACGTTACAGGGCAGCATGTTGCCTGCATAAAGTCCTGGTCAGGATGCTGGTCCTGCACTCTGCGTGGCATGGTAGGTGGTTATACCGGTAGTAGTAATACGGAGCAGGTAGTAGCATGTAGTACTACCTGCTGCAGTATTTCCCCCATCAAACCCATCAGACCCTGTGAACGCTCGCCCTGCCGCCATCAGCTCCATAACGGTTGGCAGTCTCTGATCTTGGTCCACCGTGATTTCCAACGGCTGCCGTATGTAATACCCATCTGCGACCTGCCCAAGTGAGATGGCCTTTTCCATTTTTGACGGCCGCTGGAGGGAAAATGTCCAAGTCGAGCTATTTTCTGTATGCTGCTACCACCCCTTGCAGTCTAGTCCATATTAGCTCGTGCTTGCGAGAATGTCGCATTCAAGTGGTAGTGCTCATCGTTGCTCGATTGCATTGGCCTGCATGCAGCTTGTTAGGCATGAATGCGTGTTCGTACAGGTCGAGTAGGAGATGTGAGCACCAGGATCAGACATACCAGACAGAGTAAGGCTTTATTTTGGGGCCAACGGCCCTTCCCCCAAAGCAGAAATGCTGCGCACACGAGTGGATTCGAAGATGCAGAGGCAGACATACTCGCCCTAGTCTATCGAGCTTGAGCCGTCGCCTGTAGCTCCTCATCCTCTGCTTGGCCGGTTCGCCAGGCCTGCTCACTGGGGGCGGCTTCGCTTCCTACTCGCTCCCAGGCGCTCATGGCAAGGCAATTCCGCGGCACTGGTAGCGAGGTTAAGCTGAAAATGGCCTGGTAACGTAGGGGTTGATAGGAGGAGCTGGATCTGTAGTGGTGACCGGACTGAGCTGCCCGCCATCCGCGGAGGAATGATGCTGTAGTGCCGTGTAAGCTGCATCACATCTTGGCTATTTGTGTCCCCCCTGAATTGACAATAGGGTAGACGCCGCGTCCTTTTATTTCTGGCATATATACATTCTGACAACGAATACGGAAAGTGAGCTTGAGAAACAAATGAGACGGAGCTGAGACGGCATCGTTGGACGAATACCTACTCCAGGCATCAGTATTCCCATCATCTTCGATTGGGCATGTGAGGAGGCGTGACAATGAAGTTGATAGACTCCTATGCAGCAAAGGACCCATTGTTAGCAGCAGCAGCAGATGGGGACAAGCGGCAACACTGCAGGCTTAGAAGAACAGGACACAAATAAGCCCCTGCTGGTACCTTGAAGCTGCATATAACTGCCAACACTGGATCGTAAGATACAACCCTCACGTCCGTATGCATCTAGCGCTACCGGCGCGTTTCTGATAGGCCATTCAGCATGGCTCACGTATTCAATGCCGTGTTGCTGCTCCATTATCTTGCCTGTCCCGTTTGCTCTGTCCACCCGTCGACCAACTTGCTTGTGCAATCCATGCCAGAGGCAAAGGATGGAAAGGGATCCCTCCATCTCTGCAACCCGAGTCAAATCGCATGTGATTTATGCACACAGGTTCAAATAGCCCTTAATATCAGGTACCTGCTCAGAAGTAGTCGATGCCTGCCGGTGTGCGGAGAAAGAACCTGACGCGTATCGTTGAGGCAGGTACCAGATGCTAAGGCGCCACCTGCCCTCCCCAGATCTACCCCCGGAACCTTCTTTCAACCGCCATCCACCTCTTTCTCTCTCGACTTGTCTTCTTTTCCCACCTTCCATCTACCAGACATTTCCTTTTCCTCCCAAATTCGACCACCAACCACCACGCCACTCTGATTGAACCAACGCAACGCCAGATTTTCGTTTCGTCTGTCCTAGCTTCGTCGATTAGCATTTGAAGATGCTCACCAAGACCGAAGTAGCTCTCCGCAAAGATGCATGTCTCATGGCCTTTGTATCGCAGGGGTCCCTGTCCATGGAACGCATGGCCCGTCTCTAGATACTTGCCCTGGGCCAAACAACCATCTTCACACATGCTGAGCTTCCAAACATGCTCTCCATCGGCCAATCGCACAGCGTGGTTGTAGCTCTAGTTGCTCAATCATCGGAGCGGTTTTCGTCCGATAAAAACATATCTGCATCATTATTGGTAAGCCATCAGCGCCTTGCATCTCGTCTTTGAACATCGTCTGGATTTTGGCTTACAGTGGAAAATAGGCCTGTGCGCAGTATATCGAGCTCTTGGTCAGCCATATCATCTCCCAGCTGCAATACCTGGCGCTGAGCATTTACGCACCCTGTACGAAGGATTCGTGGACTCATTTCTCGCCTGAGCCACCATGAGCTGGAAATCTTCCAAGGGCATGCTATGTTTTCCGAGCTTGTGTCAACACGGCTTCTTCCATCTATTCCTTACGAACGAGTCCCTTCAAGGGAGGAATAGCAAATCAACTTACTCTCTCATCTTCGTGAACGGGTAAAGCCCCAGCGAATAGAGCAGCTGGCTTACGATGCCTGCATTCAAAGTACCGATGTCATGATCGCGGGGATCTAGAACGCATTGTGTCAGCCCTGGGCCTTTTCTTTTTTCCCAATATCATCATGCATGGCATACCGGTTGGCCAAGGGCACATGGGCAGTGTCAGAAGGCGTGATTCGATGTCGACAAAGCCTGCATTCGTCATCCAATCTTTGAGGCGTAGAGCTGCTCTTGGGTCCTTTTGAGGATGCATGGCATCAAGATATCCGCTGGACCACCTCGAAAGCGCATGATCTAGCTCGTTTAGCAAACAACAGCCTTTCCCATACTGCGTCATACAATGGTGCAATGTACCTGCAGATAGTGTTCCATTGTCCGATTGAGCATTGAGATACATCTCGACCATTTGACACCAGCCCCCAGGTTGGAGCACGCGGTATATGTCTTTCATATAGCTTTGCCAGCGGTTTGCGCGGATCCCACCTGCCATCAACTGGCTGTGTACGACATCGAAGTGATTGGATGGAAATGTGAAGCTATAATTTTTGTTCACGTGCTTAGCCAAGTGCTCTTGCATTATCAACTGATGGAATGGGATACTCCGAGGCACTCACTCTGCGTTCAGATCGTCGACTTGAAGGTCTAGATTGTCCGGCAACTCTTCTGGGATCATGTGCGGACTGATGTCCAATCCGATGACCTGGAGTTTCATTAGCATGGCCATCACGCCTGCGTACATTCCCTTCATCCTGTCCCAAAATCATCCAGTCGGCGACGTGGCCCCAGGATCTAGCCAACATGTTCATCCATTCCATGAGGCTGTCGACTATGGCCAGGGGCTGTGCATAGCCTTCGGACGTTCTCACTGCCAGCGATGTAGCTGCCTCTATGGAGAAGCGACACAATCTACCAAGCGAGAACATGTTTGATTTCAAAACTCATTTTGGAGCGAATATCTGCATGCGAGTTCAACCCTCCACTGAGTGGCGGAAGGGGTTTGAATAGCAAGGCATGAATACCTGAATACGTACCTCCGCGTCTGGATACTGCTCAGCGACATCGACAGACCAGTCTCCTGCACCGAATCCGCATTCGAGAATCATCTTTGGCCGGCTTACAGGAGGAAATATCAGTCTATTGTCGAAGACTGTACGGAGCATCGAGTGCATCTCTCCTAACTGCGATATTTCTTCCTATTCATAATGTTAGGAGGACACGAAACTCGCGACAGATTTGCGGCTTCAAAAAACAAGCAACAAACTTCATCGATCGGAGCAAAATATATCTTGTTTGCCAAGGCATGCTGCTGAAAAGTACGTCCGTGGTAGCTGGCCG